TGACTGCAGTAAAATTTAAAATTAAAACCATAGAACAGAAAAATTCATAAAGTGTTGGCAACATCAAGTGGTAATGAAATTGTGCAATACTTATAGTCCAATACTTCATAATTAAAACAGATGAAAGTATTTAAAATTCGCATTTTATCTGGAATTATACCCTATTTTATGCCCAAAAACTAGCTTAAATGTATATTTAGAAGATAAAATATATTTTAAAGCATATTTTCCTTTAGAAGACAAACACAGTAACCCACCAGAGAAATTCTACTCATCATTTTTTCTTTATTTTTATTCTAAGTGGATGATTTATAATTCTAACATATTTGTTGCACTCCTGACCAACAGCATTGAGGCCTTTAAAGTAGAATTGTGAAGTGAAAATTAAATAAGAACTTGTTCCGTTGTTTCAGTGAAGTTGAGGAGGAATTACTTGAATTTTATGACAATGTTTTAGTGTGTTTATTTTTAACGTTCATTAAAAAAAATCACAAAAAGATAAAAACACATCTGAATTGATAAAATGGAAAAAGGAAGGATTTTAATAATAAAACTGTCAATAATTTAGCATTAAATTATACAAAAAGATCCTTATTAATTAATGAATACTTCTAAGCATGAATAGAAGTCTTTTCGTCACACAACTTGAATCTTTTAAAAAATGTGTTGCACTCCTGACCATAGAAATATGGATCTGAAGCACAGACAGATCCTGTAATTTACAAATCTATTTGGTAAAAATGTTCTTTGTGTCGTTATATTTTCCAAAATAAAAATCAGAAAATCATATAATGATAATAGTTTTTTCATGCTTGGGAGCAAAACATCAAATGTTGCACTCCTGACATTTTGGGGTATGCACATATACTTGACTCTCATTAATGTTGCTTGTGATTTATATAACATTTTTAAGTTTTAAAATGTATATCAGTTATTATTTTACACTTCCAAAATTCTTTTTTGTCTTAATTTTCTATCAGAATTTTACAATTGATGTTTTTTTGGCAACACTACATTTTTTCTGTTGCACTCCTGACATGGTGTAACATTTTTTTAAACATCAGCCATGACCACAACTTGATTAAACAAAAGTTATGACAGTCCACATTTAAAGCTCAATACTTTGAATGTTATCAGGAAAGTCTTTATTTTCAACATGAAGCATTATTTTTTATTTCACAGATCTCCAAAAAATATTGAAATTTCAAAATGTCACAAAAAGGTGTTGCACTCCTGACAATTTTAGCATCATTTTTGGGCATAACTTTTTTGTTAATTGAGATATCAACGAGATATTTGGCAGGTATTTAGACACTATCTAAAGACATATGCTGAGACATAGAAATCTATTTTCATTGCCTGTATTTTTAGTGTGGGTTGATAAATATGCATTTGGTCATTTTTTTTTAATTCACCCTTTACAATTTTAAAAACTTGTATAGGTTGCTAAAACTATTGCAGTGGTTTCATAGACAGAGGTCTGTATTTGATAATATTATTTTCTCTATTATTCAAAGCTCTCTGATTGGTTTAGACTTGATCACATGATCAAGTATATACGACTTGTGTTACTATTTAAAGATTCTGAAAAGCGTATATATATTTTGACTTCATGATTCTAAACATGGAAATAATCTTCTCCTAAAGCCAATTTCTTTTTAAAAATAATCTATCTTAAGACTTTGTATGAGTTTAATGTACGTCTGTTAGGAAATTGACAACATTAACAAATAAGCAAATATATTTTTACAATTTTAAAAACTTGCATAGGTTGCTAAATCTATTGCAGTGGTTTCACAGACAGAGGTCTGTATTTGATAATATTATTTTCTCTATTATTCAAAGCTCTCTGATTGGTTTAGACTTGATCACATGATCAAGTATATAAGACTTGTGTTACTATTTAAAGATTCTGAAAAGGGTATATATATATTGACTTCATGATTCTAAACATGGAAATAATCTTCTATAAAACAATAATGGCGATGACTTCACAATAGCCTACATGACTTGATGTTTCTGAATTATACATCAACTATTCATAATTATGATGTTCTGTAATAACTGGTAAGACGTAACAATGCCTTGAATAAGGATCTACTTTATATTATAACATATCAGATATGTTTTCATAAATTGACATATAATAAAACAAATGTAGACTTTTTGAATTAGTACATTCCCTTAATTACTCTATCAGTATAAAGGAAACACAATTACATTAAACAGCTTAATTCATTTTGATTTCTAGTCTCTATGTTTTAAAAATAAGACGAGAAAACTTGTGGCTTGTTCCCATTATTTTCCTTTTTTCAATCTCTGTAAAAAATAATATACCAAATGTAGCCCTTTCATTCGGTCAATACGTAGATAAATCGACTTCACAAAAAAAGAAGTGCTCGGTCGATATGCTTTTCTGTGAAGTCGATATATCTATGGATCGACCTCATGAAAGGGCTATATTTGTATATTATTGATGATACTGAAGTCAGTATGATTACCTAGTCTCTGTCTCAATCTTTCTATCAGAGAAATGGGGCTTTGTTTACTACACTCCTCCCCTCTGTCAGCTCAACCCCCCCCCCCCCCCACACACACACACACACAGGAGAACTCAGACTGGAGACTTGAGTCTTATTCTTGTTAGGCCTGATTTGTGGATTCTTAGATAACTGCTCTGTCTATTGATTGTCCATAATGCAGAAATAGTTTTTGTGAATTTTTTTCGTTTTCATCCCTGTTTTCAGTTTGCCCATTATTCAATATGCTGCGGCTTTACTATCACATATAGACTCATGATCCTGAGTATTATTTAACTTACTTATTACTCCCTCTTGATTTCGAGGGTTTTAGAAATTTACATAACTATAATATTCCCAGAGGGAGTTTTCAAGACATTTTCATGTACTTTTCCCCTTCTGTGATGTTTAGTTTACTGAATGAATTCAGCAGTAAAGTTTGTAAATCAAAGTTACCGAAATCAATGGCACATTTTGTATTAATGTGGCCCATGCCAACCCTACCCCCGGAGGTCCTGTTTTAAACAAACTTGAATCTACACATGAAAATGCTTCTGTAATATGACTAATCATAGCTTTGGTGTTTTTGACAGGAGGGTTCTCATGGCAAAGTGGAAGGCAGTTATTTAGGAGTTTCTTAACCTTAACAGTTGAACCATCTTAGCAGTTTATAAGCAGTTTCTAAACCATTTCTGCACTGCTTAGGGCATGTTGGGCCCACAATAAACCTTTGAATAAAATAGGCAGTTTTCTAAGCCTTAAAAGTTGTTAGGCAGTTTTACAGTTCGTTAGCAGTTCATAGGCAGTTCATAAGCAGTTATTTTGGTAAGATTTTTCAGGATTGGTTGCTCCCTTACATATAACTGTTTAAGTACTGCTTATTAAACTGTAAAGCTACTGTTTTTATACTGCTTAATTAACTGTTATACACTGCTTAATATGTACTGTTAATTAACTGTAATCTCATTTTGAGAACACATATTTCCTGAATTCCTAATAATTGTAATTTTTAACAGAAATACAATTACACTGTACATTGAATTAATTATACATATTTAATCAATCGTGCCAATATTAAACATACAATGCGTATGAAGTATAATACTACAAATGTTAAAACAATCAACATTATGAAAATTAATCCATGTACTTGTAATCTACAATGACGATTTCAATACCAATATAAATAAGAATGTACTTCTTTTTCCTTAAATATTAGTTGTAGTTAAAACAAAGACTTTGCTTATATTAGTTAAATGGAATTGAGTCAGTGATTCTTAAAAGGTGCTGGCAATATATCAGAGACCATTGAAATGATTCAAGCAGTATAATAATTGTGAAAATTATCTCTCTTTTCAAGAACACCTATAAAATATATTGTACCTACCGGCTGTTGTATGTATGCGTCATAATTTCAATTATTCTTAAGCTTTGTGGCCAGCAGGTCCCCTCTTCATGACTCTATTTCCTTTTGTTCAACACAACATGGCAGCCAAAGTTGAATTTTGGCGGCCAGTTGTTCTGTTCCTGTTGTGTATATTTATTGATCATTGAGCTTAACATTGATATTTCTCTTGATCCCAATCAAATTGTAAAGCACTATTTCTACGACTCAATTCTGTCACTTTCCAACACCAACGCATGCAAATAAGATTTAGCTGATCCTGCCCACAGTGTGAAGTATTAGCGGTTTAATATCTCATCGACATCGATTTTTTTTTTATGACCGCTCAGTAAAACATTGGAAATGTTAAACTTTTTACAGTACATGTATAGATTAATATAGGAACCAATTTTTAAAGGTATAACAATAAATATTATTTAAATGTCAAAGTATAAAGCCGTCGACTGTGAAAGTCAGCGTTTCTCGCAAAAGTCCACTATGGCCTTCTTCATTTTTTTTTCTGCAAAAACATACCACTGTACTTGAAATTGCCAAAAAAATTAAATTAAAACAATCATATATAAAGTAAATAAAACATAAGTAAAATTAACTGACTATGTTTTTTTTGGGAAATTAATTATACCGCACTAGACATCCAAATTTGAAAATGTTTTAAAATAAAAAGACACTATAGAAGTTGGGGAAATAATGTACATTTATTGACTGGGTTCGAGGGCAACATGCGTTTTGTCGGCCCCAAGAACTAAACTGTTTGCCTGAGGCCGTCTGAGACAGTCAATAAATGTTTTGTTATACCTTTCATTTATTTATTTATTTTGTTATTATTATTATTGTTATTTAACATGTATACATGCATGTTGAACCCCAACGAATGCAAATGAGATTTTAGCTGACCCCGCCCAGTGTATGACGTAAGCGGTGCAACATCTCATCGACAGGTCCAATATCTCACTCCGTGGTCAAACATCTATTTTTTATGACCGCTCAGCAAAACATTGGAAATGTTAGACTTTTATTAGTATTGATTTATATAGGAACAAATTTTTAAAGGTATAACAAAATATTTTGTCGAAATGCACACTATCCGGAAGGAACAAGTATTACTGTAACTCAGAAATGTTAAGTATGCGGCAAAAATCCTGAAAATGTGTGCATGGGCGTCGGATGAACGATAAAGCCAGATCCAGAATGCCTTCTAACCCAAACTCTATCCCCAGACCATAAACTGAGGCAAACCAGATTCGCTCCAGTTTGGTAAATGTATTGCTGGTGTTTTGTGTGGATTCCCTTGCTTTCCGCAAATGTTCTGACTTGGCTTTTACCATTCAAAACAATATCTGTGGCTATGTTACCGTTATCCCAGGATACGACAGCTGTGTAGAAAACGTAGTTTCCATTAATGGGTGCTGTAAAAACACCGTCACGTGGGTTATAGCCCTCTCCCACATTTGTGATGACATCTGGGAATACCATATCTGTTCTCGTCATGTCTTGTTCCGAATAGTGGCCAAAACCTGCCGTAAATGCAATTATACGTGTTCGATAATCTGAAAAAAGATCAGTAATCGTCTGATTCGATGGATGTGAAATTGCAATTTGATTTACAAATCATGGTGTATTTAAAAGTCCCTGTAGAAAAGACTTTTGTTACGTCAAACACTAGAGGTCTAATAAGAGATTATTAAAATTGGTTCTTACCATCCTTTTCTTCTGATACATTCCTTGTGAACTTATCGAACGAAGCCAAGGTAGATGATATATTTAGCTGATTATCCTCCATCTTTTTTGCCCAACCTTCTAGTTTCGAAACCGACTTGTTGATGTCTTTTTGAGTGCTGGAGAGATTCTGAACTTCTTCAAGAATATCTTTTGTTCTATTAAACAGAGCGCGACTTTCCTCATTCAATTTTGTTTCAGTGATTTTTTTGATGTTCAGATATAGCCGCAATATTTTCGTCGACAGTTTTCAGTTTTTGGTCATATTCCCGAATCTTACCCTGACAATTTACTACAATGCTTCCGAAACGTTTATTTTCCAACTGAAGGGTGTTGATTTGAGTTTTTAATGTCTCAATTGTCTGCTGGAAGTTGTACATCGTACTGTCAGCCGACTCCATGCTTCTCTTCATAGAATCAACGTCTCCAACTAATGCACGAACATTCTTGGCCACAGCTAAACCAATACTAGTACCTTGGTTGAGGATATGTTTTATAAATTCCAGTTCATTGCACTCGATCGCTTGCCAATTTTCTTTTAAAGCTGTTGAGTTGTGTTCTTCAGAGCCAGTTAGCAAAGAAAAGGCTCTTGCCTTGGTACTGATAATCAATGTCATACAAAGAAAGAAAGACTTCATTCTGACAGTCAAAAGAGGAAATGAATCGAACAAAGCAAATCTGCCACATTTATTATAAGAGAGAGAAAGAGAGCAGTTGCGACTCTTGACCATATCTGCAGATATAAGTAGGTCTATGAAAATATTAAATGATAGATGTAGATAAAATACATGGTATGCAACATCTGTCAATTCTGATAAAGTAGATAAAAACACAATAACACTTCAAATTATGTGATTTTTTTCCTGCAGATAAAGGGATGAAGTGATTATTATAAATATCTATCATATTAACACCACTTCACAAGCATATGAAAATAAAAACATTAATAAAGATTAACTAAGCATTGAAAAGTGACACTATTTAATATTCACCAATTAAAACATTGCCGTGATGTCATTCTTTAGTTCTTGCAGTCTTATTGTGTACATAATTATTTTAAAACAGAATATTATTTACGGATCACACAAATTTGGAAAATTAAAAAAATGTCTTCCAATTAAAAGAATAAACTAAAATAGTACACATTAAAATAAAACTTGAGCTCTTTGAACTTGCTAGACTTTAAGTGATGTTTTCATTTAGTGATAAAAAAAATTCAGAAATTCCCTTATTTTGGGTTTTTATAAAGCAGGGTTGGCTGGTTAATCTGTCATTTTAATCATAGAAGAATTCTACTTCTAGTAACAAATATAATTATCTATTACACATTCAATCCTTCATGTATTAAGATGAAATATGAAGATAACGGACAGCATTCAATCTCAAAAGTCCAATGAAACAATACAATTTTGGTGCAGAGCAAACGCAGATCTCAAAATTAAGAGTTGGGATCAGGTGCCGTGGAGGAGTGAGCATCCCCAGAAGACGGGTCACACCCGCCGTGTGCTCCTTGTGATGATCGGGAAAAAACGGAAAATCCGTAGATAGTTCAGTGTATAAATAATGGCTTAAGGAAGCTCTAAACACTGCACACTAAAGAGTACTATTTATAGGATAGTTTTATTGAGCTAGAGTGATCTGCCCTTAGAAGAAAAATAGAATAAATTGGAATCTACAGTTAATGACACAATTTGTTATGAATCAAAGTATTTTAATGTTATGTTAGACCAAGATTAAGTAATTGAATACATCATTTCCATTAATTTTCCCGATGTAAGTAAACAACGGTGATTTCTGTTCACAGATAGTACATTGTCTTTGAACATTTTTCCTACAGAAATAGGGCAGGTACCCTAAGTTGAAAATGAACTAGATACACTGAATATGTGCACCTTTATATGAAATATTTTTCTCAAAGTCCAAAAAGTATTTTTGATTAGTGTTTAGAGCTTCCTTAACAATTAGTATGAAAAACGTCAGGCAGCATTTGACTCAAAAATAGGTTGTATGTGCTGACAAGGTCATTGTATCGACCATAAAACGTTCGAAATGATGACTTCAAACGAGATGGTTGAAATCCTTGTTTCATCAACTTGTTTGTCAAAAGCTTGCCTCATTTTAGAAATTGTTCATAGTTACGTAGAGCATGCAAGCTCTTGCGTATTAAATCAACTAGGAGACATAAACCCCATATGAAGGTGACAAGGGTCTATTGCTACACAAGTAAGGAAAGTTGACGATTGAAAAGTTGAAGTCATCACGTTCATCATAAAGCTTTGTTGTTAGGTTACCATTAACGTCTTTTTCTAGTGAAATATCTAAATATGAAACAGATGTGTCAGACTCTGTGATATCTTTTATTTCAAGCTCACTGGGATATATCGAGTCGACATATGAATGGAAGTAACTATTGTTAATTAATACGTCCTTGATTTATCTAAATGTCGAGTTGAAGGCCACAGCCAGCGTTTTCTTCTTCTCATGTATAAGTTTTTGAATAAATCCTGCTTCATATGAATACAAAAATATGTCTGCTAATAACGGGGTGCAATTGGTACCCATGGGAATTCCAACAGATTGTTGGAAGACCTGGTCTCCAAAAACCACAAAGATACTGTCAATCAGAAACTCAAGCATCTTTTAAATATCATCTTCAGAGTACTTGTGCATACAATCAGAATGCTTTTTAACAAAATATTTTTTTCAAATAAGCAATAACAAGGTTAGTATATTTTTTATTGAAAAAGCAGCTATGATGTCAAAAAGCCTTGACTTTATTGTTGGGAATCAATGGTTGTATAAAGTGTCGAAAAGTCGTATGTTTTTATATTAATGATTTTGGTAAAATTTTGTTATTTCAAATTTTCCAAAAGTTCCTTGGAATTTTTAAGTATCCACATCTGATTTTCACCACTTCTCAAATATATTGTTGCACAGTACTCCTAAAGTTCCTTCTTCACTGCTGTTAATATTTTAGTGAAGAGTAAAGAAAGAGGTTTGGTAGAATATTTATTGGAACCTGCTATGTATGATTGTTTGTAAGGATTTTTATGAAGTTTCGGAATCCAATATAAATATGATAATATTCAAATTCATTTTGATTGCTGGGAATATTGAAAATATTCAGAACTGACATTATCATTTTGAAGAATTTCCTCCTTAGAAAGGGAGCTATGGGTATAAGCTGGATTTCACTAGTAGAATTAAATCCCATTCCTTCTAAAATACAATTAAAATAATGAGCCTTACAAACAAACACAATGTTGTTACCTACTTTGTCAGCAAGGACCAGTACACACTGAAATGGATTTATTTACTGTTTGCGTTTGAAAACGGAAAACTTTTTTTTATATTCTTTCCACAAATTGGATCTTGTGTGTGTACACAAGGAATCAAAAATTGGATGAGTTTGTAACTTTTCCATATCCTTTATATCATCTGTGATCTAAGAATTGGTCAAAATTTGAAACAATTGTAATTGTTAATTTGCAGAATATTGAATTTATTAATAATAACTGAATAACAATTTAAAAGTATAAAGTGCTTTAATTATTGTATTGTTCCAGTTGTCTACAACAAAGGGCAATTAATCAACCCTGCACTTTAAAAATGCAATAAAATAATCTGCTAAAGGCTTTTTTCCTACAAAATAATCTTCCCTTGCATGACTATTGTTCATTTCAATTGTAGCTGACAATATCAACAAATAAGACATACAATTCTAAAAATATTATATTGTGTGTAAAGGTTACAAAACTATTTCAGTGGTTTCACAGACAGAGGTCTGTATTTGATATTATTGATGATACTGGAGTCAGTATGATTACCTAGTCTCTGTCTCAATCTTTCTATCAGAGACATGGGGCTGTGTTTACTACACTCCTCCCCTCTGTCATTTAGGACATTCTCCTTCCCCCCACACACAGGAGAACTCAGACCAGAGACTCTCGTCTTATCCTTGTTAGACCTGATTTGTGGACTCTTGGATAATCTGCTCTGTCTATTGATTGTCTGTAATGCAGAAATAGTTTGTGTGGAATCTTTTCGATTTTCATCCCTGTTCTTAGTTTGTTCATTACTCAATATGCTGCCACCATCACATATAGAGTCACTATCATTAAGAAATATCACAGACCTTTGACCCCGAGTATTGTTACTGCACCCCTCCTTGATTTCGGGGATTTTAGAATGTTCTCCATTCCCACAACTGTTATCCCCATTTGGAATTTTTGAGACTTTTTCATGAAAACTATTCATCACAGAAGACATTTCCCCTTCTGTAATGTTAAGTTTACTGAAGGAATTCAGCAATGAAGTCTGTACTTCAAAGTTACCAAAATCAATGGCCACTTTTGTATTGTTGAAGGACATGTTTTCCCACAACACTGACATACTATGGCTTCCCTGCAACTTTTGAATAGAGTCAATAGGGCTCTGAAGAGAATCTATTTTTAGGAGAGGTGACACCATCACCTCCTCTGACAGGTGGGGACTCAGATTAGACAGATTGTGTGAAAATCTGGACACACAGTCTTCTGATCTATCAGGGGTTGAAGATGACACTTTTGTTCTGATCCCAGGACTGGATTCACTTCTACCATGCAAATCTGGAGTCACAACTGTAAAGTTCAGCTTAGGCATGTCCAGAAATTCTGTCTTGTCTAACTTTTGCAGTTTGGAATTAACAAAACTTTGTTGCCATACAGGAGTTCCCAAAGAAGTAGCACCAGGATTGTCACAATTTCCAGGAAGTGATGTCTCCAGGTGTTTACATGAAATTTCTGGATCTGAACCATTCACATTTATGGCACTTTTACAATTTTCCTTTAAATCATCATCATTATATGCCATATTTCCTGGTATGTCCACCTGAATATTTCTAGTTTCTGGATGTGAGGGAAATGTATACAGATCTTCAGTCTCACTGTCACTGGAGAAGTTGTCCCTAAGGGCACTAGACACACCCTGAGATATTGCCCTCACCATCACATCCTCTCCCCCTCCAACCAGACCCTGGGGCTCACCTGGGGACCCTCCCGACTGGTGGATACTTACTCCTCTCGATTTAGTGATTTTCAGTTGCAGTCTCTGTGACAGGGGTAGATATTCCCCCTCATCCTCCTCACTACTGCTGAAGTTCAGATTCCTCTCCACAACCACAGAATTCCCTTTTACCGATTGCTTAGCCACAGATCTCATTGCTAACTCTAGTCTATGCATTGGTGAAGCTTTCATCTGTTGCTTTACAGTTACAGGTATATTCAGTAAACTTGCATCAGGTTTATCAACACTCTCAAATCGTGACTTTGTATTCTGTGTATTCAAATCTTCCTTGATCATTTCCTCATCCTCATCTGTTTCCACATCATCACTGTTATTTTCTGGTTTATTTATATCCTCCAATTTTTCACTCAATTCTGAAGCTTCTGTCTCTTTTACCCTGTTTGTTGTTTTCTTTCTTGATTTTCTACCTGGAAATGATAGAATTGGTGAAGGTAATTCTATCAGTGTGTGTGTATTGAAATTCACAAAAATAGAAGCAGAAGATATTTATGTAAACTAAAACTGAGCTATAAAGTTATGTCAACGCAGGTGTATTGTGAATTAACACATACATGTTGTTTTTTTTTCATTTATTTATCCTCATTTTACAGAGTAAAGCAATACAAAAAATTTCTGGACATATTCTGTATGCTAAGACTAGTACCTTGGTCATGAGGTTTCAATTCTTTTCCTCAAAGTTGAAAACAAGAGGCCCAAGGGCCACATCACTCACCTGAGCACTCTGGCTAGGAAAAAGCAGAAATCAGTTCAGTATCAAAAAGTTTTAAAATATGTGGTCCCAACCTACCCAGGGGAGAGGAGGGGGGATCTGAACAAACTTGAATCTACAATAATTAAGGATGCTTCCATATTTTTTTGACAAAGCATGGCTTTAAAAGATTTTTAAAGAATTTTCTCCTATGTGTTTCATCTTCTATTGTGGCCCCACCCTACCCTGGGGGACATGATTTGAACAAACTTGAATCTACACTACCTGAGTATGCTTCTATATTATTTTGACTAATCATGCATTTTTTGTTCTTGAGAAGAAAAATTTCATATTTTTCCTATGTATTCCTGTAAAACTCTGATTGCCCATTATGGCCCCACCCTACTACTGGGATGCCATGATTCAATCAAACTTGAACCTACACTACCCGAGGATGCTTCAACATAAATATGACTTATCATGGCTTTGCTGTTCTTGAGAAGAATATTTTTAAAGATTTTTTCCCTAAATGTATTCCTGTGTAAAACTTTGATCCCCCATTGTGGCCCCACTCGATCCCCTGGAGTCATGACTTGAAAAAACTTTAATCTACACTACCTGAGGATGCCTCCTCATGAATATGACTCATCATGGCTTTGCTGGTCCAGGAAAAAAAGATCTTTCCTTTATATTTCCATGTAAAAGTTTGATTGCCCATAGTGGCCTTTACATCCCCGCCCCTTACCCACGAGGTCAAGATTTGAAAAAATTTGAATTTACACTATGTCAGGAAGCTTTCACATATGTTTATCTTTGCTGGCCCCATGGTTCTTGAGAAGAATTGTTTTAAAATACCCCATCCAACTTTCACAATTTCTTGTTCATCTCCCCTTGTAAGAAGGCATGGCCCTTCATTTGAATAATTCTGAACACCCTTTATGTAAGAATACTCTGTGCCAAGTTTGTTTAAAATTGGCCAAATGGTTCTGGAGAAATGAAATTGTAAAAAGTTTACAACAACTATGATGATGACATAAACTAGTGATGGGACATCGGTTCATTTTCATAATCGATCATCGGTTGGAATCGGTTACTGCTTCCGATGCGATTTTACCAATTATAGTCGGATGTCATAGTTTTGTATATAAAAAGCAGACATTACAATTATTTCATATTATTTCTTTAACATGAACATATAAAATATATATTATTTTCTTTGTTGTTTTGCTTCTTTTACACTTTCTATATATGCACCTTTTGGTCCTTAATCACCTCTGCTTCGTGTTAGTTGGCTAGTATCAGATGCAGATGCCATTTTCTTTCATTAAGAAGAAATAAATTTTAAACCAGAAATGGGTAATTCTGGAATGTATTGTATTAGAAGTATGTTTCCAATGATCAATTATGAAAAATTATAATCGATCATCGGAATCGGTAGCATTTTTTCGTCGACAATCGATGTTTTCTGATTATCGGTACAACACTAACAGAAACGAATAAATTTTGATCAGAAAAGCTCACTTGAGCTTTCGGCTCAGGTGGCCTAATAAAACTACAACATATAATGATATTTACAGTAGTTTATTTGTCTTGTTTTACCTTTGCCTTTGGATTTCTTGGTGGCCTGTTCTATTTCAAAATCAGCAACAATATGTGGATAACTTCTTCTAAACAGAGCCTGTTCCTCTATAGTTTTATAGAGATCTTCACTGCAAACACTGTCTGCAGCTGTAACAGTTCATCATACGATGAAAAAAGAATCTTACGATTATTAGCAATTTAGTACTACCAATAATCAGACTTCTATTACAGAAACTGTCATATTAACTCTAGTACCTGGTTTATTCCACAAAACTTCATAGCAATTTACTCCTTGCCTGACGCGGCACTTGACAATTCTGAAAGACATGATTTCATGCAATGTAACTGATTAGACAAGAGATTTTTGAACCAATATGTTCACTTCATAAATCACCCTGCTAATACAGAACCCTCACCCACCCACCCCCCAAAAAAGCATTATGTTCTTCTTTCTGCCACCATTATGCTTAGTAACATTTATTTACCTTTGGGGGATCAGATGCCTGCCTGTGGGTGAGTTGTTTTTACTGATGTCTGTCATGTCCCACAGTGTGATCAGAGGGAGGACCTTCTCCAGGGTGTACTCGACAGGCCACTCCAGTTTATTGACACAGAACACCTGTAGCGGAGAAGTACTACACCTGTAACACGGAACTACTACATGTGCAACAAATAACAACTACACCTGTAACACACAACAACTACACCTGTAACACACAACAACTACATCTGTAACACAAAACAACTACACCTGTAACACACAACTACACCTGTAACACACAACAACTACACCTGTAACAAATAACAACTTCAGCAGTAACACACAACAACTACACCTGTAACACACAACAACTATACCTACACCTGTAACACACAACAACTACACCTGTAACACACAACAACTACACCTGTAACACACAACTACACCTGTAACACACAACAGCTTTTACCTGTTAACACAGAACAACTACCTGTAACACACAACACTACAAGCATGACTTTATAATGTTGTGTATATAAGTCTATATTTATAGTATAAATATGCGATCTATAGGCAAGATTGAATCATACTTAGAAATGTTCCATAATTATTCTTTACAATAAAAGTCCATGAGATTTAAATTTATTTTGAAGATTTTAAGCAATTTTAAGATCAAGAATAGGGGTGACAATGAAAAATGAAGAAATTTTTTACACATATGTGAATATATGAATACTGAAAACAAACTTATTTTAGCGGTAATCATATTTTAGCACTTTTCTGCTACATGTACTTCTTGTCTGCTTATTTATGTACATGCTAAAATATAATTAAACCTAATACATCATTAAAACTTTAGTGCACTAGATTATTATATGCTCATTGAAGTCATTGTGATGTGTTTGATTCAACTTCTTAACTTACCTGAAGATCAGCCATAGATGGCCTACTCCATCTTGAGACACATGTGGGACATTTTTTCATGTCTTGCAGAAATTCTTGTACAACCTAGATGAGGGAGAACAGTGGATGAACAGTTTCTGTCATCACGTATCATACATAAATCAAAGGCCTGAAGGCCTGAGAGGCGCATCGCATTGAAGGTAGAAAACTCAAATTTTCTTACTCAGAAAAATTCAACATACATCTTGAGGGAATGAAAAAAAATCAGGATAAAAATAAAAATTAAAAATATCATTTCTTTGAGGTTAAAGAAAGTTTTGAGTCATATCAATTGTAATTCATTGATATTTAAATTAATCTATAATTGATTTTAATTATATTTTAATTTTTATTTATTCTTTCATTATAATCATGGTAGAAAGATGAAATAATGAACGAGAATTTAGAAATGAATGGTTATTGAAAAATTCTATATAATTTCATATCTGAATTTTTTTCCAATTTCTTTCATTATGTGCATTTTATGTAAACCATAGTGGGATACATGAAATGTTCATATAAATAATACGGACTGAAGAAAAAAAGCAATCGGGCGTGGTATACGGTATACTATGAAACACGTCTCCGATATTTTTGATAAAATTAACTCAAAAAGTCTATGTTTATACGGTATTAGTAAACCTATAAATTGAAATCCACAGTCATTACAGTTTTTTATCAGACATTTCATCATATTCAACTGACATTTCACCAAAAAACGATCATTTCACCGTTTCGTATCACCCTTCCTCGTGAAATTTTTTTCCCGAAAGGTGGTGCATGTTGCAAAAATTTATTCAGTTGAACATCTTACTATTCGTTTCATCGAGTGAAAAAATTATGATATCCCTTCTATTTCTATAAAAACAACCATTTTGTTCCTATTATTAGTGATGTTTTATAAAATAACATTATTTTTCTCAGATATTCGTACAAGCAATGTCGCCTTACAAGGCCTAATAATTTATGGCACAAGCTGTTGTGATGCAAATAGATCTTACTCCGCGTAGCGCACACGTTTGTTTGTTTTTGTTTTCTCTCTTTCTCTGTTTTTGTTTTGGTTTCTTTTTTGTTATCTTTGCTGCTTTCAAAGTATAAACAACATATATATGTGAGATTTTATGTTATTTGATATTTAAAATAAACAATGAGTATCACCAACTTGTCAATACACATTTGCACTATTTTCAATGGCGTATATAGAATCAATAATGTGGAGTCCTTTGTCGCCGCAGTAATTGAAATGAAAGAAATGGGGGTCGACAGCAATGAGGCCACATCGCTGTTAGCGATGCGCCTCAAAAAAATATTTAATCCTATAGTTGCTATCTACCAGGGGCCCATTTCACAAAAGAACTTATGACTAAGACCAAAAACTTTAGTTAATTGTAAATGCTTAAAAAATATTTGGTTCTGTAAAAAATTGCATTTCCAAAATATTTTTAAAAAGAAAGTTATTTTTCAAAATTACATTTTGGTCTCTTAAATTGTAAGTTCTTTAGCAAAATGGGGCCCAGATGTGCCAAACTTTCCAACTACAATAAAATGGATCCAGTGGTCTTATTTCCTGAATATTGGGGTAATCTGTTTCTACTGAATTCTTTTTTAAGTATTTTTATGTATACAATATTTTAGCTTACACTAGATGTAGGTGGTTTTCAGTGTTACCTCTTTCTGTGGGAAGTCCTGAATGTGTGCAGCTTTACGTCTTATAAACACCTCCACTTTGTCTACACACAATGTCTCCGACATAGACTTCCACATCTCAAACCTGAATGTTAAATACAAGGTTACGTATATCAATCTCACTTAATTCAGTGTACTTTACTCTATATTCAGGAGTGATCTGAACTTGCAGAAAAACTTTTAAGTACTTCCTCTCTCTGCATATTCATGATTTCTTTTTTAGAACAGCCATCACAATTATAAACCAGAAGTTTTCACAATTGATTTCTTTCTTGTTTATTTACATTTTTCATGAATGGCAAAGCCATAAACTCTAAAATTGGAATCTTCTCAAGTCCAAATACACAGCTTAACTCTTTCATCTAAACAATCAAGATTGAGATCTCTTGATCACTTCTATTGGATCAAATCAGTTTCCCTTTCCTAGATCTTCAAATTGTGTCAGAAATTACACATATTTGGTGGTGTTTTACATCACTGAAGACCGTCTCTAACTGTATGTTTCAGTTTCATCACATGATATCTTTACCTTTTCAGAACATTTGGTGTTGTTAATGAGTTCATCAATTTGACAACTCTCTCTACGCCTACTCCAGGGACTCCTTTGGGTAAATAGTCACATCCAAGTAATAATGCCATGGCAATTAACTTCTCTCTAGTCAGACCTAGTCTCTCTTCCACGTCAGTCATACTGTAACACTCAACATGAGGGTCCTATAAAACCAAGAAAATTACTCAAGTAAAACTGTAGATTTACATCAATACTAAAATCTCAAAAGTGAATAAAAAAGAATTTTGCCATTTAAAAAAAGTGAAAAATACTGTTTTACAGGTAATTAAGAGATAGAATTCCCTTTCCTGGTTATATCTAATACAGTGTATATTTATGAATTATTGTAAAAATTTAAGGCATCACTTTTTTTTGTGTTGCATCACTTACTTTTGTATTCATAGTAAAATTTCTGTAAACAGTCCTTGCTCCATATAAGAATGCATCTCCGTCATTTGTTAAACAACCATCTACAACCTAAACAAAATCAGAAACCTCAAAACTAATGTACTTTCCAGTACAACAGTTATGGCTTGAAGAATTCTTTTTTTAAAAAGATCAGTTTCCTTTATTCAGGTTTGCAACAAACTGAAAACAATTTACTTTACCCCTGTGGCATTCAGGGCTGCACAAGTAGCCTCAGCTTCTCCAGAACTCTGTACATAGGGTACCCCGAGATAGTCCAGCATCTCACAGCACTGAAAAATATCCACCATTATACAGAGAGGGCATATTAAAGGATCATCTTATACAATATACCAGTCCAGTATTACTGTAAATGTATTATATTTAGCATGTAAGATATTTGGCGGATATTGATTTTTGAAAAGTTGGCATAGATTTGATTTAGCACACTTCTTAATGTTCTTATTCATGTGTATATGTGCAAGATATTTTGGGTTGTACTTGCTTGAAGTAGCAGAAGTTACTTTCCGCAAAAGGCGCTAAATAGAATACACTGCCAAATGAAATATGTCATCATCGGAACCCAGGGGTTAGGGTTAAGGTTAGGGTTACGCTTTCCCGTGGCCCGGGGCAAGTGAAATTCATCTCGGGAAAGATAGTTTTCATGATAAACTTACCCGAATGGGAAAGTAATAAATTTCAGGCTGAGCCAGGAAAACTTTTCAAGTTTATTAAACGAAATCAATAACAATAAACATCCAATTACATTGTATTATAATCTGCACAAGTCTGCTACATTTCGTTTATTTAATCTGCAATACTTATCATAGGAAGTCCAATTACTTGTATAATATCGGAACCAATCTGGAAAGATCTCAAAATTACGGAATGGCTTTTAAAACAGAAATGATGTTTTGAAAACAATGATTTGTCAAAATGTGCATGATTAAATCAATAGATATTTTAACAAAATAATAAACAAGTATATAACAATTGCTTTTAGATGGTGTATACATTAAAACCACACAATAAAAAAAATAACAAAATAGAGTTGTTTATATTTTTCTAGATTTTTGTTTTCGAGTTCTGTTTTAGGTTAATTAATGATATGTTTTCAAATAAATAAACCAGTAAAATTAAATGATTTTCTGATATGTTTTCAAAAAAAAAAAAAATTAGTAAAACTAGATGATTTTCTCTATCTTTTTGGGGGCAAGTGAATTTTGAATCTGGGCAAGTGGATTCCCAGTCATTACTTGCCCGTGGGCAAGTGAATTTAAAAAAAAATTCTAGACCCCTGGGAGCCCACGGGTTTTCTCTCCGCTACACTACTACAGAGAGAAAATCCATGGGTTCCGGCAATGGTAATATGTTTACAGTAACAACTTCAATGAAACACAGAGCAACAACAATGAAACACAGATCATATTAAAAGATCGATCGATGTGATAATGTGTGTTATGTGATAACAACTTAATAAATCCAAAAATATTTACACAAAATGAGAAAACAATATTGTTCCACTCAAAACAAACTTGAAAATAACAGTAATTTTAAATTTTATGCCAATCAAACGGTTTATTGTAGATTCTGGTGCTACTGCTTTTGACTTTATGAAGTTCTACCTCTCTTAAACAGGCATTAAAGTTTCTCCGCCCTCCCCTTCTCTGGCCCCCAACAGCCTTCTTGTTCGCGTACCGAGACTCCTGACGCTTGGCCATCACCTGCTGTTTTAGATCCGGGGCTCTCCCCTCTATCACAAACACCAGATGTATTCCAAGCTGCAGCAAGTGTGAAACCCGAAAGAAAAGATTCCTGCATTTTCAAATAAAATAGTTATGTGCTGTTAAGTACATTTAAATTTGATTTAAGCATGTTAAGGAAATCTATCAATTTAAAATGTAGTATCAACAAAACCAATTTCTGCTCACATGCAAAATGGCTGTGCAATATTCAATTGCTCAAACTAAAATTTAACTGGTCTCATTCAAACTATACAATTATAGTAATATTGCAAAAACACTTTGAAGTTTTTTTTTAATTCACAGTCAATTTGTTGAAGAGCATATCTCTTGTCAAGTCAAACTGCCTGAAATGAAAATAAAGTATTCACAACATGTTTTATAATGTTGTTGTTTACAGCTGCAGTACATGAAGTGGCATACTTAGGATTGTTTAGAATTTATCTTTAGTGTTGATAAAACACAATTTGAACAAAATTGAATCTACACTAACTAAAGATGCTTTCATATTTCTTTGTCTGTGACTTTTTTCCTACAAGTTTGAACTTGCATTATGGTCCCACCCTACCCCAGGGAACCATGATTTGAACAAACCTGAATTTACATCACTTGAGGTTGGCGATGCTTCCAGATAAATATGACCAATCATGGTTTTGCTGTTCTTGAGAAGAAGATTTTTCCTATATTTTCCTACATAAAATTTTGATCGACCACTGTGGCCCCACCCTACCCTCAGTTGTCATGATTTGAACAATTTAGAATTAACACTACCTAAAGATGATTCCACTTGAGTTTCATCTTTTCTGGAACAGTGGTTCTTGAGAAGAAGATTCTTAAAGATTTTGATCATCCATTGTGGCCCCACCCTACCCCGTTGGTCATGATTTGAACAAATCTGAATCTACACTACCTGTGGATAATTCCACATGAGTTTCATCTTTCCTGGCCCAGTGGTTCTTGAGAAGAAGATTTTTAAAAGATGCCATTAATTTTTCACTAATTTGTAATTATATCCCCTTGGAGGAGGGCGTGGCCCTTCATTTGGACAAACTTGAATCCCCTTTACCCAAAGATACTCTGTACCCCCAAGGATACTCTGTACCAAGTTTGGTTGAAATTGGCCCAGTAGTTCTGGAGAAGAAGATGAAATTGTGAAAAGTTTACAATGACAACAATGACGACAGAAAAATGGACAAATTTAGATCAGAAAAGCTAACTTGAGCCTTCGGCTCAGGTGAGCTAAAAAGATGCAATAGGATTTACACACGTCAAGTTTGCATTCAGCTGTTATACATACCTTAAGAAGGGTTTTGAGACAACCCCTTGCATCTGTTTGACACATTGTGTCTCACACACCCAGATACTGAGATCCACAGCTAAGGTTTGGCCCTTCAGCGAGGAGAGAGTTTGGTGCACTTGCACTGGTTCCAGCACTGACCACAAGTTGGTCACACCCATTTCGGTGACAAAGGGTTAAACTTGGATTATTATCCTGCAAATTAAAATTCATAAGTGACAATACCCTTAAATCAAATAGTCCTGGTGAAGATGTACTGAAATAATGTCACCAAAATGTCCTTTCAATACAGTCAAACCAATAACTTTGAAATTATGCACTTCCTCAATCTTTCATGTGATGTTTAATACAGGGCTTAATTTGGTCACGTTGGTACACAGAGTCCTGTACCCTTTCAAATGGAAATTTTAAATCCAAAAAAAATTTGAAATTATTTATGTCTTATATTATGTTTAACTATCTATAGATAAGAGATAGACTGTAGGCTATTTATTCCCTATACATCTTTATGAATCATTTTACTCTCAAAATTTTAGGGTTCTTTTCATATAAAAAGCATTCAACCTGCTTGTCATTTGGAGTTTTTACCAGGAAAAAAAAAGTCACTTTTCAATCCTTTCACCAAACTTACGTGAATACAATGGATATTATGAAGCCCCGTAAAATTTAATGAAGATGGCATCATCATAGTTTTTTCTTTAATTTACATCTGTGATTTATATACTGTAAATCACTTTTTATTCGCGAGAACTTTATTTTCGCATAATTACACAAGAAAGTGGGCTCACGAAAATTTCGTTCTCGCGTATAATAGTATTCCTTAAGATTACATAGAATAATAACCATAATTCGCGGATATTCTGTCTCACTAATAAAGAGTCAATGACTATCTCATGAAAATAAGGTGTCGCGAAAATTTAGTGATCTACAGTAATTGGTTTATCTAGTTTGATAGCCCATGTATTTGTATATTTTGAGACATAATGAACTAGAATGCCCCCCCCCCCCCCCCCCCCCCCCCGAGTGTATTGATAATGCAACATGAAAATTTGTATTAGTGTATGAAGTTTGATTGAAGTTTGATGAGTTGATAGCTTACATCAGTATGTATCAACATATGAAGTTTGATTACACTATTTTGAATGGTTTCTTTAAAACTGAGCTAAACACAAATTTAAGAAAAGTGAGGCCAAAGTCAAAGAAAAGGTCAAGGTCAAAAATTGTTGATGCATTTGAATAGCTTACCTCAGTATGTATCAGCATATGAATAGTGATGGGAAATCGGAAAAAAAATCAGAATCAATTATCGGTAATAATAAGTTGGGCATAATCGATTAATAAATCGATTATAATAGACATTTTTAACTAGGGATGGCAACGAATATTCGAACATTCGAATATTTGTTCAATGAGTTGATATTCGAATATGAATTTAAGATTCGAATATTCGATGTTTTTTAGATTTCATAAAAAGAAGTACTGTGATTAATAAATTTTTATTAGACCAGTGCTGGAATTATCTCTGTTTAATTTACTAGCGATCAATTTCGGTCGCCTGATTTTTTTCACTACTTTCTTAGCTTATAAATCTACTAAATAACATGTATTTTGTTTTGAGTAAGGTGTTAAAGAATTGTACAATAATGCTTTATGTATAATACAAAACGTACTTTCATAGTTTTTATTAGTTAGATACGATCTTATCTAGAATCAAGGACAACAAATGAAATCTAAGAATGTCTAAAAGAGTGAAGAGTATACTTATCAAAATAAAATTAATAGATCATTGAATGAATGTCTGATAGAATTAATCTGTAATTAATATTGTAAAGAGCTTAATTTCAGAATAAATGTGTAAATTACTTGATTATCTCGGGTTGTACATAATCCTGAATTTTATATTCATTATCGAGAAATTAGTTAATTATCTAGGAAAATTGTCTATGGAAATATTTGTTTTCATTGTATCAAAGATTATAAGCATATCTCTTTTCAGGCAGATAATTGTAATTAATTACACGTATTGAAATCTGAACGGTATACCGTTACGACTATCTTGCCTTTTGTAAGACGACTGGTTCCTCAGTTGGAGCTACTATCAATACACGTTTCATTTGTTAAAATTATACTTTTCTACATTTAAATCAATTATTAATTTCAAACATTGACAAATATCAAATGGAATTTCTTATTGTACACCTACAAAAGTCTTCATACAATTTTATTTATATTATAAGTATACCTACGCTAAACCTTTCATGAGAGTAGGATGATGCATATTTAAAAAAAAAAACAGATTTTATTTATTTTATCAAATATTCGAATATATTCGAATACTTTCATTGAATATTCGAATATGAATTATTGACAAAATTGACATCCCTATTTTTAACTTAACTGAAATAAATATAAAAAAAAGTTAAACTTAATATGCAGATTTAAGTTCAGACTTTAACAAAAAATCATTTAATTAAATATAATATTCAAAAATGTTTATTTTTTTTTTTTTTATTTAATAAAGTTGAAAATAGTATTTCTTTTAAAAAAAATCCAATAATACATTGAATGGGAATTTATTTATTTTTTAAATCTCATTTAAGGTATTGAAAGGGAATATTACTGATATTAGTCCCACCTTGCATTACATGTTTTTATTTCTTTGAATTAAAAGTTTTACAAGTAGTTATCTAGAAATTGGACTTGTATTCCTGATTATAATTACGTTTACAGATCGTCTGTACTAAAAATGTTTTCCTGTGCCACTTTCAAGGCGGGCCATAAAAATGATGAAGTTGGTGGGACTGACTAAATCATCTAATACTGGTTTGTTTTAAGCTGGAAAATTAAGGTAAGCCCAGCCATCTATCATATTGATCAGCCTGATGTATTTCTTAATCTGTTGTCTGTTGGTAACAATAAACGATTCCTTTTCAAATACGAATGTCAGACACCTCAGCCCAACGACACCTCGGCCCATTGACATTTTGGCCCAATGACATCTCGGCTCAGACGGGTCGGCCCAAGATTTAAGACAGCTCGGCCCATACATAAGACACCTCGGCCCAAGCAAAATTTTACTATGAAATATATATTTCCAATTTTGGGACTTGAATTAAAATATTGATTGAAAAAAAGTACATGAATAAAGTACTATCAAACTTTTTTTAAAAAGATCTTCCACAAGCACATTGACGATATTTAAGGAATGAAAAGACAATGCTATTAATGAAGGTGCTAATTGATAAACAAACAAAATGCCGCAGCGCATCCTTTGGAGGGCCAAGTGCCTGTTATATTGGTGACAACAGGGGGTTAATTACAAGCAGACTCAATTGGGAGACAGTAATTAAATACATTTAGATCCATCGAATATTTTCTCATTTATTTCTTAAGAAAACATTTCCCTTCATAAACTTGTTATCGTCGCTTAGAACTAGTTTGAGTCCATTTTTTTCCCAGGCTACTTGTATCAAAGCAAGTATGTGACACGTCTTTTCCATTTTTTTCTTTTTGCTAATACAAGATTAACGCGCGCAACCATGATACTGCAGAAAAAAAATTACATTTTCCACAAGAAATAGATGTAAATGAAAGACTGATCTAATTAAGTTCACTTGGAAAAATAAAACGATTATATCTATCAAAGACCCCCCATTTTTTTATTTTTAAAAAATCGTTTAATCGTCAGAAAAAATAATAACACCAATGATGATATAAATTAAAACGCTGGGTTAATCTGTTAATTTATTTCCATCATAAAATTTTGCTTGGGCCGAGGTGTCTTTTATATGGGCCAACGTGTCAACAATCTCGGGCCTACCTGGCAGGGCCGAGATGTCAAGCGTGCCGGGCCGAGGTGTAGTTGGGCCGAGATGTCTGTCTACCTTCAAATACAATATGAAAGATGTATATACAAACCTGATAATCAAATTATTGAGATGCTAAGGTGTGATATATGATTATTAAATACAGAAATATATAGCCAACAATCACTTTAAACTATTGAGTGACATTTTAGTCAAAGGACTATAAAGTTAAGAGATCATCTCCACATTTTTTTTTTCATAATTAACGAGTCAAGGTGAAGGCCAAAGGTCAAGGACAAATCCATGGTGTCATTTTAAAAAACCCTATTATATCAAAAAAAAGATATCTGCCGTAAACAGATGGACTGACAGATATATACAAATGGATAGGCCGGCATCATTAAACCAAAGACCGAATATAAGCATTATGATTAACAAATATTCATGATAACGACTAGAATCTATACCATTTAGTGTTTGAAAACATTTACTTACTTGATCTAGTCATCATATAAAACTTCGTCTTCATGAACAACACTGACTGCAATTGATTAAATGATGTGCCATAACGTTAACTAACAGTTACATCTTGAACTTCATTATTTACATCCACCATGTCGACCATGTGAAAATAGCAAAATGGCGGGAAAATTTATGTAATTATTCTTTAGTAAAATTTATTAATTAGAATGTTCCTTGAAGGTGGAAGATGAATTTATATAGATTAAACAGCATCATATATGAAAATACAATGTTTTCAGCACTGATTTATGGCAAAAATCGCCCGAAGACCTTGACCAGTGTTGACATTGAAATCCGTTTTTATCCGTATAAAAATCTTTCAAATTTCCTTCTTTATTTTTATATTTAAAAAAAAGTGAGAGAAACATTTTGCATACGTGCAGTTTAAGTTTTTTCTTTTTTTATTTTCAATCCATCAAAAGTTAAGCGGCGTTCTTTTTTGTTCTTTGCTGCAGAGGTTTATTTATGTCACGTGATAAATTGCAGACGAAACCGCGAAGCTGCTTCCGCTCCTTCGCGCCAGATTTCAAACAACGGCGAATTTTTATGTTATTAATGGTAAAAAAGGATAATGCCGCTGTTTGGTAAGAAGATATTTAGTACAGTAAAGCCTTTAACTGATAAAGAACCGAATGAGACGATCTACACGATACCACATACCAAGGAACAGTTCAGATCCAAAGAGTATCCTTTGAAAACAATCACCTGTGAAAAAAATTCAACATGGCCGCGCTCATGGCATCAACAGCGCAATATTCATCAGGGCGAATTAAAATTAAATTACTGAGCTGTGATCATTATTTAGTTAGTAGTTTTAATGTCCTTGTACATGTTTAGCTTTGTATAATAAGTATAAGTAAGAACATGACCGACAAAGTCGATTATCTCAGGCCGGCAAGTTCCATTGATCCTGAAAGAGAAATGGTCTATTGGAGAATAAAGACATAAAATTCGAAACGAAAAATGACAAAAATAACAGTGATCAAAATTCGTTTTCACTGTTGCTTATTGATATTTGCAATAAATGCTTTTGTATACATTTCTGGATAAATTGATTATTATTGGAGGTTTAAAATTGACAGAATTGATAGATTATTTGTAATGATGTTGTAAACATGTATCATTCCATTATAATATTATTGTCCACAAGGAAATATATGATTTTGTGAAAATGCCATTGAATTTGGTAAGATTCATGGTATAAACTTTTTAACTTGAATTTTCTCTGTCTTTTCATCACTTTTGGGAATTAAAACATTGACAGCTCCATGGAACTTCATTTATACAGATTTATTAATCATTGAATGCTATATCAGCCTTAACAGTATGAAGGGAATACACAAAACGTTTGTCGTGGTATAAGGAGAAAATCTGGACATGCAAGTGTACAGGCCATGTGAACCTGACGCATGAAGAAGCATGGAATTCTGAAAAGCAGGTTCTCAAAGTCTTGAAAAATCAGTTCCAGACTGCTTATGAGAAACCAGTACTACAGTTAGTCCACCACAGTAAGATAACTTTAGCACTATTCTTAAATTGTTGTTCATTCCAATCTTAAAAAGTTCATTAGAGGCTATGATATGTAGAGTAAAAGTAATTCCATTGTAGGGTTTGTTTTTGTTACTCAAAATTTAATGCTCTTGAAATCAAATAATTATAAACAAAAACTAAAATTGTACTTTTGTTTTGAACAGGTACTCTTCCTCTTGAAAGCATTGTTGATCAAGCTTGGCTCAAACTGCAGCAGGTGCTCTGCATAGGAGAAAAGGTTGTTTTAAAGATAAAGGCTGCTGGAAAAACGTGCGTTGAATTAAAGTGCATGGTGACTATAAAATGGGAGACAAGCTTGAAATTTCACAATCCATTCATGATAATGTTGTATAATTTTTCTAATCCTGATGCTGCATTTTAGCTGTTTCTGAGAAAATCATATTAGATTTAATAAACAATATTCTTTGTATCACAGAATTCAAGGTGTGGTTGTGAAAGTGGACACAGCAGGATGCCAGGTAACTAGTCAAAATATAAAACTAACAATCATCTCAAGCCACTCATAATCATAACCTATCTATACAGAGGTAAAATATGTAGCATAATTGAAAAATCCCATGCCTTTTGTTTTAAACATTTCTGTTGTATATTTTATTAATCCTTATATGAATACATGTACTTGTAAAATACAGTTAATGATTAAATTTTGATTAATTTTTTAAGGTGAACCCCACTAGCAACTGTAGCTCTCCCTCAAGTGACAAAGAAAACAAGGCTGAAGAGGGAAACTCGCCCAAAAAATGGACCCCACCCAAGGTAAGGCAGCTCATTAATAAATATGCCTTTACATATCATTGAGAATCATTAATTTATTAAAAAATTTGATAAAAGATACTTGACATTTACATATGAATTGTTCCTACTTCTTAAGTGTAAGTTAAATTAGATGTACAAATGTTGTCTTTGTCAGTTACTGCCTTACAAGTACAGCTTCCGTCTAGAGGGAGAAGACAAAATTATTAATGCAGTTCCAGCTTCAGATCTTCAGTGAGTAAGACTAAGGAATTATTAAAGTTATCAAAGGGCATTTAAAAAGTTCTGATAATTTCTGATAAAATGTTAACTGTTTAATAGGAATTAATCTTTTTGTTGTCATTGAAAAGATCAAGTAAATGAAATAAAAAAAAAAAACTAAGTAGATTTCTAATCTGATTCGTCTGTTTGTAGGCGGACAGATAAGCCTCCATCTAAGGAACTCATCCGACTGTTCATCCGAGCCAATTCCGTCAGGTCTGGGCAGAACCCCACCAGTCCGTGGGTCGTGGATGAAAATAAAGTCAAGGAGTTTAATCTACCCAACAAGTTTAATGATTTCTTCTTGTCACCTGTCAAGGTGAATATAGATTACCAGATTGTCAATACAGCAATAAATTTAAATAGAAAATTCTGAAAATATCTATTCATTCACCATTCTCTACAACATTATAAATTATTTACAAAGAAATGTAATAAGCTGACAGTTACGCATATACTAGGTATATGCTTAAAGTATGAATTAAAACAATGTCTGTACATGTAACTGTGATCACTCAACAGGTGGCAGAGGTGGCAAAGAAAGCAGAGGAAGAAAGGGCAAAGAAAAGAAAGTCCACAGGAAAGCATGATTCTTCATCCTCTAAAAAACTGAAGAAAATGAAAGGAGAAGAAAAGAGCAAGGATAACAAAAAACAAATGACTCTGTCGCCACTGAAAAAGAAAGTGTCAAAGACGCCGACCAAGTCTTCAGATGATGATGTACAAATCATTGAGAATTCAGACTCTGAGAGTGATGAAGATAAGCCATTAGCCAAACTGAACAAATCTAGTCCCTCCAAAAAGACCTCAGAGAAAAAAGAAAAGAAGCAGAAAGTAAAAAAGGTAATTATTCTAAGATAGCAAGAATTGATGCTGAATTTTTACTTTGGGTAGCATTTACGTGAATGATATCAAAGGTGATTATTTTCTGCATGGTATCTCTATAGGAAAAGAAAGAAAAGACCCCAAAGAAAGATGGTAAGAAGAAAAAGGAAAAACTAGAATCTGCTGACAGTGATGATGAGCCCCTTGCAAAGTTGAAAAAGTCCCCCTCTAAAAAGGTAATGAAGTTCAATACTGTTGTCAGTATTCATAGTGTCTACTTTGTGTGAACGCATCCATAAAAGAGGCATTTATACAATGCACAGATACGTGATTTAACTACAGCACATATTAAAATACACTTGTTCCCTGACAGGGTATGAAGCAGATGACATTATTTGATTTATCAAAGAAAAAAGGGATGAAAACCCCAGACAAAAAGAAAATGGGATCTTTAAGAACACCAGAAAAAGGCAACAAAACACCAGATCGACCAATTAAATCTCCCACCAGCAAAACCCCAGCCATTGTGTCTAAAATGGTCAGGGCCTTCAAACTGAAAGAGGAAGCAAAATTAAAGAACTTGGCTGTAAAAGCAGCTGATATACTGACTGTCAATCAGATGAAAAAACTACCCTCGGACATTAAAGACCTCGTCAACAAACGATTCGAAAAGATTCAGGAAAAGAAGAAACTGTAATTTGTGTATTCTCAAGTTTTACGATCATAGTTCATGTAACACCATAAAAATGACAAAATCAAGTTTCAACGAGATAGAATCAGACACAATTATTATTGTGTCATACAGAATTTTTTTACCTGGTTAATTTTATATGATCTGTTTATGTATATATCTGAATTTCAGATAACAAAAGAAAAGCTGTGTGAAATGGTGACAAGTTTTCTCTTGTCTATGCAAGTTTGTTTTGACATATTTTAAATTGAGCACAAACTTTATTTGACAGTGCCAGCATGACTGAGGAGGAAAAGGCAAATTACATGAAAGAGAAGAAAGAGAAACAAAAACAGGAAATGAGAGAAAAGCAGCTGAAACTCAGACAGGTACGTATTAGTACATATATAACATTAATATCAACTCAGACAGGTAAAGTGCTCATTTTCCTTCAATGTCAGTTTTGAAATGCATATCCTTGAGATCACTTGGTATCCTTCCAAAATATGACTATACACTACATAAGACCATCAATATACACAATAGATTCTGTATTTAATATTTAGAATTAATAATGAATATTGCATTAGAGAACATTCATTTACATAACCATGGTTGTGGATAACCGCTTGCCCACTAGCCAATACAGTAAAATTTGCTTTGAGTGATTAGATATTATAAAGCTGAACACCCACAAGGCGAACAATTTTTTTCTGGAACATGATCACATTTCACTTTTATTTTGTATATACTTGTAGTTTTGGTAAAATGCTCTAACCAAGATTATTTGTGTTGTGTCCAAAGCAGATAGCTCAAACATGTACATGGCATAGACCAAACATGATGATTTATCGAAGCAGTTAAGAAACAAATTACTTGAATGAATATGAAGGCAAACATTTGAGGTTGTTCTTGTAGAAATGTTTGAATAATCGGTTATGGTTGTCATACACTCCAACCAGGATGTCTTATAATTTGGCCCCCTTGTTAAAAACACCAAAATGTAACAAATGTACATGTTTTATTGGATAAGATTTTAAAAAAGATAAATATCTATTGAAACTTCGAACACTGCAAATATATTGATGACTATGAACAAAAAAGAAATTTTTTTTTTTTAAAAAATCAAGAAACATTTTACTATTGTTATTTTTTAATTTATAAGTAATGTGGGCCCATGCATCACATTGTGGTCCCTTAAACTTTAAAAAATGGGGTTAGGGGCCCACATGGCCCCCAATGTTTCAACTGTTAACCACAACCCTGTCATTCTAAATAGAATTGAAAGGGACATACATGTATTTTTTTTTTTAATCATACAAGTTACAGAAAAGGAATGTATATGTAAACGTTTAATGGAAGTAACATATTTGAAATAAATTGATCTCTGTATGATTTGTCTTCCAACACAGAAATTTGAGGATCAGGAGTTATCTAACCTGAAGCCTCTACCAGCTCCAAAATTAGTGACCACCCCTGAGGGACTGCCTAATGAGCTGTTTGGGGACATCACCATGGTGACAGAGTTTGTCAGCTGTTACTCAGGACTTCTGATGCCAAAAGATGACTACCCTATATATACAGGTGAATAGATAAATATGCATTTGTAATTTTACTCCTAACAATACATGTATGACAAATTCAAAGAAGTTACAGAGCACTGAAAACAATTATATAGTCTTGTAGAAAAAAAAAAATCTTGAAGAAGTTCATAAAGTAGCTTATACATTAAATAAAGGGTATGAGATGTTCTGTGATAATTCTCAAATAATTACAGAAATTGTCATGTGGAAAAGGTCAGTGCAACAAGATCTTTGTGTTTCTTGATTAGGTATAAAGACTAATTTTATCCCTGCATTTCTTTAAAAAAACATTATATATGTACTTTATACACTCTACATGTATGTGCAGTTGATAGAGGCCATTTACAATGTAATATTTTGCTTTCTTTGTAAGATGCCTTAATGAAGGCTCTGTGCAGTGGTAAGGAAGGCTTCCTGTACATTGGTCGAGTCCTGGTAGTTCTACTTCAGACTCTTCTGCAGGATCAGATATCAGAGGTTTGTCTTGTCCTTAATTCAGCAGCAAATTAGGAAAAGACAGCTCTTACTGAAATTCATTTTAAAATTAACCCATATGTGCATTATATTGTTAAGAGTTGAATATTTCTACAGGATTACCAGGAGATGCGTGTGTCCCTTAGTGACATTCCTGTGAACCCGTACACGGCCTCGGAGTTGGTTCGGCTCTGTCTGAGGAGACAAGATGTCGAGGATCAGAGTACGAGTAATGTCAGCACTGACACGGATCTAGATGAGGAAGTGGTAAACACTGCTAATTTAACGTTGAATACATGTTCATGTAAATACTGTACAAGTGGAATTTTTATCGAGATGCAAATTTAGAAAATTTTCCTAAAAATTTTGATATTTTATTTTTGTGAGAAGTAATTTTAGCAATTTTGTGATACATAGAAAGATAATGATAACCTCCGATGTGGAATGAATTATCTCAACAACCTCGCTAAAAATGCCAAAATTGAATCCTTGCTAAAATTTCTGCTTATACAGTAGGTTATAGAGAATTCAAAATTTGTAAATTCAACCTTTACTCCTTTTTTTTCCTTTATTTGAAAAGTCATTGTCTCTAAATGATAGAATCCTTGATGCAACAGGATAACAATGAAGCAAAATCATCCATCCATGGCAGCTCATTATAAGTGTGTTATACTGTACATATGAAAAACAGTAGTATTTGAGTCATTTGTTGCTTATAAAAAGATTTCTCTTCTTTACAGTCAGATGACATTATTCAGCAGTTGGAAACCCAGGAATTCTTTATGTTAGACCCAGTGCAGAAAATTCAGATCCTTAAGGGCCTGTGTCTGAGAATCATGGGAACCTATTCTGTCCAGGATTACATGGAGGAAAAACAGCAGGAAGCCACACAACTCTGGTCAGTATCAAATAGACCTTAACCAACTCTTGTCAGTAAATGGATCTTAAATCCAAAACAACAACTCTGGTAATTGGTCATTCTCTATTGGACATTAAATTAACCAGACTCTGGTTAGTTAAACTGACATACCTAACTCTGGTCAGTATCAAGTATAGTGGACCTTAAACTGGCATACCCAACTCTGGTCATTTTCAAGTATAGTGGACCTTCAACTGACATACCCAACTCTAGTGTTGGGTATGTCAGTTGAAGGTCCACTATACTTGAAAATGACCGATCTGTTTCAAATAGACTTTAAGCTAACATAAGCCAACTCTGACCAGTGTAAAAAAAAAATAGATCAAAGAGCATTTAGGTGTTATGATTTAAAAGTAGCTACATCTTTATTTCTGGTAGACAGTGTGTATTGAACAGAAGTATCATATTGAACCACTTATAGTTACATATCTTCTCAAAGTAAAATCAGAACTGAAAAGTTGACAAATGTTAGGTTTACTGGGTTTTATTTAAAGTGATTTATTTTCAGGAAAACAAAATTAAAAGAGATGAAATCAAAGAATGATCAAAGTAAAACCAGAACTGAAAAGTTGACAAATGTTAGGTTTACTGGGTTTTATTTGAAGTGATTTATTTTCAGGAAAACAAAATTAAAAGAGATGAAATCAAAGAATGATCAAAGTAAAACCAGAACTGAAAAGTTGACAGTTCTTAGGTTTACTGGGTTTTATATAAAGTGATTTATTTTCAGGAAAACAAAATTAAAAGAGGTGAAATCAAAGAATGATCAAAGTAAAACCAGAACTGAAAAGTTGACAGTTCTTAGGTTTACTGGGTTTTATATAAAGTGATTTATTTTCAGGAAAACAAAATTAAAAGAGATGAAATCAAAGAATGATCAAAGTAAAACCAGAACTGAAAGTTGACAGTTCTTAGGTTTACTGGGTTTTATATAAAGTGATTTATTTTCAGGAAAACAAAATTAAAAGAGATGAAATCAAAGAATGATCAAAGTAAAACCAGAACTGAAAGTTGACAGTTCTTAGGTTTACTGGGTTTTATTTGAAGTGATTTATTTTCAGGAAAACAAAATTAAAAGAGATGAAATCAAAGAATGATGAACTGAAAAAAGTAAAGAATAAGAAGGGACTGGTGAATGGGGAGGAACCAACCAAAGCCAAAGAGGGGGAGGGGGAAAATCAGGGGAAGGAGGAGGATCCTAATAGTAAGTCATCTACTGTATTTGATTAAAGCTGCTACATATATCTTTATGTTAAAAAATATATTTCACTGAGAATAGGAAAGTAATTTCTTGTCATTATATGAGTAAATGATTATTTTTCTGTTGAATTTTATGGGTTATTACCTACTTAGCCCAATAACTACAAAATTTCTTTGAAAAAAAAGGTCAGTCATAAAACTAATGCTACTGTCAACCTCTATCTCAACTTGTGTGGACCATTAAAAACACTTCGAGATATCCAATGTTCAAGAAAACAAGGTTAAAAAATTTAAAGAAAAAGTGGTTGAGACTTAAAATTCACTTTAGCATATCCAAGGTATTTGAAATATGGTGTTCAAGATACTGAAGTTCAACTGTATTTGCTGTTTTTCAGGGGATATTTTAATTACCCATTTTTATGGGAAACAGGCAGTAGAAAGTGATGGATCTAAACCAGGGACCCCCACACCTATGGATTCAGCCGAGGAGAAGGATGACCTGGCGTCGGTGGTCAAAAGACGTAGAATCACCACGGCCCAGGCATTAGCTGAAAAGAAGAAAAAGGAGGAGGAGGACAGGTTAAGGTAGTGGACTGAGGAATTTTGTGACTGAGGTTCATTAATAAAAGTACTGGATACAGGGAGAATTCCTCCCACCTCCTACCCCTTTTATTTTTTACCTCATCGGAAGTGGGCAAATTTGAAATGGAGCCAATTCAAATCAAATTGCATTATTTCTTTAACACAACTTTGTCTGAATGAATTTAAAATGGGACATAATTGTTCAAATGTGAGAGAAGGCGAAAGTAACAAAAAATAGCCCTTTATACAGTAAACCATAGTTTATATATCACAGCCTGAGGGCTAACCAAAATTGTTACATTTTAATGTGTACATGTGCATGTATATTCATTTTTTATCCCATTTTATTGAACATATTGATTGACATGTAAGAAGATATCCGCTAGCATTGATTGATTTACGTGTAGATGTATTTTATGTGTTAATGGAGTTATGTTATACTAAAGTGGTTAGAATCAAGTGGAGAGTTGTATAGGTACATTTAATAGTACATGCGCTTTAGTGAATTTGTACTTATACTGTATTGTGTATTTGATACAGGAGGCAAAAAGAAGCTGAAATATACAAGAAAGAAATAGAGATGGAGAAATTTGAGAAAAAGTTTACAGTAAGTTTAACAAAGCATGAGCCACAATGTTCATCCTCTGTTATTAATGTTTTGATATAAAAGTTATAATAATTAACACCTTCATTAATTGTACATTTACATACATATTAAGAATTCAATAATGTCTTTTTTGTCAGGAGACTTTACATTGTATTCAGGGATTTATCAGTACCTTCTCAGGGGCAGAAATTCGGCCCCATTCCCAATTGAAAATGAGTTCAATTTTTCCCAATTTGGCAGTATTTTTTCCCAATTGGTGAACAATGCTTTGATATGTAATTATCTTGGGAAAAACTCAGTAAAATTGTCAGTTTGTCTGTAATTTTCCTCTATTTATCTCATTTAGCAAAGCTACAGTTATAAGATGTTGAAAAACATTGTAAGTAAAAATCGTCGACTTTTAATCCAAATTTTCTCCGTTTTTCTGAAAATGATGATATTGTTTAATGATACAGATTTATTAAGTTATTTTCCACCTACTCAATTGATCTACAAGTGAATGGTAAGAACTGTAGGCATACATTTCAGATGGAAATATATATTTTCAGTGCATTTTTACATATTAAAAGAGGACTTTGAGAAAATGTGTACTTAGTATCATTTTTTGCAGGAGGTTTATAATCTCCAGAAACAGATTCTAATCACCTAAACTGGAATCTCATAAACACATGTACTACCCTAAGTTGTATAAATACTTTATACCCATTGAAATCAAATTTAGTTTTATTAGTCTATTATTCATTATCATAATTGATCATGTATGATGAAGTTGTCTGTCTGGTTGCCCAGATTAGAGTTCATGCTAAAATGTTAAATGAGTTACACCTGAGTACATGATGTTTGCCATATTTTTATTTTTCCCAATTTCATCAAAAAGTCGATAATTTTTTCCCAATTCCCTAAAAATGGCGTTTCCCAAAATAGGCTGATAAATCCCTGGTATTTGAATTTGAAAAGTTGTGCTGTGAGTAACATTTTACATATGTGCATGTATGTAATAAACAAAATTTCACTTGTAAAAAATTTGCAGGAAGGGATAGCTCTTGCTAAGGCTGTGCTAAGACAAACTCCGATAGGAACGGATCGTAACCATAACAGATACTGGGTGTTTTCACAGACCACACCAGGACTTTACATTGAAAAAGGCAAGCTTTGACATCAACACTTTTCAGATTTGTTTTTACAATTCCTTACTTTGATTTGTAGTTTTTAGAAGCACCAAGAGTGACCCTATGTGCTTGTGTAGACTGTAAACCAGGAGCTCATTGTTTATGTCTTGTCTAATAGGATGGGTAACGGATTACATTGACTATAACGTCCCCAAATCTGAAGAATCGGATGATTCTGACGATGACGTGGTGGTGACAGAAGATGGTCCATTGTCCGAGTCACGGACAGCTGCTGAGAAAACGTAAACATTGTTCTCTTCATCTTGTCAAAGATCTGAATCTGACATGTATTTTGCAAGAATAATTTCCCTTCTGATTTTCAATAGGCATTAAATTTCAAAATGTCAACAATATTTAAAGAGATGGAGAATAAACATCCATGGGCCTTGCATTTTATTGGAAAATCTTTCAAAGAAAGTTGATGTGTTTGATTTTAAGGCACACAATTTTGGTCAGATCAAGTTCAAGTTACATTGAGATGGAATATCACTGTCTAATGTCATGTGATTTTAGAGCTCCCAAAATTGGACAGAATCTGTGGTTTACGTACGACTCGGTCAAAGACCTCGACATTCTGATAGATAGTCTCCACCCACAGGGGATCCGAGAAAATCATCTACGAGCCGAACTCAAAAAGAGATATGATATTGTACACAAAGCTGTGATACGAGCCAACAGGTACTGTAACAAATGAGTCTTACTGTAAAGGTTAATTGATGGTTTCAACCATGTTAAATGTACATATATGTTCATGTATTTGTTAATTTTCCTAATTAGATTTACAGTTCTACAGCTGTAAGTCACTTTATTTGTGAGGACTTTATTTTTGCGTAATTACGCAATACTGTCTGCTCACCAAAAATTTTTATTCTCACGTATATTTAAAAATTAAAAAATTATGCACAAAAATAACCAGAATTTTGTGAAAAGTTTTTCACTTTTAAATACATGTAAGAAGTGACTGTCCCGCAAAAATAAGGTGTCCTGATAATTTGGTGATCTACTACATGTCCATTTCAACACTGGTAACTTCTCTCCTTTGTAGAACCAATTTAGAACTCAGGGATTGTGACGGAGAAAAGGGATTGATGGAAGCTTATAAAAAGGTCAGTATTATTTCAGATTCTTGATACACATTTGATTGATTGGTCTTTAAACTTTGACAATATTTTGCACTGTCCAGATGTTGATAGTTGATACACAAGATGATGTTGAATTTTTCTTTTAGTTATTTTTCTTATGTTATAAGTTTATACTGTAAAAGTAAATTGTTCAATTAAAATTCTCCCCTGAAAATAACCTTTTGTCTTCATTAGACATCGGAGTACAATGAGAATGAGGCTCACTTTAAAAAGGTATGACATCATGAACGTCACTCATCATCATTGTACTGGATAATGTATAACATGCTTACCTGGCTTCATTTTTCATGATTTTTTTAAAGCAGCTCAATAAAGTGTCATCTATATTTTTGCTCTAAATTTGTTTATTTCTCTTTCATAAAACTGTTTCAGGTTGTCATGCACTAAATCATAAAATTGTTCCAGATCTTCATGCACTAAACATTGAATGAATTCCATCCTTTTTCATATGACATTTCATATCTTCCCTAAGCTACACCTTTGTAAAAATTAAAACAAAAAGTTGATTGCACTTTTTTTTACCTCCACATTCTGAACTGACACTGATTTTTGTATGGAATTTTTGTGTGAGTGATTTGCATTGGATTAAAATGGCATGGAAAAAATCAATACATTTACAGTCTTAGGCAGACAATTAAAAAAAAAAATGATTTCTTTGATGTTCTCCGACCATCCCATCAAAATCACCCCACTCAATCATTTTTTTTTAGGACATTCAATACTATTGTTTTTAAAGATAGGATTTATCATTTCTATGAAATACTTCATAGATTAAAAGTTTTCACAATAATAGCTATTAAGTCTGTTTAGCTGTCAGGTGCCTATAATAAAAATTTCTAAGTTTGTGTTTTTTTTATGATGAATATAAGTGTTAGAAAATTATTGAAAAAAAAACTACCTGGATTCTACCTTCCTTCCCACCTTGAAAAATGTGGGTTGGGGTACGTCAAACAAGAAAATTTTAATGATGGCCTTATTTTATTATTGATAGTAAATGTGCATGTGTATGTAGTACAGTAAACTGTTAAAACTCTATACAAATAAGATGAACCACTGCTGCTGCCGCTGTAAATGAGATGAATCTGTTAATTTTCAGGAGTTGTTGGACACGGAGCTGAGGTTACGGAATGGAGGACTAGGAGGAGTGGATGATTTCCCTGTGTGGGAGAAAAAACTAGAGACTTCAGCAGACTTAACAGGCATGGTGAGTTTAGGTTCTGTGTAATAAAAAGTTATTCAAGGTATAGGAAAATGTGTGTTATGACAAGCTCATGTGACAGGCAAAATTACTTGTCTATAATTACATGTATATGCAATTTATGAAGAATTTTTTTCATTCATTTAAAAAAAAAGAAACGTTTTCTCCATGTCAATTGCTTGAAACTCACCATTCTTGAAAAACAATGAAGTGCACAAACAAGGGAGATGTCACGTAAAATTGAATTCCATTTTTGTTTTCAGGCGGAGTGCCTGTTAGAAGTGCAGGAGAATGTGCTAGAGAAGTTTCGTCAGGGTATCATGGCTGTGAGTAAGAAGAAGATTCTGGTCAAATCTGGGGATGACAGTGACGCAGAGGAGAAAGGTATGTCTCTTGTTCTGAAAATCTTACACTGACATGTTCTCTCAGCAAAATCCTTTTATTCCTCCATTAACCTTTTCATATACATGTAGCTATTTAGCTCTCCTTGATAAAGTAGAGATGAGCTTTTGCTTTACTGTCTGTGTCAGCATTAGGTTTTAGGAGGAAGTCTATTCCCAAGTAACTGTATATCCCACCAGGCCCAGTCTTTTATGGATTATGCATCTAAGGATGTATGCTATCAAACTTGCTTTGGATGATGGAGCCAACCTACATTTTGCAGTTGAGTTGAGCAAGTCCATTCCTAAGTAACTACATGTATAAGCCCTATATTGACCATACTTGCATGGATGATACATCTAAGGATGCACACAACCAGGCTTGCTTCGGATGCTGGATCTGACATAGATTTTGCAGATGAGTAAGTTAAAGTTTTTTGAGCAAGTCCATTCCAAGTAAATATAAACCCTACTTGACAAAACTTGCAAGGATGATGCATGGATGATGGATGATGCATCTAATCTTGAACACTACCAGACTTGCTTCAGATGCTGGATCTGTCCTACATTTTCCAGTTGAGTGACCAGTTAAAGAGTTTTTGGAGCTAGTCCATTCCCAAGTAACTATAAGCCCTATGTTGACCAAACTAAAGGATGATGTAACTAGGTGTGCACACTAACAGAACATTTATTTGCTGTTGTGGGACTTTGTCTTATTTCTAGATAATATTACTCAAGGTGAGCTTTGTAATCTTTTGATTATCCACGTTCATGAAAGGGAAAAACAGGACAAGTTTTGACATTTTGGATTCTTCAAACACTTTTGGGTGATTAAGCAGGTCAGAAAGCTGTACAGTATATTGATGTACTGTAGATCACTTTTTATTCGCTAGAACTTTATTTTGGCATAATTACACGAGACAGTCTGCTCGCGAAAATGTCATTCTCTGGTATATTTGTAGTATAAAAGATTATATAGAACAATAATCAGAGTTCGTGAAAATTATGTCTCGCTTATAATTACCAAATGGCCATCTCACGAAATTAAAGTGTCGCCAAAATCTGGTGATCTACTGTACGTAGATCTCTTATGATAAAGATGATGAATTAATTGTACTAGAATCACTATTTTGTCAGTACATAGCATTAAGTTCAGTTTTTGATGTTACAGAGGAAGAGATCACAGTTTGTCTGGGTATATCTAAGTGGCGAGAGGCAGTGGAGAATGCTAGTACCTTGTCAAGACTTCATGTTCTCTTCGGCATCCTGGAAGCTTGTATAAAGTGGGAAAAATCAGCTGAAAATGCGGTACAGTTTTACACAATATATATTGTCTGATTGAATTACTGATTGAAACAAAATAAAAGATGAATATAACTGTGCTTGATTTGTTATTTCCAGAAATGTAAGATCTGTCGTAAGAAAGGAGATGATTCGGCTTTGTTGCTATGTGACGATTGTAACCAAGCTTTCCACATGCATTGCCTACGGCCAGCTCTCTTTGAGATTCCTAAAGGCGACTGGTTATGTCCAGCCTGCGATGTATGTTGAACTTCAAAAAACTAAGATCATTCTTTCTTACAAAATTTTATATTACAACGTAATTACTATAATTATTTTTCAGCCAAATCATTCAAGAAGACGAGTTCGGGATTACCCTAAAAACTACCATGTATCAGATTCAAATGATGAAGCAAGTGTAAGTAGGAATAGATCATTTAGAGGGATTACTCTAAATACTACCATGTCAGATTCAAATGATGAGTCTAGTGTAAGTACATGTATGAATGGATGAATGTATGAATGAAAATGTACATATTTAAGCCCACTCAAAATTTAGCACAATATTCCTCATCAACATATCTGAATGATCATTCATAAGCACAGTTGGAGCATAGTTACTCTATATATTTTGAACATATATCTGTGTGTATTTGAATTTGTGGACATAAAGCAATGCAAAAAGTGCGAAATTGTGATTGCCTGACGCCACGTGCGTCAGGCAGTATAAGGATTAAAATTTTCAAGATCCGAAACTGAGCGATCATTCTTAATGAACTAGATTTTCTGGAAGCTGATTTACACTGGAATTTGTTACCTGCATTTAAACTAATACAGTTTGCTGCAGAAATAATCGTATTACTGATGCAAAATAATGATGTGTTTAATTCCTTCAATTTTTTGGCATGCACATGTTTATTCTTTGCGATTCTTTGTACGGGCATGTCCGTGTAACACTTTGTCTGCGTTACTAAACTACTGGATCAGTCCATTTGCCTTCTACAAAAGGGGTGACACAATCATTTCGCGCCAAATGTCACATGTATATTATCTTCGCGCCTTTTTCTTGGGTTGTTCTATTGAATGGGTGTGATAGCTTCTATGGAAATAAATAACGTTTATTCTTTTAACCTGATTCTTAAACTTCAGATTTTTTATTAACCGTAAATTTTATCTCAGTTTTAAAAGAACACATTGTATATGGGCAGGCAACACTAAAGCAATGGATTTGCTGATTATTCTTTCTATTTATCCCATAAGTGAACTAGTCCAATCATGAGCAAACTCCCTCGACCTAGTAAATGGGACATCCCTTCTTGATTCAGTCTGTTTCCCACCTTTACTTTCAACATTACATTTATTAACAATGTACGATACAAGGTTAGGTTTTTAAAAAAAGCTTAGAAAGTCAGCCAGTAGCATATTATTTAGGAATAGTAACAGACTAGAGAGAAAAAAATACGTTTAAGTCGAAAGTGATGTTGCTCGTTTGTGGTAGAAATTTGTGATGAACAAAGATAGTGACAATAGTAGGTCAGTACCCATAGAGGAATGGGCTTACATGTAACTCCCGTAAGGTTCTAAGCAAAGAATCGGCAAAATGAAGAAGACATCATGATCTGTACTAGTTTTCATTTCATATAAAAGCACGTTATTATAATTATGAGAAAGGCCTGAAATCGATTGAAAAGAAAAACTAAATAATTTTAAAACTGCACATAAAGATGTATTTTTAAACTCATTTATAATACATGTATATGGTAAGACCATCAGCGTGTGAGTTTCGTCCGGGGGGGGGGGGGGGGGGGGTGTTATTAGTATCTTGCTTTGCTCTAGCTATAAAGTGTACAGTCCATTTACTTTGAGTTCTAGAGCAGCATTGAAGCATTTTTGTCTCAAACACTTCAAGAAAAGGCAGTTAAAACGGTTCATAATTTACTTCGATGTCGAGAACAACTGAAAACAGACCAGTCTATAAAAAGAGGCCGTCTCATTAATCTATCACTGACCAGAGAAGTGCGCCCTCTAGTAAGAGAGTAAATGTAATATGAATTTCTTTAGAATCATCTAACTATTTTCCCCAAAATTATAATCTACGTTATCACACTTAGAGTTTCATCCCAACGTAACTTGTCAGCCCGTGGGCTAACTAATAAATGATTGAATAGTAGCCTGTCTTAGATATTCGTGTATCTGCAGTATTTGGTTATGAGATTTAAGAAAGTCAATTGTACATCTTGATATAAGATATTGATTGATTAGTCAGGCAAGCTTTTTGAAAAGCTATTACTTGTAACCATTTTAAGAATTCAATACAAGTACATCTGTAGTATAGAACATTTAAAAGCGGTATAAAATTACAGTGGTACTGATTTGTTTATTTAGGATGAGAGTGAAATAGAACATGAAGACAAGTGTGTACAGTGTGGCCATGATGAGAATCTTATTCTGTGTGCCAAGTGTCCATCCGCCTACCACCTGGAGTGCCACGACCCTCCTCTCCGTCGACCCCCCAGGTAAAAATACTTCCGCTTTATTAATAGATTGATTGGGTCAAACGTTACAATGTTTGAGCAAAATGTTAGAGTAAAAATTTGCGAATGATTATGAATAAAAATAATTAAATATCTAATTATTTGTGTATTCTTCAATCTGTAGATACACTGTACATGTATGTCTGAAATGTGTAAATGGAACATTTTATTGCAGGGGTCACTGGGAGTGCAACGAGTGTAAGACGGGTGTAAAAAGGTCAACCAGGTCTAAAACGGCAAGGAGAAATGCTGTAAAGAATAAGAGAGGTACGTGTATAAGCATATAAATATAGGAAAAACAGAATTTATGACAAAAAAATCAAAAAGACTTTACTGGTTGAAAAATTCATTTCTTTTGAATTCAGTAAGAGTATAGAACAAAACTTACATGTAAGTTCCTACTGACAAATAAAACTCTTCTGACTTTAAGAAAATTTGTTACAGTAGAAGTGAACTAAACATAATTTAATGTTTTAGCCCCTCCAAGGCGGCGTAATTATGAGGAGTCGGAAGGCAGCACAACAGAGGAGGAAGAAGAAGAAAGCGATGAGGAGGGTGAGGAAAGTTCTGGTACAGAGGAGGAGGAAGAGGCTCAACCTCCGAGAAAGTCACAGCGCCGATCTCAGGACACAATGGCACGACGGGGCAGGCCAGCTGCTCAGGCACGTGGCCGGGACAGGACCAGGAATAGGTCCACTGATGAAGAAATGACAGTATCACGATCAGGATCATCACGACGGGCACCGTCAGATTTATCTGTGAGTGTTCTTCTCTGTTGTCAAAGGTGCTGTAACATTGATTGTGTTTTGTTGTCCTTGTAAAGCAAAAGTCACAAATGATTTAAGGAGGCACTTTTATACTGTGATGGTATAAGCTTTAACATTAGGAATCATTATTTTGCTCCAATGTACTCTGTGATACATGAACTTAACTACACTACAAAAAACATGTTTAAAATGATTTTCAAGCTATATTAATTGTCAGTCATAGTCCTTATTAAAAAAAACTCTACCTAATTAATCACACTGAACTACTGAAGTTTTCTAAAATTCATGAGTGTCCTTGTTTTACAATATAGATATGTGAGCAGATTGTAGCCAACACCATGAAACAGAAAGCCTGCTGGCCATTCTTAAATCCTGTCAACAAAAAGGAGGTAAGGCATTTTATAGAAATTTTTATTATATACAGTATATAATGCTACATGAACTCAAGAAACAAAAGTTTTAATATTAATCTGACTCCTCTGTTGAATAGGTACCTGATTACTACCAGATCATCAAGCATCCATTAGATTTCCAGATCATTAAGGATCGACTTCAATGTCTGGTGTATGGATCTCCTCTAGAGGTGATGGAAGATGTGAAGCTGGTCTTCAATAATGCTGAGACATACAACAAAGTAAGATCATCAGTATTGCAGAGACCTATAACAAAGACTGTCAATAATGCTGAAACATAAAACAAAGTTTAACAGGAAATACATGTATATTGTTTTCATGTTTGATAAAAGGCTTATCTCATCTTTGAAAAATAGAAAATTGAGTTATTTCCCTTTATATGTCATAAAATTGATCAATGTGGCATTGTTTGACCAAGGCGGTGACTGAGAAACTATAGACTAATATATTTTTTTTGCCTAATAAAGTAAGATCTTTAGTAATGCCAAAACAATATGTTCACATACATGTATAACAAGACTTGTACTCATTACTGAGATAGCAAAATTAATGTACTGGAACAAAGCTTGGAATATAACAATAAGATAAAACAAACTGAAAGTTAAGACAAGTAACAAATTTGACTGTAACATGTTTTAAAAAGTATCATTTAAGATACTGACTTTTTAAATTGCAAAATGTTGTTCACTGATATTTTATATTGCACAATGCTTAGTGCACATACAATTTTCCTATAGTTATACATGCTGAAATAAAAATTAGTCAATAAATAAAATTAAAAAAATCAAACACTGGATGCATAAGAAGATACATATGCAGAGGAAACCATGAATAAAGGTTGTTACATGTCATTTATCAATAATTTATTTTTTAATGACAGGAGGGCAGTGAAATTCTGGATTATATGAGGGAAGTCGAGACCTACTTTTCTGAACAAATGAAGAAACATCTGCCGACATTCCCGTATTATCGACAGACCCTGACCAATGGGCATGCTGATTGACAGAATTAGTGATGCTTTCCTTGGTTTTTATAGAGTAAAATACACTGTAGCATCTGAATGTAAGGCTGGTTTATATGGCAAACAAGTGCTCCGTGTCACTCCTTTATGTGTTCTGTTTTTCAAGCAGTATTTGTTCATTAAAAACAGAGACCATGTATTAAGTAAACTCAGACTGTTCTATCTCGTACAATACCAGACACATATTCTCTGAGCTGATGGGATCATGCTCCAGGGAACTCGAATTCCTACGCTGAGTTTCAGTCTCCATCAAAAATGACCAACCTCTCTACTTATGAAATGGTTCATCTTTTTATATACTTGTCAACAATATAAAATGGATACTTTTTTCCTTCATTTTTTTATACATGTATATTACTTTATTAGAATGAACATTTCACATATTTTTAGGGTATTTTAGATTAAGTAATATTAGATAATTTATTCATTTTACATATGTGCTTTTGTGAAGAAAAAAATCATGAATATGTAGCTGAGAATGTGAATCTTTTTTGTCACAGGGTGGTGTCATCTTTTACCATTTTGTTTTTTAAGTTAAACAATGAAATCATGTTGTAACTTGTGTCACAGATTTATTTATATCAGATCACCAAGATTTCATCCAAACCCATTTTTCATTGGTCGAAAAAAGGAATGAGTACTGCAAGAAATGCAGATAAATTGTGTCATTTAAATTATGAAATGTAAAATAGGTTTTTTACAGAAAAAATAATGAGTGAACAGTTATATTTAGATTTCTTTTTACTTCATGTTCAAAATTTCACTCGACTACAAATCAAGAACTGCTTTTGTAAGAGTTACTTGAGATGGTTTAGTTTTAAAACAACAACCATCATAAGTTGTAATTTCTGAACTTAGCAACAGCAAAATGACAGGAAGGTTTACATGTGATTGTCATTCTGTTCTCAGATTCTCAAAGTACATCAAATATGAATATGCATGACAGAATCATGACTGGCATTGCTGCCTTGTACCAAATCTGTAGTATCTGTTATTTTATGGTCGATGTCTGTTAAATCTAAAATAAAATGTCAGGAAATCTCTGCCTTTGTCTCATTTACTCCACCTATCAAATATTTGAGGTGAGGCCAATCAAGTTTTTTTCTCTGTTTAGCGTCCACCTATTTTTCAAAAACCTACCTAAAAAACACCCAAGACAAAAAATAAAACACAGACTTGATAGTCATAAAAATGACGTCATTCAAGGGATTTGATTTCATTAATTTATTGTTCTTGTGGGAAGATCTATTCTTCAGCAAAATCAAGGTAGTCCGATCCTCAGGTTCTGAAAATCGGCTTTTAAGTAATTGAAAATGCTCATAAAAATGTCTCTGATTTCACAGAAACGTGAATTTACCCATGGTATTTTTTCAAAGTTCATAATTATAGTTAAAAATATTATAGAGGGAAAATTATCAAATCTCAAATATATTTTCAGGAAACGCGATTAAAAACATCAGCTATGCATTTTCTAATTGAAAATTGATCAACAAATATAATTTAGGATAGAAAAATATAGGTATCCAGGCATTTGGAGAAAATTGCATCTTTTTTATGCTTATACAGTATTTTAGTTGTTCTCTTTACTTCAATTGTTATATAATATATAGCGTAAGAAGCTTGTGCTATCATTGCTAGACATCAAATATCAGATCTAATTTCATATCATCCTAATCATTGGTATCTAATGCTAGACTAAAAGAAATTCAATTTCTGTAAAAATGAATTCATTTTTTTTTTTCTTTTATGGGGTACAAATGTCATCTTCTTACAAGACCGTTTCTAAGAATTCAAAGAACCTTGAATCATTTTGAGATGCATAAAATGAAAATTGTTGCATGAAAATATCTCAATTTCAAGCTTCATTTTGAGAGTTTTTTAATAAAATTAAGAGTTATCCTTCGTGGCTGAGGATCGGATATCCTTAAATGCTTAAAATATACCAAATATGACATATTGTAGACAAATATTTAGAGAAATTGATAGAATTCAAAGATTTCGACAAGAAAAATTAATTTCAGGACTCTTGATTTTGTTTGTTTTTTCTGATATGGAGTGTCAAAAAAACCAAAGCGGACGCTAAACAAAGAAAAAAAACTTGGAATGGCCAGATGTGTGTACCTACGGGTATATTACAGAAGTGAATCTGGAATTTGTTTTTTACAATTCTGAAATCAACAGTATAAATTGTACAATTCTCCTCAAAAGTATAGATTATCAATTGGTTTTATTGCAAAGTATTTTGCTCAAGATCTAGAAGGGCTTGGGTTATCTAAAACAATGTTAGGTCATTGATTTACTTGGTTTAGACACCAGACACTATTAATAAGGTAAACAGCATTTTTAGAAACACCAATTCAGCTTATACCTTGAGAATGTCTGTATATTCAAAGATATGAAGTGTTAATTGTCGGATTATATATGAGTGATGCTCCGCAGCCGCAACAGTATCTTAACAGAATCTGAAGATTTACCACGACTGTCAATGGACGAGTTCATTGGTTACTTCTGAAAGGTGACATAGGTTAACATTTGGGGAGTTGATATACTTGTAGCAAGCTATTTGAATTGTTGTTACTGGTGTAATATTAAATGTTGCGATGTCATTTAGAAAATACATGTAGTATTAAATTCCTAGTACATTTCAGCTGGGTTGGGTTCAAGAAAATATACTGCAACTATTAGATATATACCTGAAAATGAGTGATTTAAAAATTGGTTACAATTCACTTTTAAAAGTGGTATTTACGTCTGTGAATTAATGCTATTTTAAGTTCTATATAAAGTAAAAAGTTAAATAATTTAAAACTGCGTGATTGAGTCACTATACGTATTTTCACTGTTTTGTTTTCTAGTACATGTATTTTTTTTCAACAGAAGTTGTTGTAGCCTAATAACCTATTAGGCTTAGAATAATATTAATTATGACACTTCTAAGTTGACTTTCTACAGTTTTGAGTATCTCTGCCTGTGTTTACTTGTTTTATAATAGAAGAGAGATGCATAAAAGTTTTAAAGTCTTTGAAGAAATGACGGATTCTGGGACTGCTTACCAAATGTGCTATACTTTTGCTTAAAAATTGTTCTTTGTGGATACAGTTGATCTTGTGGGTTTTCTACGACACATCCATTTTACGTACATAGTTATTATAATAGGGAACACAATCGCGGTTTTAAAACATACGTAGGGTAAAGAAAAAATATCCATTATAAATCTTTAATTCATCCATAATAATGCGTCTTAAAAAGTGAGGGAAAATTAATATTAACGTCGATTTAGGTTGTTAAAATAGCAATAAACGAAAGAAATAGGGAAAAGAATATTTTTCAATTCCTATACTTTCTTTTTAATTCACCTGAGCCGAAGGCTCAAGTAAGCTTTGTCCGTTGTCTGTCGTTGGCGTTGTAAACTTTTCACATTTTCATCTTCTTCTCCAGAACTACTGGGCTAATTTCAACCAAAGGGTGTCCTTGGGTGAAGGGGATTCAAGTTTGTTCAAATGAAGGGCCACGCCCTCTTTTAAGGGGAGATAATTACGAAATAGCGAAAAATTAATGGCATCATTGAAAAATCTTCTTCTCAAGAACCAATGGGCCAGGAATGATGAAACTCATGTGAAATCATTGTCAGGTAGTGTAGATTCAAATTTGTTCAAATCATGACCCCTGGGGGTAGGGTGGGGCCACAGTCGACGATCAAAGACGATCCTCTGGTGGTGTAGAATCAAGTTTGTTCAAATCATGACCCCCGGGTGTAGGGTGGGGTCACAATGGACGATCAAAGTTTAACATAGGAATACATAGGAAAAATCTTTTTCTCAAGAACATGAGAGCAATGCCTGGTCATATTTATGTGAAAGAATCCTCAGGTGGTATAGATTCAAGTTTGTTCAAATCATGACCCACGGGGGTAGGGTGGAGCCACAATGGACGATCAAAGTTTAATATAGGGGTATATAGGAAAAAGCTTTTCAATACTAAACTAATTTTTGCTGTTTTCCTAGCCACAGTGCTCAGGTGAGCGATTTGGCCCCTGGGCCTCTTGTTAAGTTTAGCATTTATTTCTTCTATAACATCTTCCAATCAATAATCCTTGTAAACGAAGATTTTATTGTATAAAGGCATTGTGTAATCTTTATTTCAGAATTGTTTGACATGAAAGTCTTTACGCTTTTCCATCAGGAGCTGAACCCTCTGTCTTAATTTAGGTGTCCATAACATTTCATCCTCCATTATGTCCGGTATATGGGCTAGTATGGACTCAATACCATGGACTGCGATTCTTTCATCGTCACAGTAAAACCCCTCACTTACAGAGAATCGTTTACAAACATCAAAATAAAACAGTAAAGAGTCCTGACACAGATGTTCGTAAAACTGATACACATTATCCGCATTGTCACTTGCGCGCGCAACTATTGCCTGGAAATTTTCCATACTACCATGGACCTGAATCGCCATGTCTTTCAGTGCTGAGTTGTCTGGGTTTACCTCTAACAGACTAGCGAAGTCTAGCACTTCCTGTTTCCTTGCATGATACAGGCCTGCCGCGATGCAATGTCGGGCTAGCAAACGAGCGACCACACACCAAATACTCTCTCCGAGCGTCTCAAGTACTGTCTCCTGAGACAAAACCCCGAACAACAGATCAGACAAGTCAGACAGCAGATCAAAGGAAAATGAATCGTACTCGTGAAATAAATCCTCCAGTTGGTTCACGTTAACGACTTCCATTTGAAAATTTGCTCTTTTCATGAGGCCTTCTTGAATACATTTGATGTCGAAAAGCACTGGTTTAGTATCCATGACCCAGAAACGACTATTTGTTCCATCCATCGCAGCATTGAATAAACATAGCAATTGATGAATAATGGTAAATATTAAAAGTTTCAAAGAAGGCGTTTGGCTTTCGCAGAAATTCTGAAGCTCGGTATATAAACACTTCAAAGAACCACCGTCCAGTGAGTCAAAATCCTCCAGCTCCGTGTTATAGCAGTACCAAAAACACTTTTGTAAGAAGCAAAGCAGTCCTTGTTGTGTGAACACTTGCTTCAATGTCAGAGACAGCTCTTCCACTAAATCTGGAGCCACATTTTCTGTGATGTTCTTTTCTGGAATGAAGTAATCTGGCAAGATTCCTCTTTGTAGAAACTGGATTAAGTTTTCTAGAATCGCTCTAATGTCGTCTGTTAAACTTCCCCAATCATTTTTCTTCTCGCGAAGCCAGTAGAAGGAAGTTTTTAGCTCGTATGATGACACAGGTTTACAGTTTTTGAGGCTGGGTTTGTGCTGTAGAACTTCTTGAAGAGCAAGCTTCAGAATCATCTTAGACATGATGACTGCTTGTCTCTGTTCAAATGTCAAGGAATTTGCAAGAACTATTTCTGCTCCAGAGAACGAGAGCCGCCATTCCTTTTTCTTGAGATGTTTTGAGCTTCCTTTATGAGCCACGGGGACAATGTGACAATCTGCACCGACACAATTCTCCAGCAACTCGGCAGGCGGCCAGTTTCCCGGCCTGGGGCGACTCGTCCAGTCTTCAGCAATAGATGGCCAGTTAGTCAGTTTTATTGCAGGAACGAAGTCATGATTAATGAAGTTTCGCATACTCACATTCTCCACCTTCGTAATGGCAGGTCCTGTAAACAAGCATAAAAATCATCTAAATATCCAAGAAGTGTCGTCGATTCTGTGGTACCAAGTACTATATGAAATGACAGTTTATATATATGACCACGATTGATATTATGAATAAAAGAATCTTTCATTTTTCTTACCTGATCTTTTCTCTCCCCGACTTGGGAATTTAGTCCCTCTTCCTGTATATCGTGTATGAATTTCGATTTTATCGACCATCTCCTTCCAGAACTTTTTGAATCCCTTCCCAGAAATGACTTTTCTTCCCTTTCCCCGACCTCTGTAAACTCTTACGTAACCAGGATGTTCTGGAGAGTATTCGTAAACGTAGTGGTTACCATGGTGACTGATCTTGCTCTCCCCGGCGCAGTTTTTGGGATCGACAAGGAGAACATCTACGTCAGAGTCGCATTGTCTACCCATTGAGTGGGACGTTGAAGGTGTGGGGTATCTCCAGTGAATAGCTGTCAGATTTTGCATCTGACTCCCTATAATATGAAAAAAAATACAAGTCACGCACAAGTATTGTTTTCTGCCAATACAAATTTTGCACAAATATTGATGAATTAATTTTCAATTTAAAGTAAGATTTGAGATAATATTATAGCAATTGCCCTCTTCTCTTGATAATATTATAGCAATTGCCGTCTTCTCTAGAAACACAAAAGTGAACAGTGTGCTGCAACTGTATATCAACCCCCAGTCCTCTCGATTGCCTTCAATAATTTAAAATTTTTACATTCATTCCACAACATATAACCTCTTCCTATGGTATATAGAGTTTATTAGTCCCCTACCAGTGAAACCGGAGGGGACTATAAGTTTCCTATGAGTCTGTCTAGCTGTCCCTCTGTCTGTCCCTCTTGGTTTTCTGCACTTTTTTCCCTAAACGCTTGCAGATATTGGGCTGATTTTTGGTTTGTGAGTGTAAATTGATGCGATACAGAGCAAGTTTGCATTTCGTTCCGCTTCATCGATTTTTGATGGAATTAACGACCTTTTCAATTTTTAAGGGTTTTCCGCAATTTTTTTTCTATATGCTTGCATATAATGAGCTGATTTTTAGTATGTGACTTTACCTTGATTAGTTATAGACCAAGATTGCATTTCGTTCCGCTTCAATGATTTTTGACGGAATTATGGCATTTTCAATTTTTAACGGGAACCAGATTACACTTGCCGGTATAGGGGACTTGTATATACCGCTAATGCAATACTCTCATGAATGCTTGTTTGTAATATTTCCAAGTTTCCAACTCTTTGGGCTCCTTGATTGTTATGTAGAGTGATGTAGTTTTTACTCGATTCTGTATCCTGCAATGGGAGAAGACGTAATTACTATATCTATGTTGGTGTTTAGCTGCAGAATTGTAGCTCTCTAGGACAGACAATTCGGACAGATATACCAGAGAGCTACACATCCACCTATTGTAAAAAAGAAAAAAAAACCTACACAGTCCCCTCCGGTTTCACCGGTAGGGGACTAAAACCCTTGATTTATGTGGGGGAATATACATGGAAATAATACCCGAAGCTTTCGACAAAAAATGTCGATCACCGTCAAACCAAGGCTTTTTAAGTGTGTGGATCAGTGTCTGTCCGAATTTTCTGTCCCAGAGAGCTAGTTCTGCAATTAATTTGTCTGTTCTTCCGTCCACCTTCACAAGATCGCTGAAACTATCGAACCATTTATTGGAACTAAAGTATGTTATTACTTACGTCTTATTGGTATAACAAGGTCCTGACAAAAGGTCGATACGTGTACCCGTAGGTCAAGGTCAGTCTGTAATAAGGTAGGGAAAGTGTTTCGACAATAATTCCCTAATCGTTAAAATATCAAAATTGTTTCAAACTCAAGTGTATTATTGCTTATAACCTAAGGTGTTTAAGGTTAATTTTATAGGTCAAAGTCATCGTGTAAAGAGGTAAGAAAATGTCTTTCGATACAAACTCAAGAACCTTTAATTAGAACGCTTGGTTGTTATTGCCTATGAACTAAGGGTGTTAAGGTGTCGAAGTCTTTAAAGTCAAGATCGGTGGACAAAGAGATATATCAATCACTGGCCATGGACACAAATTAAAAATCTTTGATTAATTATAGATCTTTAGGCTTTTTGTATAGCTCATTATGAAACCATCCAAAAAATAAGTTAGTTGTATGACTATTTGGAGTTTCCTGAATGTGAACATTATGGCTCTACAATTTTTTTCCCAATGTTCTGTGACTATCCCACCTTCTACCTTCACAAAATTCCGTCTTTAGTACCTTCACTAAATTCCTTCTCTACTTTTGGTTGGTTGATTGATTGATTGTGTGTAGCATTACGTCTCGTTCGAGAATTCTTTATTCGGCACTCAGGGCCATTGAGAAGCGAGGGATCTTTATCGTGTCACGGGGCCTCGGTTTTTATAAGGTCTCACCGAAAATACCCGCAACTTTCACTTCAAAGTGCTGAGCGCTTGGCGAAGGAACATTTTTATCGACTTAGGTCAGTCGCGGCCGGGGTTTGAACCCACGACCGATCACGGAGCGAGAGCTCTACCGATTGAGCTACCGTGACGGATTACTAACGACTTCCTCGCTATCGTTAACTTCATTTTTCAGCCCTATCTCTTAAATCCAGTTAAGAAATGTCTACATAATTGAATCTGATAATCCTAATGACCTGTATAGTAAAAGGTTAGCTGTGATTTGCTTATCTCCCGAAGTTTTTCCTCAAACTTTTCGTAAGCTTTGTTCTGTTTTTCTCGTTTGTTAAAGATAATATGTCTGGAGGTTTCTACATAATTCATAAGGACACTACATATCGCCGTCACTCCTGTGTTGTACAAGTCTTCCTCGGCACCAGTTCGGGAGTAAATCTAAAATATACAAAATATTAATTCAAAAGAATTTGGGCACCTAGTTATTCCAGTCGAAGAAAGTTTTCTTTTTAATTGCATACCTTGGTTTCAATCCGACTAGTAGATTCCACCATATTACAATACTTGGCCTCCTCATTGATTGTGTTTTTAAATCGAAAACGGAAGTACTCGAACGATTTAGAGTTCAATGAATTTGTAACGTACCTGTATTTAAATAGTAATAATGAATGATCAAAGCATGAATTTCTCTACAGTTTTGTTGTTCATCTCTTCGGCTTTTTTAACAAGAATATTAACCTACTTGTACCTTGAAAAATATACAAATATGCCAAGATCAATAAACACTAAACTTTAATTTGAAAATAACTGCCTTTACCTATAAAAGGATTTAAATCTAAAAATTCAGATTTTAATCTTCTTTTGCTCAAGTAAAAATAAATAATCTGTCCCTAGTCATCTTGGAAATAAATAATCTGTCATGCATTGCCATGGAAATAGATAATCTGACTCGAAACACCCCCCCCCCCCTCCCAATTTCCTATCAAGAAACGTTTTATATACAGCTGGCAAAAGTTCATCAATTTGTCCAGCTCGTGGAAATAAATCTCGGTCGAGATCCAGCTTGGCTCGCTATTTGGATACGGTGAAGGCGTCAGTACAAACCGAATCTCAGCCGAGATTTAAAATACTATCCAAAGATGCAACATTTATGCAATTTGGGTCTGATAGGACTTGCAGTTACTTGGAAATGGACTTATCAAAGAACTTTATTCACTCAACCAGAAAATGCAAGTCAAATCCAGCATCTGAAGCAAGTTTATGAGTGTTCATCCCTTGATGCATCATCCATGAAAATTTGGTCTTGTAGGCCTTGTAGTTTCTTGGTAATTGACCTGCTCCAAAAACTTTAACCTGGTCACTCATGCGGAAAATGTAGGTCAGATCCAGCATCCTAAGCAAGCCTGGTAGAGTGCATCTTCATATGTACCATCCATGCAAGACTGGACAATATAGGGCTTATAGTTACTTTGAAATACGAAATGAAAACACACTAGAAGCATCCTCCATTCATCTCTGATTAATACAGTGTATAGGGCATAGAAGTAATTGAAAAGAAATCTGCACCAAAACTTTAACTTGGGACACCAACGCCGAGGGTATTACATAAGCTCCCCCCAACTTCGTTGAGGTGAGCTAAAAAAACTAATTATCTACAAGCATGAAAAAGGTCCCAAAAACTAACTATGACAGAATGAGGAACAGAAGGGGGTAACACTATAATATGCCCCATCCATTTCATGGCAGGGCATAAAAAATAGTGTAATACAATAACATTTCTATTCTAATTCAGTGTCTTCTTAAGATATTACAAACAAGTCATGTTTTAATAAAATTTTATTCACATGTATATAAAATATTATAAATTGCATATATTAAAGATGACTTGATATGATCAAAGACATATTAACACATTTTAACAAAATAATTCATCAAAATACTATAATCATTTAAAAAATTCTATATGTGAATAAAAAGTTTCTGGAATGTAACATTGCATGATATGTAGTACAAAACAGAGTATACATAAATGAACATTGCTTCTGTAATGATGAGAATAGACGTAGGCACTATACTACTGACTTGTGTGAAGAAATAGATGATGCATCACAACCAGTCCGATAAAGTTTGTAAAAATGAAAACCTAATCAACCCATGAAAGTGACAAATATCGTAGATTTTATGTACAGAATGGCACACTCTTTCAAGTTTAAAGATTATACATAAAAGTCGAGGTGTCATGTGTATAAATGCTCCTGTTACATGAGCAGCACTTGATCAGATTGGGTGAACCACGTATTAGACTAAATCTGCAGATGGGTTAGATGATCAAAAGCCTTCACAACTCTCTGGGAGTCAAATTTAAATGCAACAAAAAATATCCCAGAAATTTTATTTGGCTGCATTTTATCCGCTCAATGTTAACTAGAGGAATATGTTCATCATGAGTATAACATTCTGTGATATGTAGAAAAATCTGTCTCTAATTAACAGTCTGTTATAGATGATTAACAAATGAACATTAGGACGGCTATCTCCGCAGAAACCATGATGCTGTAAGACATGTAACTAGAATCACGAAGATGTTTGGAAGCAATGACCGTCCACTGTTACAGTTGTCTGTACTACAAAGACACTGAATATAGAAGCTGCCGTCTCCTTCCACTGCTATACAACCATCGCTAGCTCCGGGCTTAATCAGACAAAACCGGGACGTCACTACTATCTCTGGTAACGTAAAAAATGACAACAATTAAACAAGAATTTTAATTCTTACTCTAATCATCAGAAAGTTTGTAAATCAGATTGCTGCTTCTTTTAATCTGTGGCATACCCCTGAAGTCAAACAACAAAGGATTTCTCTTTTTTTAAATGAAAAAAAAACTTTTTTCATTAAATACACAAATGACAGAGAGGGGGAGGCATCAATTTTCTTCTTGAGCAGAGTGATTTACCTCATCAGCAAAAAGTTGAATGACCTAAGTCCAATCAAAATATGTGTTAACCTACTGGGTCTGCATCAAAGTCATTACCTCTGGTTCTAAGAGAACTTACTGGTTTACACCAAAGTCATTACCTCTGGTTCTTAGAGAACCTACTGGGTCTACACCAAAGTCATTACCCTGGCACTTATGGGTCTACACCAAAATTTTTACCTCTGGCTCTTCCTGTGATGAACCCTGAGTCTAGAAGATGCATGATCGTTTTATATTTAACACAATGTGTGGCTTTCTCACTGCACTCTGCTTCTCCCACGACCTCCTTCCGACTGTCCGTGAAGGGATCGAGGCACACTGTGTCATCTTTTGATTGGCATTCATAACAGTTCAAACTTGATCCTAAATGATAAGAAGAATTCAACATATATTTTTCTATTATGTTTTATCTTAAGGACCCTCTCTACACTTCGCCCCAATTTCAGGGTACTTTTGTGTATTTAGCCTGACCCACCATTTGACAAAAAATAGAATACCCGGTAAATTGTAATCTTCACTGAATGACACAATTTAAAATGAATAGTATTCTAAACATTATATTAGACCAAGATAGAGTAGTTGAAAAATTCCTCTGCATGTATTTTCTCCATTTGAGTAAGCAAAAGCATTTTTCTTTATCATTACTTTTTTGTCTTTGAAGATTTTTCCTGGATAAAAATTAAAAAAGGCAAACTCCCTATACGAAAAATGAATTAGTAAACTTCAAAACATCCTCTTTTACACTATATAAAATTCTCAAAGTCCAAAAAACATTTTTCATCAGTGTTTTGACAGAGATTCCTTAACAGAGTTCAACACTAACGTTAGTCCATTAGTCTCAGACTACTAAATTTTCATTCGGACTAATAAAATCAACAAATACTTTTACTGGAAAACCCCCATGTATTTTTAGCTTTCTAATTTCTTAGCAGGTACTGTATACAGGGTTGTTTTCGCCCTTTCACACTTGCAAACAATTTTGTCCCATTTTAAATTTGCCCAGTCACAGTTCTGTTTAAGAAATTCTACTGTGTTCTTTGAATTCGCCCCATTTTAAATTTGCCCACCTGTGCGTAGGGCAAATGGGGCAAAAATAAAACTAGGGCAAGAATTCCCCTGTAAACAGTAGTTAGGTAATTCCGAGTCAATTTTTAATTTTAAAATGATTGATACAAAGTTAAACATTTTAGTGATCATGATTTAGTATGACGCATAAAAGAAAGATGTCAGACATTTTGGATGTAATGTAAAGAGAAAAGGAACAAGATCCAGGGTTCTCACTAGGATTTTGCTAACTTGAGTCCCAGGACTCAAGATTTCTGAGAAGGTTGCGTCCCAGCTAAATTTGATGCGTCCCAGAATAATTATGTTGAGTCTCAACTAAATTATTGCAGTATCCCTCCATCCAAACATATATATCAATAATAAATCTTTATCATTTTATCAGTTTGTTTACGCAATATTAACATATTCAAGTATATAAACTGGTAATGCATTCAAGCCATATTCTAAAATACACGCGTAATCAATTGCCATAAAAATTAACTTGGTGTTTATAAAGCTAAAATTAACTGTTGCATAATCAACTAGTACCCGAAAGTTGACTGTATACAATCACAGGTGTCATGTGCAATGAAGCGTAACTAATCCTGTCGGTCGTCTGCACTGGGTGAAATTCACGAGATAATCAAGCCGCATTGTGTATACAAGCAGTAATTATGGTTTCTACATGTAGATAACACTCAAGATTCAAAGGTGTGTGTTTTTTAAAAAAAAAAAAAAAAAAAAAAGCTGCAGTGTGTTTACAGCTGTCGGAGTTTGGCATGCGACATTATTATGACTATGGACTGATAAACATGAAGTATCTTAATTATTATCAATCCCTGTTTAAAAAAAAAGAGAAATAAGTGCAAGAAAAGTTATTTCTTGGATGAACTTTATGATAGTTACAGGAAGGTTTCGATTAAATATTTCTTTGACAAATCCCAACAAGTAAATTCCCCGTTTTTGAAATTACCCGAATTTTCTCGCTAATGAGCACGCGTCCGATCATGAGTCCGCGGACGCATCGTTTTTAAGAACCTTGCGTCCCAATTAATTTTGCTGCGTCTAGGACGCAGATTCTTGCGTTAATGAGAACCCTGCAAGATCGGGAATACGATTGTACTTTGTACTCTGATCGCCAAATTTCGACAAATCTATGGAATAAAACTCTTCACATAAATGCTTTGTTTAATTCAAATAAGTATAAAAAGTACATTGTCATGTTTATTTTTTAAATTAGTCACCCCAGTCGTCCAATCCCCTTTCACAGCTCCCACTCCCTATCTGGCAATTCCTGCCACAATTAATTTAAGGGGGAAGTCTCTTTAAACAGATAATTAATGTACATTGTACAAAGTCTCAAATCTCAAAACAGCACCTTTCTGCTCCTGTCATTCATCGACAGATTAAGTACCTAGTTACAACCTAGGTATCCCTCTTAAATAGGACAAAATGTATTCAGTAATTCTGATTACCTTTCAAATTTTTAAACAAAATTTTCTGTGATGAAGAAAATATTTTTTTGCACTAGACTGTCTAGAGGGATGTTTTTATGCCATTCAATGAAGAGAGATGTAAAGCTCACTACTAACAGTGGAATTGTGCTAAACCCAGTGGTTGGGAAGGGCTTGCACCATAGTTGCACTGAAGTGAAAAATGGCGAATTAAATCAATCAATTGTGGTGCCAAAGTGCACACTCAATTTTTAGCAATGTTAGTCGGAAATATCTTGCGAACGACTTTCTTACTTGTTTTACTTTCTTTTTAAATGCAGTCAATTTGAAAACAATAGATCTCATTTGGTACACCCCATCAAAAACTGCTTTTGGTTATATGAAGCACCTGCATTATGTACATTACCTTAGAGCACTCATTTCTAAGATGGTGCTCAATCCAAATTTTGATGTTATTTAATCCAAAATATGGGTAAATTATATTTTATGCAGGTTCCTTTAAATTTGCTGCATTGCATATGTGAAAAATTAGATTCGATTAATAAAAACATGTTTTCTTTCGTATTTGCTATTTGTCATTTTGGTTTTTTTTTTTTAATGGCCCTTTAGAATATATTGATGGCCCATTCATTTTGAAAATGGCCCATTAAAAATTTTGATGTTTGAACCATAGTCCCATTGACCTTTTTGGCCTTCCCAATCACTGTAAACCTCTTCAAGACTCCTTTCCACTTGCGGATTATACTGCCCTTCTCAAAAGTACCCCAAAAAAAAATCCAAGGGAAAAAGTACTGGAAAATGGGAATTTGGGGACTTGGCAATTTTAAAATTTCAAATGCACGATACTAAATACCTATATATCATCATCATAGTACCTCTTAGGCGTTCCATTAGTCAATGTTTTATGTCATCTTTGTAATATATTCAATTCTTAAAAATACTGCGTTTTGCTATAGGTCTACTAGGTTACTTCCGGTATTTTAACATACAACTTAATTCTTTTCTAATCGTCATTTTAACCCCCAAAAATGCATAAAAATGTAGTTTAGTCAAAAATTCATGTATTACAACAGAGAATTTGCATATATGTCCAGTAAAGATATATTCAAAAGTGTCACGATATAAACAAATGTATAAACAAATGTAGTACACTACAGGTATTTTGATGTAAATAATGAGTCATTCTGTCAGGTATATTCAGCTCAAATCGTAAAAACATACGATAATATGGATTGAAGGAGATTTCTATACATACCATACGATATCAGATAGGACAAACTTAACAAACATAACCACATCGCTCCGGAATGTGGCATTTTCAATTTTACAGGATTTTGAACGCTGTTTGTCGCACCTGTCCACAGCGCCACCTTCTTAAAAACATAATTGCCAAAACGAGAAGCATGGAATGATTTTTTCCGGAATCATGATAGGGGAAGAAAAAAAAGTCATACGGTCACTTCTATTGTTTTATTTTTTGAGAATTACACATCATTTTAATTGAAATATAAGTTTTACGTTTTACAATCCTTAAAAAAATGCTTTAATAAGATAAAATAAAAGAGATAACCTTTTTTTTCAGATCAACATCACATGTTATATGTTCAGTTTCAGATATGTTGATAGATTACAAACCGAACTGAAACATTTCTTACAAAAAAATACTAGAATGTTACGCAAAACAGGCTTGTAGTGGGTTCCCCTCCGGCCCCCACTTTTTCCGATAACAATGATTTTTTCGGCAATATCTTGTTTATCCCCCCCCCCCCCCAAACGATGCTACGTTACGTTATTCTTTTTTTACACGGTTATATCATGCATGTCCTTGACATCGTCATCTGTCAGCTGACTAAATACTCGATATGTGTATATAATATCATATAAGCCCTACTTATTAAATTTCACATGCAGACTTAAAATTTGAACAACAATCAGTCATCATGGTCATTGGAAGCACTTCAAATTACACTGATACATAATATATGCGTAGAAAATAATTCCCATCATTTGGAATATTTCACTCATCACTCGCTGTAACACTGATATGCACATACAAACTCCTTTCGTTACAATAATTTTCAGCTGCCGTATATATACATTGATGTAAATATAATTAAGGCACATTTCCCCAGAACAACGAAGTACTCCAAATCAAGATCCCCTAATCCAGCTAAAAATAAAGAATGTGAATAACACTTGAAGCCCCACGATGACGAGTGTTCGGTTGGAATTCTTGTTGGCAGAGTTACACCAGTGACTGTAGCAGTAACAGCGCCTGATATATCCTTGATCCGCCGACTTTGTGTAACACCCCTCGTCCAGTTTGTAGTTCATGTATTGGATACAGTATTTCGAGATGACCGTCACATCTAAAGAAGAAAACAAAACCTATATGAAAATTAAATTTATATTGACCGTCCACAAATCACTCATTTCACTCGGATTGCGAAGTCGAATAATCGAGGACTTTAATTGAGCGCTAGTCGAATTAAGCACATATACTTCGTAATGGATACAGATTTTCTGCATATACGATATGCCTGACGCCACAATAGCCGTATGTTACAACGCCAAATTTCATAACAACGCAAAATGTAATAACTGGGGTTATTATATTTTGCGTTTTTACGTTTTGCGTCGAGATCATGTAAAAACGCAAAATGTAGAAACAGACTTTTTAGGATTATTACATTTTGCGTTATTACATTTTACGCCAAGCTCAACGCAGAATATAATATCGCAAAATGTGATTAAAGATTTTTGGATTATTAAATTTTGCGTTATTACATTTTTCGCCGAGATCAACGCAGAATATAATAACGCAAAATGTGGTAACATGATTTTTGGATTACATGTATTACATTTTGCGTCATTATATTACATTAACGCAAAATGTAATAACGTACTTTTTGATTGTTGCATTTTGCGTTACTTAACTTTTGCGTTGAGGACAACGCAAATTGTAATAAAAGAAAAGGTAATAACACGAGATGTAATAACGCTTTTTTTTGTACCGTGTTCAACGCAAAACATCACAAAATTGATTTAAACATATAATTTATATTATAAAATATGAAAAGGTATTGTGCTGAAGTGGATGGGTCGGTAAGGGGTATGAAATGCATTTAAGTTCCTTCATATAATTTTTTATGTATGTACAGGTTAGACAAAAACACGAATATTAGATAATATGTGTCTTCAGACAATAATACGAATCTTACATGAAATGTCAAATCGTGAACTTTAAAGTTGCATATTTCAGTATGAAATTAAAAAAAAAAAAATTCCATCGCCCAAGAGAGCTAGCAAACGATGGTTGCGACTTGCGACGTTTGGGGTCAGCTGCTGTGCTATTTTTAAGCTTGCCAGATGTTGCAACTTGTCATGTACATAGGCGTTGGAACAGAAGGAGGTGATGTGGGGCCTCTCATTTATTCTAAAAACTTTCATAACATTTTTGTCTCTCTCACTTTTAACACGAAAGGTACTGTAACATTAATTAAAAGAAGGTAAGACCTTCTTCTCCATTTTAATGTACCTCATATCCTTAAATTGTATGAAAACATATATATATCTTAATTGTCAATAAAACCCTTCCCCGCTATATTTAAACCTACCAGTACAAATAAATAGATTTTTGTTAAATTGCATGCAGGTGCCTCTCAAAAAGTAAAATCAAACTGATACACAGATCAACGAAATTACCCCCCCCCCCTACAAACACACGCAAGCGCGCTTCTAATTTGCAACACCTATGTAATGAATATCAACTGCTTTTTAATGACTAATGAAATCAATATACCTAGTATGATGAATTCAGTTTTAAATCCTTTCAATGTAAGAATTTATTTAGTATAAATTTATTTTTTTCTTTCCGTTTCTTTTCTTGATCCACTTTAAATTGAAAATTATTATCAACCTTACTGACCAAAAGGTGTATTACATATTGCGTTGTTGCATTTTACTAAATCTCGACGGAAAATGTAATAATCCAAAAATTAATCTTGGCACAAAATATTATAACGCAAAATGTAATTACACTTAAAGTATGTTATTACATTTTGCGTTGATCCTGACGCAAAATGTAATAATCCGGGTTTATTACATTTTGCGTTGTTATTGCATATCGCGTTGTAACAGGCGTATCATCTTTCAGGGCTGATGTGGATCTACAGGGCTGATACGGATATGTAGATTAAACCTTAGAAAACAGTACTTAACGCCATTTAAAGGTGTCTACCTGCAGCTAAAAAATGAAGGACCCATGACTGTTAAACATGCAGTTATTTAAAGTGTTCTTATTATCAACACATAAAAAAGCTTGCAATAATTTTAGCCATGAAATTAATTCATATATTAGACACTATTATAGAAATATTAATGTACACATGCATATCTACCCCCCCCCCCCAATTAATTGCCTGACGCCACGTGCGTCAGGCAGTATAAGGATTAATATTTCAGGGATCCGAAACTAAGCGATCATTCTTAATGAACTAGATTTTCTTCAAGCTGATTTACATCGGAATTTGTTACCTGCATTTAAACAAATACAGTTTGCAGAAGAAAGAATCATATAACTGATTCAAAATAATGACGTGTTTAATTCCTTCAATTTTTTTGCATGCACATGTTTATTCTTTGCAATTCTTTGTACGAACATGTCCGTGTAACATTTTTTCTGCGTTTCTAAACTACTGGATCAGTCCATTTGCCTTCTACAAAAGGGGTGACACAATCATTTCGCGCCAAGTGTCACATGTAAATTATCTTCGCGCCTTTTTCTTGGGTTGTTCTATTGAATGGGTGTGATAACTTCTATGGAAATAAAGTTTATTCTTTTAACATGATTCTTAAGCTCCAAATTTTTTATTAACAGTAAATTTTATCTCATTTTTTTAAGAGAACACATTGTATATGGACGAGCAACACTAAAGCAATGAATTTGCTGATTATTCTTACTATTTATTCCATAAGTGGACTAGTCTAATCATAAACAAACTCCCTCCATCCAGTAAATGGGACATCCCTTCTTGATTCTGTTTTCCACCTAGCCTTTCTTTCAACATTACATTTATTAATAATGTACGTTATTAGGTAAGGGTTTTTTTTAAAAAAGCTTAGAAAGTCAGCGAGTAGCATATTATTTCATGCTTTGTGAGGAACAAGGGTTTCCTTTTAATGCAGTGACAAGAGTGTAGGTCAGTACCCGTAGCGGAATGGGCTTCACTCCCGTAAGGTTCTAAGTAAAGAATCGGCAAAATGAAGAAGACATCAAGATCTGTACTGGTTTTTTCATTTCATAAAAAAGCACATTATTTTAATTATGAGAAAGGTCCTGAAATCGATTGAAAAGAAAAACTAACAATTTCAAAACTGTATATAAAGATGTATTTTAAGCTCATTTATAATACATGTATATAGTAAGACCATCATCGCGTGAGTTTTGTCCGGGGGGGGGGGGTATTAGTATCTTGTTTTGCGCTAGCTATAAACATGATAAAGTGTACAGGTTATTTACTTTGATTTCTAGAGTAGCATTGAAGCATTTTTGTCTCAAACACTTCAAGACAACTTTCCCAGTTAAAACTGTTCATAATTTACTTCGTCGTCGAGAACGACGGAAAACAGACCAGTCTATAAATAGAGGCCGTCTCATCAATCTATCACTGACCATGAAGAAGTGCGCCATCTAGTAAGAGAGTACATGTAATATGAATTTCTTTAAAACGAATCATCTAACTATCAGTGGCGGATCCAGGAATTTCATAACGGGAGGGCGCAGTAGAAGGCATGGGCCGGGTCTGGGGGGCTGTATTGAAACCCCAGTGGGTCCAGAGCAAAGCTCTGATTCGCCCCTGGAAGCTGACGAATTCTTACAAATAAGAGGTGTTTTTTCCTATATTTTAGGATAATGAACATATAAGTTCTACATACAAAAAATTCAAACGGGGGGGGGGGGGGGGGCGCACGCCCGGCGCGCCTGTGCTGGATCCGCCTTTGATTGCTAGCGCTCTCGAGCGCTAGCAACTACGTTAGTCTATATTTCTGGAATACGCATGCTCGACTTCACGGTCGGGCATTCTGGGAAGACTACTGAAGATAGACTGTACGATGATAATTTCGTTTTATCGTAAAAAATTGATATGATCCGAATTCTGAATTTCTTAATTAAATGTCTAACCTATGATTAAAAGTACAAGAAAATTTGGGTCATATAATGCCAAGATTGTAGAGATCAACCGGTAAAACCTAGCTTTCCTTAAAGCTTACCATGTACACTACCTTCCTAGATAATTCCGGCAAGCTCAGAAAAAAAACCCCAGGAAATCTTTCAGAGTTTGTCGGAAAGACACGAGAAGCGATTAATACAATGCAGTAGCACTGATATAATTATAATTCTTTAATTTTTCATTATTTGACGGAAGAGCCCGAGTAATGATCCGACTGTTATTACTAGCGCCCTCGAGCTCTAGCAACTACGTTAGTCTTTTTTACTGGAATACGTATGCTCGACATCACGGTAGGGCATTCTGGGAATACTACTGTAGATAAACGGTACCATGTCAATTTCGTTTTTTAATCTGAAAATACATATGATCAGAAGTTTCGTGTTTTGTTGTCTAATCTTAAATAAATGTACAAAAGGTAACAGTTAATGCCAAAACTGTACAGATCAGTTATAATTTCTAAAATTATAATTAAAAACACTAGCTATTTTTAACTATCTTCCTGGATCTTTCCGGCAAGCTCGGAATAACAACCTCGATCGGATATGTTTTCCGAGCTTCCCGGAAAGGCCCGGAAGGATGCGATTGCTACAAAACATACCACACTGGAATATTTTTAAACTAGGTGTTCATTGGTTCAACTTATCTCTTATTTTTCACTACAGAATGCTTAAAGCACAGTTAATGATTCATGCCATTGCCAATGTGAAAACCCACTCAAGTTCATTATTGTAATGTTTTTTGACTTTGGGTATCCCGAATTTAATCCAACAATAGCCTTTTTTATAAATAGTCTGATGAATATTCTGTATTAAACACTGAATAGCTGATACATTCACCATTCTGAATTAAGACACATCCCCCCCCCCCAACACTACCCCAGTGTACCACTGTGTCTTCCTATTAATAATTAGGGACGACCATTTGGTTCTGAAGGGGGGCTGGCAGATTTTTGGAAATAAATAATCTGTCCTCAAAAAAGTTGAAAATAAATAACTGCCTTTCCACGACCGGCAAGAAAATAAATAATCTGTCATTGACTATAAATGCCACTTAACCCCCCACCCCCACCCCCGGTCCCTCTTTGAACTTTTTCTTTTGTTTTTGTTTTTTCCTTTGTTTTTGTCAAACTTTTTCAGTGAAGAAGAAAATAAATAATCTGTCCTTGATCATCTTGAAAATAAATAATCTGTCCTTGACTGGCACGAAAATAAATAATCTGACTCGAAAGTTGCCAGACCCTCCACCCGACCCCCTCCTCAGAATCAAATGGTGGTCCCCTTAATCGATTCAGCAAAATCCAATAATTCAGATATCTAATTCTGTGGTTTATGATAGCTACAGCGCTAGCTCAACTATCTTTTTAAAAGATAAGCTTGTTATAATCTACGCTGTAGCGCACTTGCAGTTTCATCCCAAAGTAACTAATCAGCCCGTGGGCTAACTAATAAATGACCAAATAGTGGCATGTCTCAGATATTCGTTAATCTGTAGTATTTGGTTATGAAATTTGAGAAAGTCAACTGTACATCTTGTATAATGAAGTATAGCAACTATGTCGCTCCTTGATGACGGAAACGTTTAGCGCCTCTCCTGCATATACGTTCCATAGATATTGATTGCTTTTTGAAAAGCTATTACTTGTTGTACGCTTAAGGATGCTCTTAACACTGCTCCATGAAGAGTTCTAATTACCTGGTAGATTTATGCAGTTAGAGTGATCTGCCCTTTGATGAACAAAGGAAGAAGTGAAAATCTACAGTAAGTGACATGATTTGAAGTAGATTATTGTATTCTTAACATTACATTAGACCAAGATAAAGTAATTAAAACATTATATGTATGTATGCTTTGGTCTGAATTTGATAATAACGATTCATTACGCATTCATGTGAAAATGGATATTTTGTTTCCGGGGGGGGGGGGTGAAAATATTTTCCATTGATTTTTTTTTTATGAAAAACTTAAGTTTTACCAAAATTATAGAGTCATCTGTCTTTGTTTTCTGAAATAAATTACATTTTGTGAAAATTCATATAAATATCTATATAAATATGAAAAATCATTCAAATATATTAACTTTAAAAAGTTGACTTGGAGGTAGGCGGCATAACAATATTATCGTTCGTTGTTCTTAAAATAATTTTATCTACATCAGAGGAGGATCTAAGCTTTGACACCAACAGACTAGCTGAAGAAAAAAAATCTCTCAATTTATTAACTTGGCTTTAGAATTACTATTTAATAGCACATTTTTAACGAATAACCGAGTAAATAAATATAAAGTCGATGGTCAGTATGACCGAGCGATAGTCGAGTACTCGAATACTCTTTGACATTTTTAATCAATGCACATTAAGGGGCAGGTGCGCGTTGCTACAAATCAATTAGAATGATCTCGCGACGTGCTATCATTATGTGCACAATGTACGTGAAAGTTTTATACTGCTTATATTAGTGAGAACACTGATGTTTCTTGAATTACTTTTTTTTATTTGAAAACAAACTTTATAATAGTTAATGAGAAATAGTATAATTTAAAATTTAAAGAAATTTTTTTCAAATTTCTTAGTTTGATGAAATATTTTTATATGTTTAGTGAATGTCTTTTATTTTCATATTTGGCACTGAAATACGTGTGCATGGAGTTTAATTTCCTAAAGCCTACATCTCTCTCTCTCTCTCTCTCTCTCTCTCTCTCTCTGAAACTTTAGCGCATAAAATTCAGCGGGACTACACTGGTTAAGCGCATTTCCAACATAAGATACGACTTTTCAATCTATACAATCAAATGAATATTTATTTATTTATCTTTTTTATTTTTTCAGCATCCACAGTTGCATTTTAATTTTTAAAATTACTTTTATAAAAAAAAAAAAAAAAAAAGAGAGAGACCTATTATTCGATTTACCTCAATGATCACAACGAGTTCGTGTGTACCCAAAACACAGTCCTTGAACTGACAAACGCCCTTCCCTTTGAGATAAGTTAAGTGTTAAGCTATGATATGACAGGATTAAATACATTAATCACCTGATAAATAAAAATATGTGGCTTCAAGGGAGACAAGTGCCAAAACAACAATCGGTCCTATATTCATGAATTTTATCATATACAAAGAGATATCAAGTCTATAATTATATATCAGATAGATATCAATCTATTTATAGAACAACCTCATGCATCACACCTCCAAATACCACATTCTATCGCAAAGGGATTAATATGTTAGGGACCTTTTTGATCCACTGTCTATCAGTCCTCTATGGCACTGTCTAATACTAGTACACGATTCTCAAATGAGTAATAAATTGTAAGGAAGTTCTGAACTAGTTTTCAAAAACAATGGTTTAACAATCTGTAAAGAAAATGAATAAAAATAATAATTAAAAAAAAAGAGTATACAAATTAATAAAGTTTTAAAATTTATATATAAATTGATGAATAAAATCATTAATTTTAATTAATAATGTAGCAGACTTTAACTATACATGCATTAATACTAGTATGTCAATGCTTAAGTCATGAATTAATGAAGTTAAGTAAATTCGGTATGACACCAAATCGATCAGAGTCAAGAAATATTGCTCAAAATTTTCTTCAAATAATTTTTTTTAAAACAAATCCTTTCCTGTGATATTTGAAATATTACATGAATTAGATTAGATCTGTAACCAGAAAGAAGAAAACGTGGACTGGATATAGCATTTAGAAATCATATGATCGTTAACGCAAATATTTGTTTGCATGAATTATAGTTCATCCAACTGACGCAAAACAAACACTGAGTACTTGATGCAGTTCTAACGCACGAAATTTACCTAATAAATCCCTCACCCAGCCACTTTTCATGTCCCTAAAACTTGGTTTTTACAAAACGTTCGAGATAAGGGTATAAAATTTTTACCTGTTGGGTTTTCTTTCAAATAATCAATTTTTGCGCGTGCAGAAATTTCCGTATTTTGCCTAGATAGGATAACTATTTATATAAGTAATTTTTTCCCTTATTATTATTATTATTATTATTATTATTATTATTATTATTATTTTAATTTTTTTTTTTACAAAGTATATTTTACAGATATAGAATCAAAGACGAGCAGAAATTAAAATATATAAATATACTTACACTTGTACCTGAGCCACTGATCGTGTATGTATACCCGGGTTTTAGTTTTCATACAACCCGTACAGTTATACATCTTTTTCTCGGCATTAGCACAGAATTCCCGGGCCCCTTGATTGAACACATTACATTGGTAACAGTTGATGGTGCCGCCTATTGTACATTCTGAAATATGAAATGAAATTTTATTATATTTGAATTAACCGAGCCGGGCGGTGAAGGAAAAAGGATCCCAAAAGTTATTTTACAGCTTTAGACAGACATTAATTAAATGAAAGGAAAAAAAAGAAAATTGATTTGGAAAAAGATAATTAATTGAATTAAAAGGAGGGAGAAAGGATCAACCAATTTAAAAAAAAAAAGGCAAGAAAACGCATATTTAGATTAGCAAAATAACTTACCGGCAAAAGTAAATAGTGTACATCCTATAAAAAGAGTAATCCAGGAGATTCGAACCGAATTCATTTCCTTTAAATGATTTCAAAATTTGTTTTTCATGCCTCTGAAATTACGATAACACACACCATCCAATATCACGTTCCGTCGTTCTCGTGCGCATCTCGGAGCGCAGGGTGTAGTGCCTGATGTCACCTGTACAAGTATGGTGCATAAAAGATGACATTAATTACGTGAAAACGATTATTAATTTCATTAAGGGATACAGTGGTTAGGCGAAAGTGTATAGTTTATGAGTATCTCTATAATATAAAGCATCTTGTGTACAGTGTATGTATACAGTCACATATAAAATATCCTATGCCTTCAAGATTCTGTTGTCGGTCGTGGGTACTTTTTTGGTTGGCTAAGATGATATCAAGGTCCTCACTTGGTTTCTAGAAAGGAAGGAGTGCGGGGGGGGGGGGGTCTATGAGGGATATCTGTCCTCTAAGCAAGATTTATATTTGTATAAATAGTTGTCATTTTTGGTGAGTTTGGTACACTCTAAAGACTTTTTTCAAATATAAATAATCAAACTTTCGCAGAGGAAGATGGCGACAGCTTGTTGAAGCCTTATGTCCCATAGGGGACGAAGAGAATAAGTAAGTAAGTAAACTTTAGCAGAATAACATTAAACAATTGAACATTACTTTAAAAGAATTGCTTTACAAGTTTTTTTTTTTTTTTTTAAAAATTAATTATTATTTAAGGTTTGTGATCCCCCCCCTTTTCTTCCTTCGATAGCATTGGAATAACTTGAATATATGCTTTGGTAAAAATGAGAAAGAAAAGTTTTTATACATATAGATTTTACTCTAAAGTATAGCTCATTTTTCATCCAAACAGACTTTTTTTTCCTAAGGAAAACTGTTTCATTTACCATTCTGTATATCTTTATGTGTCTTCTGAATATCACAGTCTTTATCCCGGTATCTAGTTCATATTCAATTTTTTTTTTCTAAAATGTTTCGGAGAAACTAAGTGTGTGTGAAATGATACGTATGCCCGAACGTTGTCCCCTACTAACTGATCAATACCGTGACTAATCAATGAAAATTCGGTTATCTCGGGGCTTATTTCCTCCTCGTAATAATTAAACGAAAACAAACTCCGAATTTTCCTTTAACAGAAGCTGGTAAATGTTCGGATTGATACTGTTAATTGTTGGCATCAAGAAATATAGACATTCAATTACTGTTTATAGACAGTTGTCCAACATGAAACCATTGCTGATGCAATATATTTTCTGTTAAGTACAGTGTTTATTTTGCCTTGGTTCCCGATATCACTTCGGCTCTTATCATTATTTATCGACGTATCTGGTTGCGTCACTATTTACCAAAAAAAATACCAATGTTGCCTAGAAAAGTTGTACAGGTCAATTCCCCTGTTGACATGCAATGAATAATTAGTGAAGTCATGAAAAACTCCCTTAGTTTTTAAAATATTATTGAATAGAAATTCTTAAAATAAAAAGTGTATGTACGTATATGACTATGCGTCGATTTTTTAATGCCTCTTCTATAGATATTTCGGCTAATATAAGATTCTATATTCATCAAATATCCTTTATTAATGACTCTTTAGGTAATGAGGAGTCTTGATTCAGTTCTTGTTTAATGACTCTTTAGGTAATGAGGAGTCTTGATTCAGTTCTTGTTTAGTGACTCTTTAGATAATGAGGAGTCTTGATTCAGTTCTTGTTTAATGACTCTTTAGGTAATGAAGAGTCTTGATTCAGTTCTTGTTTAATGACTCTTTAGGTAATGAGGAGTCTCGATTCAGTTCTTGTTTAACGACTCTTTAGATAATGAGGAGTCTCGATTCAGTTCTTGTTTAACGACTCTTTAGGTAATGAGGAGTCTCGATTCAGTTCTTGTTTAACGACTCTTTAGGTAATGAGGAGTCTCGATTCAGTTCTTGTTTAAGGACTCTTTAGGTAATGAGGAGTCTTGATTCAGTTCTTGTTTGATGACTCTTTAGGTAATGAGGAGTCTTGATTCAGTTCTTGCATACAGACAAGTTTCCTGTTTGATCTTTGAAATTCATGCGATTTCTTTCTTCAGGAAATTTTCACGGAAATTCAATAAATTTCTTGGAGAGTGTTCTTTATTAGTCAAGTGATATTTTTTATTACAAATATTTTACAACCACTTCTTTCTAGAATGTATCTCCTTTTTTTAAAAAAAAAAAATAAATTGATATATTTACGTTCACCGAATGTTTTTCTTTTATTTCTTACGGACACATCACCTGAATTTTCATATATATATATATATATATATATATATATATATATATATATATATATATATATATATATATATATATATATATATATATATATATATATAAAAGAAATAATTTATACAGATAAAAATAAAACAATAAAATGTCCAAACTCGATTTGTTTTTGTTTTTTTTTTCAACCAAATGCATTAATACAATACATCACAGGAGTAAATTTAAAAAAAGTATTACTATAGTAATATTATAGTATTACGTTTTTTTTAAATTGAAAATTTTGGTAAAATTGATAAGTATGCAAACTCCTGTGATTTGACTATATCGCAACAAAAGGGGGATCGGCCTTTCAGTGAAGATTTGCATGTAGTATAAGTTTATGTTTGGGAAAAAAGGGGGTATACACACCACCCCCCCCCCCCACCCCCTATACTTCGTGCCTGTGTCTGTAATATTAATGACAGAGTCAAGTATACTAAGTTATGGTTTATAAGAATTTTACTCAAATGATTTATAAGTCCAGCCAACACTACTGGTTTCTATACATGAGGGTTTTTTTTTTTGGGGGGGGGGGGGGAGGTTGTCACGAAATTGCAAGAAATATATAATATATAAATCATTTAGGCCTAACTTAATGAAATGCATGAATAAATATATAAATTAATTGTTTTCCATTTTCATAATTGTATCTTAAGCATGCTCAAGATGAACTCTATCTACATTCTACAATGATCCGCTCCGATTGCAACCTTTCATTATTCCGGGATCGGGATACCTTAAAAATCCAAATTACTTCAACAACAAACCCGATTTTTCCTTGAAAAATGATCTCTTTACATCGACAAATCCTTTTCAAAATAAAGTTAAACAAACCTGTTTCGGTAAGATGTTTACTTGTATTGTAATTAAAAAATGTTTCATAGCTATAAAATTTATTTTAAGTCATGTGGGTAATGTAAAGCAAATTATTATATTGATTAAAATGGGTCATTTGTTTCGTTCGAATTTCCTCAGTTTTGCCTTTCTGTACAGTCAAGTGACCTGTTGCTATCTGTGTTCGTCCATCGTACGTCTTCCGTTAACAATTGAATGATTTAAGCTTTTTTTCAAACCGCTGAACCAATTTCAACCAATATTGGTAATAGTATCTATGGGCTAAGAGGAAGAAAAATATGTGAATTTCATGCCCCCCCCCCCCTTTGGTCTGAGAGGTGAGACCAAAATCCATCAAAATTAGTGCAATCTCCTATTTCTCCTCTACTCCTGGACCCGAAGCAGTCAAACTGTTGCATGATTGCACTGAGCCTTCTACCAGAATTATGAAATTCATATTCATGGCCCCAGAGTCATGGGTTATGGTATTAGGGTGGGAATCAATAGATCATTCAATAGATCATATTGTGATATAGTGATCCTCGTTTTTCCCCTTGTATGTTTAGCAGACAAACTAAGCGCATAGTTCTGATGCACAAGAGTGCCTCGATCTCCAAATTTTTGAAAAATGTGGCCCCTGGATCAGGGGTTCTTGTGTTAGGGCAGGGCTCTATTGATTCTTTAGAGAAATGCATTAGGCCACAGGTTTTTTATGTCTTAGTTTACGGATCTGCCGACTCTAATATTGGAGGAATTAGAAAGAAAATAAAATGCAAATTTCCTACTGTTTTTAATTCTGGCAACTTAATTCAACTAGCATTTGTTTTAATTTTGCAGAAACACTTACTATTGCTATACATGTATATTTAAGAAAATAATATTGTTTAGAAAAATTATTTATATTAACAGTATTTGAAATAACCGTGCACCCAACTGCCCGAGACGCACAAATTTTGCAGCGGGTTAACAAATATGCAAGTATTGACACCCAGCTGGACAAGTTAAAATTTTCCATAATTAAAATTCACATATTAATTTGATAATTAAATCTCTTTCTTGTCAACTAATAGTATCGGTAGCAAAGTGTAACAAGCCAAGAGGAAGAATTCATTAGTCTATAGATTCTGTTTCAAAGTTATGGTGACCTGGTTCCAGTCACATAATCGTTAAAAACAAATTTATAACAAAAGACAATTATTTTCTTGGGCTAGTAGATCTTTGGCAGGGCTGACAACTTTTACCAGCAGTCAGTCCAGCATGTCTGGCTTATTTTGCAGTGAGTTTCAAACACTGATATTAATAAAAATACATGTATACAATGCATTTTCTTTATAATGATCAATCATGAATGAATTAAAAAAATAAATGTTCATCTGTTTGATATGATGCATGTTGACCATTTTTTACCTAGATTTGAATTGGAACTTAATATTACTATTTAATGAATTCATCTCACTTTTTTGTTTGTTTTTATAATGTAAAAAATTGAGGTGCTTAGTTGTGGGCGTATATGCAAGACTCCCAGATTTTTCCAGATAGGGCTCCATTAATCACATACAAAAATGCATTAATTCTTTGAAAACTTTCAGAATCTCTGCTCTTGAGTATTTAGCAGACAAACTAAGTGCATAGTAATTGTGAAATCAAGGCCCAAGAGACAGAGGTTCTGGAGTAAGGGTGGGGCTCTATCATGAACATGTATTAAAATATTTATGCTGCTTCAAGAGAAGTTATTCCCCTACGTTATTCAATACAGTATTATGATAATCAATGTAAATAATGTACTTGATAGGTAGATTGAATAAAAAATACAAGGATTTGTAAAATGTAATATAAAAATTACTTTCATAGTTTTTAATAATGATTTGTTTGTTTGTTTATTGTTTAACGTCCCTCTCGAGAATTTTTCACTCATATGGAGACGCCACCACTTGCCGGTGGAGAGCTGCAAATTTTGACCTATACTCGGCACTTAGGACCATTGAGCAGTGAGGGATCTTTTTTCGTGTTAGCACCTACTGGGACACGGGAGCTCGGTTTATACGGTCTCATCCGAAGGACTGGTCTCCACGTCCCACAGTGGGATTCGAACCCGCGACATATTTTAATAATGAAGTTGACTTTTAAATACTAGTAATTGATGAATGAAAATGAGACGGAAATACCTTATATATGTACATTAAATATTATTCTAAGTCCAAGAGAGGCCAATATGGTATGAGGATAATGCTGATTGATTGTGTTCCATTAATTGTGATAGAGTGCAGATTGCACTGGCACATACAGGCAAGTTCTTGAGGTGTTGCTGATTACCAGACTAACTACATGTATTTCATTGACCACTGATCATTCTTTTTCTCTTGTTTCATAATTATTTACCATTTCGTGGATTCTTAAGTTACAGGGTATTATATAGTAAAAACTTACAATGCAGAAAAACTTATGCCCCTTAGTGAATTTACACTGCTGTAGATTATTATTGCTATATTATATGATGTATGGCTCCTCTTGGTTTCCAGAAATCACTAGAATGAGCTCTGGAGTCTGAATCATGCATCAGATTTGTTCCAGAAAGGAACATGCACGAAAATCACGAGAGCAACTTCCCCCTGTAATATAGTTTTCTTATACGCTAATAAATTTTACATATTCTGCTATATTAAAGGGTTTTTATCACGTATCTAAATTTCTTAAAAATGAAACACTTTTATATCCTCTGTCATTCAGTGTAACGGTATCTCAAAATGCTCCATGTAACCATACAGAGGTAGGAAGTAAAGATCAATCAAGTGTGAAGTTATGGTGTGCGAACAAAGCAGACGATTTTCGAGCTAGTATAGACCGGTATAAATCTACAACCACCAAAATTGAAGAAGAAATCGGGGATCTAATGAATTTAGAAAATGGTCTGGAAAAAGAGCATTTGAACAGTGTAATGTCAAAAATCTGCAATGTGTTTCTAAGCGCAGCCAAAGAATCATTTGGGATTAAACATGAAATAAAAAGCACAAAGAAAAAATCCGAAAAACCATGGTTTAATCGTTATTGTAGAACGGCGAGGAAAAAATTTCACTTAGCTAAACGTATGCATAATAGAATTAAAACCCAAGATTTTAGAGAAAATCTAAAAATAGCTAGCAAAGAATATAAAAATGTAATGGATTTATCAATAAACGACTATAGACAAGATCTCTCTCAGAAAATTAAAAGATTGCGAACAAACAACACAAAGGAATACTGGAAAATATTAAATAGCCAAAATAAAAATAACAAATGTACAGCTGATTTAAATAATCTGTATACTTTTTTCAAAAATATTAATGAAGCCGATTTAGACGAAACTGATTCTGAAATCAACATCACTGAACAAAGTAGATATAATGAAATACTTGATTGTCCAATTTCGCAAGATGAAATTTTGGCCGCCGTAAAAGACCTAAAAAACAACAAATCTCCCGGAAGTGACCATATTCTTAATGAACATATTAGTACCACTATTTCACTGTTTCTGTCTTTATACGAGAAACTGTTTAATCTCATTTTTAACTCTGGGATAGTACCGGAAGAATGGCTTATAGGCATTGTAAAACCTATTTATAAAAATAAAGGAGATCCAACACAACCCGAGAACTATCGCCCGATCACATTGTTGAGTTGCCTTGGGAAACTTTTCACTAGTATTTTGAAAAAACGATTAGAAATATATGCAGAAAATGTCAGTCTGATTAACGAAAGTCAAACAGGTTTCAGAAAAGGGTACTCTACATTAGATAATATATTGATTTTGCATTTTCTGTCACAAGCACTTATAAATAGCAAAAAAAAGTTATATTGTGCGTTCATCGACTTTAAACAGGCTTTTGATACTGTTTGGAGAGGTGGTCTTTGGTATAAATTATTTTCAAATGGTGTTAGTGGGAAATGTTTTACTTACATTAGAAATATGTATGCAGGTATAAAATCAAGAATAAATGTGGATGGTGTGTCTTCTGAATATTTCACCTGCAATGTCGGAGTCAGACAAGGCGAAAATCTATCACCTTTTTTATTTTCTCTGTATATCAATGACTTAGAAAATTATCTTACAGAAAGGAATGTTAATGGCTTACAGAATTTGTCTAAAGAGATTGAAGATGATCTTACCGTTTTTATCAAACTGTTTATATTATTTTATGCAGATGATACTGTTATTTTGTCTGAAACTGCAAATGATCTACAACATGCATTAAATGAATTTTCTGCATATTGTAAAACATGGAAACTCCATGTTAATGTCAATAAAACAAAAATTGTCATTTTTTCAAAAGGACCATCACCCAAACATACATTTAAATACAACAACGATGTTTTAGAAACTGTAAAAGATTTCAATTACTTAGGTATTTTATTCTCAAGATCAGGGTCATTTTCAAAGGCTAAGAAACACTTATGTAATCAAGCACAAAAGGCAATGTACGGAATTATAAGAAAAATTCGTTTATATAATCTACCTTTTGATTGTCAGCTAGATCTATTTGATAAAGTTGTTGTTCCTGTTTTGTTATATGGGTGCGAAATATGGGGATTTGAAAATATTGATATTATTGAACGTTTACATTTAAGATTTTTGAAATATATTTTAAACCTAAAATCTAGTACACCGAGTTTTATGGTATACGGGGAGACTGGACGTTACCCGATGTACGTACGCATTTATACAAGAATGATATCTTTCTGGGGGAAACTGTTACATGGAAATGAGAATAAGATTTGTAGAATTATTTATTTACACCTTTATAATAAATATACCAAAAATGGAATCAATAATCCATGGATATCTTGCATACAGAATATTCTTAACACTGCAGGACTATGTAATGTTTGGAATGATCAAAATTTTCATAGTGTTAAATGGATTGCGACTGCAATAAACCAAAAGCTTAAAGACCAATTTTTACAAAAATGGTATAGTGATATGAATAATTCCAGTAAAGGTATTACATATAGAATTTTTAAAACAAAGTTTGAATGTGAAAAATACTTAACTATTTTACCAAGAAAATTTAGAAATATCTTTTCAAAATTCAGAACAAGTAACCATCGTCTTCCCATAGAGGTGGGTAGATGGAATAATGTTGAAAGAAATGAAAGAGTGTGCTATTTATGTAATAATAATCAAATTGGAGACGAATTTCATTACTTACTGGAATGTAATGTATTTTGTAATATTCGAAAAGATTTTCTGTTAAAGAAATACTATGTACATCCAAATATTATAAAATTCTGTAATTTAATGACAAATACTGACCCAGCATTCTTAAGAAAATTGTGTATATTTATCATCAAAATTTTTGACACTGTCTGTCCTCCTGTAATCTCTGCTCGTCCATAATTATTGTAAATATGTATATATGTACCTCTTGTACCATTCATATGGTTTTTGAGAGAATAAATGAATGAATGAATATATTCTTGAAACATATTATTATCGTTTAATTATGAAATAATGTTGAAAACGGCCGTAATTAGACGATAAAACGCCCGTAATATAGGGTCCTCGAAGTAAAAATCTCCACTAATTAGATAGGGGTCACGTGGTACTGAAACGTCATAGGTGTCAATGGTCAATAGAACTCGTAAAGCTTATCGTAAAAAATATATATATATATATTGAATAGATTTTTTCGCTAAATAAATAGAATACACAGTATGGCCGGTTGAAATTTTGACATAGACTAATTCCTTTGGTTATGGACGGTCAATCCTTTAGGTATGAACGTCTAGCAGAGAGAAATAACCCTAAAATATGCCAACAATTGGAGAGAGGTCACCGAATATGAAGCCGTTGACAACTCGGGACTTCAACTAAATAGAACGGATTACTAAAGTTTAACTTCGTAAACATTTATAAATATGGGAATTTTAAATTCCTCTTCATTATTATTTTGATTAATCATAAATAAATAAATACTGTATATCTTCTATCTGTTCTAGCAGTGAATATCATGTACTAGAAATGCCACTTCTTCAATGGCGCCGTACGCCATTACGAAAGTTCACAACATTCCTACTAGATTCTGTGCGACTTTTAAAAAATGCGTGTTTGTCATTTATTTTTTTTTTTTTTAAAAAAGTATCTTTCCTTAAAATATTTTATAGGACAGAAGAAAAAAAATCGTGATCGATCGGGCATAAACGATTGTTCTGAATGGAGATAAACACCATCGCATTTGCAGAGAAAGGCCCCCCTTTTATCTCTCGACCAAGTCCAGGAAAATGTGGGGAAAAAATTCTTCCAAAAACCTTTCTTGTGCACATTTGCGCACCATAAAGCCATAAATTATACCTTACAAGTTGTCAATTATTCAATTATCACTTAATTATTTTCTAACAGGTTTAAAAGACACAACAAATGAGCCCTTTTGTATACACAATAAGTACTTCGCTTGACCAGGATTGACACCTATGACGTCAGAGCAATGGCGCGTAACATCGGCGATCAAAATATGCATATTGAGAAATTCAAACTTTGAATTAACTTGTATGACAGGTATAAGTTTAATCCTATAATTTCAGACCAGTCTGATTCAACGTTTATCTGGTCAGAGTGGCAGCCCAGATGGACAGTCCACCAACGCACCACCCCCACAATCACCACCCCCTGCTGCAGGTAAGAATTTATGCAGTTACAAAGTAACTTGTTCTTAATCTTTTGTTAACATAGATTGTATATAGGTGTAAATACTTATAAATGAATTAATACAAATTTCAATTCTATAACCACTGTATCGGTAGTTTGGCATTTAGTGATGTAGGAAAAGTCAGATGTGAACCAACTTTTATACGCTTTTGAAAAATAACTGCAATTTCCGCGAACAACAACTCATGCGGATATTTATGGTCGCAAAACAGTAAGAAACAGGAAACCTTCAATCATCTTAAACATTATATGCTGCGGAGAGGTTATCAATGTCGATTCGCTACATTTTGTTGAGGGTAACATTGAAAATGTTCACCCCAAGAAAACCACTGTCAACCGAGGCACAGCATTTTCCCTAAATCAGGGGTGAAATTTTTCAATGTTAGGTTCAACTATATACAATACGAGAAATATTATAAATTTATTGGTCATTAATTCCCGACAGTCAACCTTTTTTTGCAATATCGTCAAGTTATGATATGTTCTATCGCACTGGTGGGGGTGATTTCATCATTCAGAGCGTAAAGGTGTTATAAGTGTCCTCGACGAATCTTCAACTAATGTAATTTAAAGTATAATATTTTAAAAATATTACAAATAACTATTAGTTTACAGTAATTTTTCACAAGACTGAAGTTGTTTAAGTTACAACTGCTGTAATTTAATCGTTTGTAGGTAACATCTTAAAAATCATAGCTATGGATATACCGAAAATCAACATGAAATTATTAGTTTATTTTTTGGTTTTAACAGAACCCAAGGCTGATTCAGACAACACCACATATAAAGTAAAAGAATATTACGGATACAATGCCTATTCATTTTACGACATTGACAAGGATATGTCGAAATTCAGGAACCCACAGCCGTCAAAATACGCCTCACCGGAGCCTGCTAAACAATAGACTAACAAGTATAGGATGGTGGAAAATCGGTTTTTTAGTTATGATTGTATGTTATGAAGATTTGAAAATAAATTAATTCAAACTCAACCAGTTTGCTTATTAATCATTTCTTAATTGGTAGATTAAATTGATTATCTCAATCAAGAATTTTAGTTATGGTGAAGTACATGGGACCAAACGACTGATTAATACTGTAAATAGCTTATTTTGGCTTTTGGTTATTTTCGAGTTTTCTAAACAGTATCCATTTACACTCTGTTGTCGATTCAGATGGCCACTTCCTTTTACTAGTTTACAAAGTTTAATTCATTGTACACACTTAGCAGTTTCTACATCCGCAAAAATAGCATTTGCTATTGGTATCTGTAATAGTATTACAGAGGGGAATTCGAAAAACTATAGCTAAATTTTAATTTAGCTATAGTTTTTCGAATATCCCTCTGAATCTTTCCGCTTTTCCACCATATTTGCACATAATACATTCAGAACTAAGTGTGGTTTCCAATACATTCTAGGTAGGTTCTGCACCAGAAAAAAATATTGACTCAAACTCACTGACTATTAATGAATCAGTGCAAGAGAATGTCCCAGTTTTTTAATCTGCACAAAGATGAAAATAACGAGAGAACGACTTTTTTATCCCTATATCAGTATCCCAATGTTTTAAAATTACTTCAGCTCATTTCTCATCAGTTTCAGGGAACTTTTTCCCTACTCTCCATATTTTGTTAGTAGATTAAAAAAAACAACAACAACACATAATTGTGTTCCTGCATATTGGCAGTGGAATTTAAACGGTAGCAAGATTTTTTTTGTAAATAAAAAAGATGTCATCCCCTTCCCAAATTGTAGCCGTTACTCCCTGAAGAACCCAACCAAAAGTGTCTAATCTGTTCCATCCTCTCAAACAGGCCGAAGCTCTCTCCTGATAAATTGCTGTACGGACAAAAAAGATATGTGTGTATAGGACCCAAGACCTCAAAGTGTGCAATACAAGGTATAAAAGTGAAAGGTAAGCATAAAATAAATTGATGGAATCCCGGGTTAAACATTGCTCATTTGAGAAAAAAAATGTGTCTTAGTATGAAATAATACACAATTTTTTTTTTACTTTCATGTGAAATGAATTCATTGGAACTCTGCGTAGGTGTCACTATACCAACATTTTATCATGCAGGGTTTCATTAAATGAGAAAATGATATCAAGTAAAATAACCCTAAAATGACCTTGACATACATTCCAAGACGATAAAATCATGCACTTTCTTAAACTTTCATATTTGATAAAATTCAGGAACCCCACTTCATGCATTGAGGAGCATTTCTTACTAGATAAGACTTAAAATTTTCATATTTAATAAAATTCAGGAACTCTACTTCGTGCATTGAGGAGCATATCTTATTAGATAAGATTTAAATTTTCATATTTGATAAAATTCAGGAACTTCACTTCGTGCATTGAGGAGCATTTCTTACTAGATAAGATTTAAATTTTCATATTTGATAAAATTCAGGAACTCCACTTCATGCATTGAGGAGCATTTCTTACTAGATAAGATTTAAAATTTTCATATTTGATAAAATTCAGGAACTCCACTTCGTGCATTGAGGAGCATTTCTTACTAGATAAGACTTAAAATTTTCATATTTAATAAAATTCAGGAACTCCACTTCGTGCATTGAGGAGCATTTCTTATTAGATAAGATTTAAATTTTCATATTTGATAAAATTCAGGAACTTCACTTCGTGCATTGAGGAGCATTTCTTACTAGATAAGATTTAAATTTTCATATTTGATAAAATTCAGGAACTCCACTTCATGCATTGAGGAGCATTTCTTACTAGATGAGACTTAAAATTTTCATATTTGATAAAATTCAGGAACTCCACTTCATGCATTGAGGAGCATTTCTTACTAGATAAGATTTAAAATTTTCATATTTGATAAAATTCAGGAACTCCACTTCGTGCATTGAGGAGCATTTCTTACTAAATAAGACTTAAAATTTTCATATTTGATAAAATCCAGGAACTCCACTTCGTTCATTGAGGAACATTTCTTACAGATAAGACCGCATCCTTTATAAGGAGTTCCTCTTTCCTGATATTTTAGTCATAAAAACATAGAGGCAATCTGGGAAAATCTAGCCTGAAACTGTTTCTACAAAACACTGTAAACAAACTGTATTTTAATACGTACTGGTATTAGTCGACTTGTTTTAATATTCCTATGAAGCAGAATTTATTCAAAAACTTCTACATGAGAAGAAAACACTTGTGGTGGCCTTCAACTCGACATATAGGCCTTCAACTCGACATTTAAATATATTGAAGATGTATTATCAATTAACAATGATAACTTCCATTCATATGTCGACTCGATATCCCAGAGAACTTGAAATAAAATACACCATATAATCTGTCACATCTGTTTCATATTTGGATGTTTTACTGATTATAAACGATAAGGACCCACTAACAGCTAAATTGTATGATAAACGAAATGACTTCAGCTTCTCCAACGTCAAATTACCTTATTTATGTAGTAATATCCCGCTATCACCTGCATATGGTGTTTTTATCTTCAACTTATTCGATACTCAAGAACATGCTCCGAGTACGATCAATTTTTAAACCAAGGCAAGCTACTGACAGATAAGTTGATGTTACAGGGACTTCAACAACCTCGTTTAAAATCCCTAAAATTTCCTAAATTCTATGGTCGTTATAATGACCTTATTAACAAATATAACCTATCGTTGCGTCGTATTTTAGCTGACTTGTTTCATACCAATTGTTAGGCCTTTGTTTTTATACTTAATTTGACTACGGAATGTTCCGTCCTACCTGATCAATATATATAGGGCTCACGACGGGTGTGACCGATCAACAGGGGATCCTTTCTCCTTCTAGACACCCGATCCGACCTCTGGGATTTCCAGGGGTCCGTGTTTTATGCCCTCTTTACAGATTTGTATGGTTTATAGATTTTTTTTTTGATTGATCACTGTTCGTAATCTTCACCTTTTTCATACATGTTCATTTCATCCACACAGCAATAAAATATTGTCAATCAATGACACAAGGTATGTCAAAATTGAAATATAACACAGTTCTATATTGCAACCAATTTTTTACTCCAGCGGTTTCCCTCTCTTCGAGACTCCCTTTGATACTTTTCTTTTTGTAGCGACTTTGTCTATTTGTTCTGTGTTTTTAAGTCCTGTGTACAAAGATGTGTCGGGCTCGCTTGTTTTCCTCAAAGATTCGTACATATTTGTGTCCTTATCATCGTTATATGAAGGCTTCAGCGCCAGACTCTCATATTCATTCCCAACAACATGAGATTCAGCCGCCGTATTTATGACGGCAACATTGCCATAAAGTGCTACGCCGGATTCTTTTCGGATGTTATTATCGTAAATGTTGACGTCAGATTGATTTCCGTTATTCCCAAAGGCATTTTCGTACAGAGGGTCCTCCGTTACGCTAGGAGTGTAGGTCTGATTTGTGGTGGAAATGCCGTTAGATTCTGCTGCAATCATAAAGTACAAACATTCATTATCAATACTGCATTCCAGGATTTCTTTATGGAACTGAATTTTCCTTACATAATATTTTGAAAATAATGACAGAAATATAAATTAGCTAGACATCATCAATTTTTCGCGTTACTGAATTCAGTAGTAAATATTTACGTGCAGTCTAACTTTTAAACTCAATATAAGTAGTCTATGAACAAGCTTATTTAGAGAATTTGTGTTCCCCGATTAAGATAAAAAGAAGAGGGTGGAATATAAGGAAAATATGCAGATAGAGAAAGAACTAGAAATATCTCCATAGGACATGAATGCACCGTCGAGGGTATATTAGTACAGTTTCATGAGAGTATCTTGAAAAGTTTCTTTAAAATTGAAATTGAAAAAAAAAATGGATATAGATGATAAATTCTCATCAAATTATGTATATAATACATAATGTGCATAAGCTTACTTAAAAATATCTTAAATGCTTTCTTTAAAACTAAGCAAAATGAAAAATTAAAAAAAGCGAGGTCAAAGTCAAAGGAAAGTTCAGGGTCAAAAGTTTTTGATGCAGTTGAATAGCTCTCACTTATACGTATCAGCATATTAAGTTTAATGAAAATATAATTAATTCAAAACTGAGCTTAAAACTAGTTTAAGAAAAGTTAAGTCAAAGGAAAGGTTAGAGTCAAAAAACAATGCAGTTGAAAAGCTTACATCAGTATGTATTCGTATATGAAGTTTGATAGAAATATCTTGAATGGTTCTTAAAATTGAGCTAAACACAATTTCAAAAAAAAGAAGTGAGGTCAAGGTCAAAGGAAAGGTCAATGTAAAAAAAATGTTGATGCATTTGAATAGCGTACATGAGTGTGTATCATCATATGAAGCTTGTTTACACTATCTTGAATGATTTCTTTAAAACTGAGCTAAACATTAATTCAAGAAAAGTGAGGTCAAGGTCAAAGGAAAAGTCAAGGTCAAAAAATGTTGATACAGTTGAATAGCAACCATCATTATCTATGAGCATATGAAGTTTGATAAAAAAATATTTTGAACAGATTCTTTGAAACTGAGCTAAACGTAAAGCGCGACGGAAGGAAGGATTGAAGGACGAAAGACGGACATGACAAACTATATATTCCCCAGCCATATTCATGGTGGGGCATAAAGAAAGGTCAACCTTGACCTTTCAGCTTTTACCCTTAAAGTCAATAAGGGTCTTTTTTAAGTAAAAGGAATTCATGACCTCAATACAAAATCTTACAAAGAACTAAAGTTATCACCTGAAACACATGCAATATAAAATTTGTGACCTTAGTCTTTGACCTTTTTACCCTCAAAATCAATAGGGGTCATTTTTTAAAAGTCATATTTACTGAAGGTTTAAAATTTCATTGCAAAGCTTCAATAAAGAACTTAAGTATTCACCAGGAAACCATTTAAAGCCAGATATAATTTTTTTTTTATTAATAAGTTATTGGGAGTTGCGATATAAAAGTTCATAGAAAAAAACTAAAGTTGTCATCTGGAAACCATTTTTAGCTCTACTGGTCAGAGACCAGAAGAGCTTATGCGATAGTAAGGTGTCCGTCATCCGTCCATCTGTCTGTCTGTCCGTCGTCTGTCTAGCTGTCTGTCTGTAAACAATTTTTCAAAATGCTACTCCGCATACAGTTTTGGTCTGATTTCAATATAACTTGGCACACAAGTAGACTACACTATGATACATACAGTTGTAATTTAGTGCATCGGTTTTTGATTTCGATGTACGGTGTTGCCATGATTACTAAAGATAGAAATTTCTGTGAAATTCCTTTAAAACGCTACTCCTCCTACAGTTTTGTTCTGATTTCAATATAACTTGGCACACAAGCAGACTAAACTAAGATACATAATTTAGTGCATCGGTTTTTGATTTCGATGAACAGTGTTGCCATGGTTACTAATAATAAAAATTTCTTTGAAATTCCTGTAAGAGGCTACCCCTCCTACAATTTTGATCTGATTTCAATATAACTTGGCACACAAGTAGACTACACTAAGATAAATAATTTTGTGCATCAGTTTTTGATTTTCGATGAACGGTGTTGCCATGGTTACTAAAAATAGAAATTTCTGTGAAATTCCTTTAAAACGCTACTCCTCCTACAGTTGTCGTCTAATTTTAATCTAACTTGGCACACAAGTGGACTTCACTTTGATACATAATTTAGTGCATCGTTTTTTCATTTCGATGAACGGTGTTGCCATGGTTACTAAAAATAGAAATGTCTGTGAAATTCCTTAAAAACACTTCTCCTCTTACAGTTTTGGTCTGATTTTAATATAACTTGGCATGCAAGTAGACTACACACACTAAGATATGTAATTTAGTGCATCAGTTTTTGATTTCGATGAACGGTGTTGCCATGATTACCAAAAATAGAAATTACTGTGAAATTGCTTTAAAACGCTACTCCTGCTACAATTTTGGTCTGCTTTTAATATAATTTGGCATACAAGAAGACTATACTAAGATACATAATTTAATGCATCGGTTTTTTCTTTCAATGAACAATGTTGCCATGGTTACTAAAAATAGAAATTTCTGTGAAATCCCTTTAAAACGTTACTCCTCCTACAGTTTTGGTCTGATTTCAATCTAATTTGGCACACATTTAGAATACACTACGATACATAATATGTATTTCGGTTTTTGATTTCAGTGAATGGTGTTGTCATGGTTACTAAAATAGAAATTTCGGTGAAATACTTTCAAAACACTACTCCTCCTATAGCTTTCGTTTGATTTCAATATAACGTGGTACAGAAGTAGACTACATTAAGATTAGGGATGTCAATTTTACTCGGACAGCTTAGTCGAATAGTCGGAGGCTTTAGTCGAACGATAGTCGAGTACTCGTTGAAATTTGAATTAATTTTCATGTCATTTTTCCTAATTGTCTTTAACCCACTGCTAACATATACAATATTTAATCTACGCTATCACCATTATACAACAAATTATTGAATCGTTAACATTTATATAGTAATAAATATATGTATCCAATGTATTTGACTTCAAATATAATATTTTTACTGCATATTTTATCAATATACAGAATATCAAATGCTCGCATTGATCCTTTCTTTTCATGATGCTAGTACATGTACCCGTTACTGATTTCTTACCTGAACCCATTTGGATTTGTCTTGTCAGTGACCCGTGATTGTTAAACAATTAAAGCGTAACTCTTATAAAAACAAAGATAGCTTACGATGAATTTTATTATGAGATTCTTTTGCAAACAATCAATACAACTTTATAATTGATGATATTAATCACGCTCATAACTCTTCCCCAATTTACATGTACATGTATTTACAAATATGTAATAGCTGTTTAATTATTCTTCATTAATTAATATGCATTATACGAGATCTTACAGAATTGCAGGTTGAAACTTTACAATTTGGATCTGACATCTTTTAAAGTATGACAATGCATGTCTGCCGAACAAAAAAAAAATCCTTTGAAAAATTAGTGAAGACCGGTTAAGCCTTTTCCTGGGTTTTACTCACGAGGACACTGAACACTGATACGTGTACGTTAATAAATCAACTGAGCAGATCCATTTTTTTTAAACCTCGAATTTAAGTTTACTATTAAGTAGCAAATTTTTAACGAATAACCGTCTAAAAAAGTTTTAGTCGGTAGTCGGTATATGATCGAACGATAGTCGAGTACTCGAATATTCGTTGACATCCCTAATTAAGATACATAATTCTATTTATTAATGCATGTTGCAAAGTTTCAAATCCAAGTGCTATTTTGTTATACGTACAGACCAGTAGAGCTACAGTCTCATCAGAGACTTCTGGTTGTTTTTGGGTTGTATGAATTTCTGACCTTGACCTATTGACTTAAAAAATCAGAAGGGTCTTTTTAAGTCACTAAAAGTTATGATATATATAGGGGGTTATAAAAATTCATCGCAAAATCTCAAAGGCTGTTTAAGATATCGTCCGGAAACGAAAGTGTTTCACACAGACATAATGTATGAATTTCTGACTTTGACCTATGACCTTTTCACCTCAAAATGAAAAAGTTCATTCAGTAAAATTCAAAGAAAACTAAAATTATCATCAATGTTTTTGCAATATATGAATTTATGTCCTTGACCTTTGACTTTTTTTGACCTCAAATCAATAGGGATCTTTTTAAGCAATAGGGAGTAATTAAAATTTCATTGCAACAGCAAAGGCTTTTTGAGATATTGTTTGGAAACTGAAGTATTACATACAGACAGACAAACAGACAGATGGACAGACCCAAATATATATACAAAGACATACCTTTGAGAATGTTCTTGACGAGTCTAAATAAATAAAAAAAAAATAGATACTGATTTTTAAGTCAATTTCTATATCTAGATATGTTTAACGTTGTACTCATTAGCAAAATGCACCATTTAACATGATCTTTCATACACTCTGTCGATGCTTCTCGTTGAATAAATGTTACCATTCTGACTCAGAGAAACAATACTGCTTTAATAACTTGTTTCAAAATCGCAAAAAAGTCCCTTGATTGAGAGTACTTTTAAAAGCACCAAAGTAAAGGCTTTTGTTGCAAAATGGTAGAATATCGATTTGCTGATTTTTTCATACATGTACTGATTCATTAATCTTAAATAACTTTTTTCATATTATTATTATTATCATTATCATTATTATTATTAATTTGCTTCTGACATCAAACATTAGAACATTAGAAGACATATTGAATCAACCGGAAGTCGCTGTATCCCATCTAAAGTCTTAAAATGTCGTGAGGTAATTTTCGAGACATAAATGAGTTGTCTACAATGAAGAGACTTGACTAAAGACGTCTGGAACAATATAAGAAAAAAGTCTCCGGAAGCGAACTATGCCTCATTAAAGTAGGTAAATGATTAATAAATTAATAAAATATTGGCTTGAAGTGGGGGTGCCTGAAATTGAGTTAGGTACCTTGTGGTAAAAATAAGAAGGGGTTGCCCTGCATACGAAACAATAAGTAGGGGTTGCCATACATACGAAAAAGTGCCTGTGATTTTCAGTGTAAAGAAAGTTTCTGAACACATTTTTACTAAAAATAGATCTGAAACGCTCTCGCAACACTCAAGCTAGTCAGGAAATTCTACTGAAAATTTTGAATGATATAAACTTCAAACTGTGCCTTTGCCCCTTTAATGTAAGGCATGCTGATGTATGAATTTCGAAAATACTGATAAACTGAACTTTTGCAGGTCTATCTGCATGAGGAGAAAAAAGATAGTGGATTTTATTTATGTTTAACTATATGATGATCTTGATATATAATACAGCTATAGGACTCGGCATTTAATGTGAATAACGCATTTTACCTTTTCCTTTTAGACGTAATAACAAAAAGTACCACGCCTACTGCTGACGCAATCACAACTACCCCGACAACCAGCCCAATAACAATAGAAACCACCGGAGACGACGAAACTGGCTGTGGAACCACCACTTTAAAAATACAAGCATAAACTATGTTTTATTTACATATACATGTATAACAAAATTTGACCTTTTAAATGCATCAAAATAAAAATGCGATTTACTTGCGTACTATCACTTATTTAAAATGTTTTATTTACAATGTATACGAAATCTCTGCATTTACACATACCTTCTACATACCCCTCAAAACAAAATTTGAAAGTTGAATAGATATTATAATGCATTGGTTCTAGATCTTTGCTCGGATTTTTAAGCAGACTAAAGCTCTATTCTCCGAGAAAATTAGAACCGCCTTCAAATTTGCCTAGTCTGAGGGACCATCTGACAAATTCCTCACCTAATTTTATAATGGTTTTTACTTTTTCCATTAAAGCTCAATCCTTCTAAAAAGTAATTTTTCCAAAAAAAAGTCTTTGTTTCTTTCGAAATATTAATGCCAGATTGATGGAACAGACAGTAAGTCACTCAAATGGAAATATATCTTTAATTTTGTACATAAGGCCAATGTACTTTCTAAATGAATGCTCAAATTCTATAGTGTAACAAGATTTTACAGAACAGCTAAACTAACCTTCCACAGTGCAGTCATCCGACTCGTACCCACTTTTGCATGTGCACGCTCCTGATTTTTTGTCACAGTGAATGGTATTATTCATGTGACACTGACACTGCCCTAAACACTCTGATCCAAAGTGGTCATCATCACATTCTGCACGAAAGTATTAATATTCTAAGGTATTAACTTCAATAGCACATTACATCAACATAATATAAAATTTTATCCCACCTGTGGAACAGTTTGTGCCTTTGTATCCGAGTTTACAAATACACAGTCCGTCCGACTTCCGGCAGGTCCTAAACTGGTTCTCGTTACACCTGCACGTGCTCATACACTTATCCCCGAACGTTCCATCAGGGCACTCTGCAATGAAAATCCATTTAATTTCTTGCGGTTGATTTATTGGATATACCTGTTTATAGATATCGGGAAACAGTTTACCTTTTAACCTTATACTAGAAACCTGTAAAGTCAAGTCTTACCCAACTGGCAGTTTTCTCCTGTAAAACCCGGCAGGCACGTGCACATTCCAGATTTAGGGTCACAACTCCGTGTATTTTCCGACTTGCATGTGCAGTTGGAGGAACAATTTTGTCCATAGGTGTACCCGCTACAATCTGGAAAAAAAAAACATTTGGCTTTAAATTCTAGGACACTTGAATTAGAAAGCAGCTATTCAGAGACAGAACATGAGAGAATATGTCGAGGAATAGCTGCAGAACTGTAGCGTTATGGTTTAATTTACATTTTAGTCTTTGACCATAAACTACAAAAGATATCAAGGGACAGTGCTCTAGGATATGCCAGTTAATCCAAATCAATGTCATCCGTATGTCAATATAAGTAGTTAATCCATATCAATGTTATCTGTATGTCAAATAAAATTTTGTTTTACTTGTACCTCTGTTTTTTTTTTTAAAGTCATACTCATTTGTAAACGTAACTTGTATTTCTCGACTAGCTACAGAACTGTAGCGTTAATATGGTTTTATATTTTAGACTTTGACCATAACGCTACAGATATGATGCAATTTACGGCGCAAGATTTTCTGCGCAACGGCTGGGGATTCATGTATTTCTCCACTTTAGAGCATGGTCAATCAACTATCTTTTATTCCTTAATTCTAGGCATATTCTATTTCCAACCTTTTTTATTAAGGAATAAAGGGACTCAATGTAATGCCATATACATGTAAAGCTTCCTGGTGTAAGGGAGATAATTCAAATTACTCATCACCTCTGTATTGCCTATAGACTCAACATTATTTTATGTTTTGTATTGCTGTATGTTTATGTATTTTCTTGTCCCCTTGAGCGTTTACAAATTATACTTGTATCTATGTTATGCCCCCAGTGGGACCATGATTGGCAAATAAATTTTATTCTATTCTATATTACAGTATACTATAAAACTTTTGTTTAAATTAATTAGTGGAGAGTCTTCTAACTATGAGTTATAAGATTTGGTTTACAAACTCATGGAGCCACGGAACAACTGCTTTTATACATTTGATTATAGGCATTCTTCACTCCTTGTTCGTCCATCTCCTTTATGATTTTGCCATGGGTAATTTTGCAGATATTTTCCAATCTACCCCCCGGGTTCTTAAACTTATTTTGCATTTAGATCTTACATAATTACAGGGGATCTGACACAGCCTTGTGCATGTCATTGTGCTCACTAATATCGGACTGCCAAACGTAAATTTTTAGAACTGCAAGAACAAAGGAATGACGACACAGCAATGTTTAAAATATTTTTTTTTGATGAAAACTCATTTTATTTTAAGAACAAGATATAAAGCAGCATTCACGATTTTTTTAAGAATGCTTCTTAAAAATGAAATCTGTGTTGGGGTAGGTCAAAAATTCAAAGTTTGACCATCCTACCGAGATGTTGAGTAAAGTAAGGAAGATTCTTGGATCGATGAGAAGATTTTCTATATGTCAATTTGTACGTGTACGTGTGTACAATATTAATAGTCCTTAAGAATGAATTTTCTTCATTGCAATATATGTGTGGTACTTAATCTTTGAATAACTACTCGTGAATTATGAACCCATTTTATGAGGACTTCGATTTATATTTTCAATTTATTTCACAATTTAATTATTGTTAGTGAACTAGATTTAGGACAACTGCTTGTGTATGGATTAATTTTATAAATATTACCCTGCGCATGGGAATGTTGCCAAAATTGCTTAAAACAGTTCACAAATATAAAAAAAATCGTTTATCATAGATGAATGAGTAAATATTTTACGGCTTTTACATACTTCTGTGACCTACCATCTTGACACGAAGGTGGTTCATAGCCTGGACGGCATACACACTCGCCAGTAAAGGCACTGCAGCTACTGGCGTGACCCGTAGTACATTTACAACGCAAACTGCACCCAGATCCATAGTTAGGGAAAGCACACTCTGCAATTGACAGAAAGAATTACCTACATACCATTGCGCGATAAATTAATTAAATTTTCGACACGTATTCGTATTTTTTTAAAGAAGAGTAGAACTCTCAACCTTTTTAAAACAAATTATTTGCACACATTATTTGACGCCGTAATTGTACGAAACAATGACATATGAAGATAACGAACAATAATCATGCTCAAAAGTCTATTGAAACAATGCAAATTGTGAGCAGAGCAAAATCAAAGAGATGGGATCAGGTGCCATGGACAAGTAAGCAATTCCTTTTGACCGCCTCTCTCCGTGCTCTTCATCATGATCGGGTAAACGGAGAACTCCATAATAAAGTCAGTAACAAAATAATGGCCTAACAATATGTTTGAAAGACGTCAGTCAACATTCGACCTAACAACAGGTCAATATTCGACCTAACAACAGGTCAACATTCGACCTAACAACAGATTCTATTTACAAACAAGGATATTGTACATGTAGATACCCAGGAATCATCAGCTTGTTAAAATACGAAGCTTGTTTCGTTTTAGGAAATGTTCGTACGTAGAACATGCTCTTGCGTATCGAATCAACTGAGACATAAACACCCTATAAAGTTGATAAAGGTATATTGCTACATAAAAAAACTCAACAATTAACAAATTATCATGCTTGCTCAAGTCACCTTGAATTTGAAGAAAAATTAATACAATTTGAACATGCACATAAAGCAACTTAAGCCAATCCTGTGCAAACTGTAGCACTATTCGAGGTACTTGCACATGATTTTTACGTTTGTAGACCTACAGACAATAATCTTACCAATGAAATACCACTACTGAATTGAATATCTTAATCTACTTACCTTGAAATACAAAACTTACTCTTGAAAATCTCTTATTTGCACCATCACAAAAAGAACATGACTCCCCCCCCCCCTCCCCAACCTCTCCCCTCCCTCACCACTTACCCCTCGAACAATCCGCCTTAGGGTCGTATCCTAACCTGCAGTTGCAGGATCCATCCACATTACTACAAGGGGAGGCAGAATTTTTATCATCACATGTGCATGTCTTTGCACACCGAAGACCATACGTGTTGGTTGGGCAACCTTAATGTTCAACATAATTCAAATCCTATACAAAACGCTTACAATAGATTTAGGAAAAATTAAAGCGTTTGAAAACCAACAAAATCTTATTTTTAATTTTTAAAAAATCAATTTTTACTTTTTATGAAAACACTACGGACTTACTTTTTTCACAGTTTGTTCCGTTGTATCCAGGTAAACACGTGCATGACCCACTGACAAAGTTACACGTGCTGGTTTGGTTCTTAAGACACGTGCACGACTTACACCCGTCTCCAAACGTGAAAGGTGAACACTCTGTAATAAAATGATATTATTCTAATAAATACTAAAATAGTTACCACATTTTGGTCAGTTATCTGTAAACTGTAAAACAAGGGAAGCAATTGTGATGCGATTGCATGAATATGTTAACTTATACTCTTTTAATGCCTTGAGAACGTGAACTGTCATCCAACGACAGCTAGAAATTGTGAACACTTTCAACCAAACATTTGTTAGATGTTAATGGTCAAGCTCCAGACAGCTCAGTATTAAGTTACGCTACAACTCCATATCATTATTATTAGCATTATTCGTAGGGAAAGTAGTCCCGGAGAATTGACACTGTTTGGAATAGGGAAAGTAGTCCCGGAGAATTGACACTGTATGGAGTAGGATAAAACCAAAGACTTCCGAGTATTCCATTCCGAGGTCTCTGGTTTTATCCTTCGTTTATAACCCCAACCGGAAGCTTTTGTATCTCATTCAAAGTCATATTTTGTATCGAGGTAATATTCGAGGAAGAAATGAGTGGTTTACAAGAAAGAAGCTCGATCAGAGACGTCTGAAACGATTTAATTAACAAGAAAAAGTCTTTCGAAGCGAAAGATGTCATTTTAAAGTAGGTTAATGATTGATATATAGACAAAATACGAGCTTGAAGTGGAGGTGCCTGAAATTGAGTTAGGTACCTTGTGCTAAAAATAAGTAGAGGGTGCCCCGTATACGACGAAACAAGTGCCTGTGGCTTTCAACCTATAGTTTCGCACCATTGAAAAAGATTATCCTTTATCCTGTCTGACGTTTCTGGAGACAGGCAATAAATAACGAGCACATTGTGCGCTAAAACGGGAGTTTTGTCTCAATTAAATATTGTATCATATATTAAAAACAATTATTGCTGTTTTTAAAGGGCTAGGTAAATATTGTACTTTTCGGGTGGCTAAATCATGGTATTGACCTCAAAAAACAGCAACAATGTTCTCGAAGCATGCGTGAGGTGTCCTCTGTATTTTGGTACAAACTAAAATTTTCTCCTCGACGCTTCCTATCAGATTTTGCAGCAACTTTAAAAAGTATCGCACTATTCTTGGGAAGCCTCGTGTGATGTTATTCGAAATTTTCTATGACATGGTTCACTAATCAACAATTAAAAAAAGGAAAGTTTCGAGCAAAGTGAGAGGGTGTCTTTGTAAAGCTTTTCCTCAATTATCTTTGAAACTCAGTGCGATTTATAATGCACAGTATTCGAAGTTGAAAATAAAATTCCTGTAGCTTACTTTGTGCGCATGTGGATCCTGTGTAACCTGGCGAGCACGTGCACGCTCCTGTTATGTGGTGACATGACTTGAACTGCCCCGCTACGCAAGTGCAGCTTGACTTGCACCCTGCTCCAAAGGTCCCTGACGAACACTCTAGATATAATGAAAGAGAGTTTGACTAATGAGGTTTTTTACTATATTTCTTGTCACAGACACTATAGCAGGAGCTTTATTAGACTACCAGATAAAAAAAATGGTTTGGATGTACATGTATTTGCAATATATATCATAATTAAAAAAAGAATCTTAATCGTGCTGCAATAAGAAGTCTTTTTAAGAAACATCCGCCTTAAATGTCATTTGGAGCTTATGAGACAGAAGCCTAAATTCCAAAAAACTTGCTGAACTTCTACATAACATTACACGCAAAGGAGGTCTTTTCCTCAAAGAAGGAGATTTCATGAAAATCCTAAATTAGAAACCACACCCTCTTAGAACAGCATATTGCCCCGAAATTACCAATTGATACTGCATTTCTTCAGTTATTCAAAGCCAGTCATATTCAAAGGGATCATTAAAATGTGCATGTGTAGGAGGATATCTGGGGAGTAGAAAGTGTGACATCCGGGCGGAGGGACGGACAAAGGCAACAACAAGCAAATTCAAAGAATTGTGGTCCCCCGCTTTTGATGTCTTAGTGGTAGGGATGCAATTATTTATGGCATATTGTAACTGTCTTGTTTGTGTGTCCTTCAAACTTCTAGGTTAAGGTAATGAATTCAAAAATGATATAAAGTACCTTTCTGAAAGCTGTTGTCATAGATAATGCACATATAAAAAATATGAAAGCCCTATATATTCTTTCATTCAAAAGTTTTTGCCAATGTAAAAAAGATGAAGACTGTAGGTTAAACTCTAAGGTCAAGGTCACGAGGTCAAAAACCAGAGTACATTAGGATAAAGCACATGTCAAATATAAATACCCTATTTTCTCTCATTCAAAAGTTATCACCAATGTCAATTTTTTCGAAAATTTGGTCAAATTTCAAGGTAAAGGTCATGGGGTTAAAAATCACAGTACATTTGGAAAGTCTTGGCACTGGTAATGCACATGTCAAATATGAATGGCCTCTCTTCTCTCCTTCAAAATCTAGCAGCAATGATAATTTTTTTTAAAAATTAGGTTAAACTTCAAGGTCAGGGTCACATGGTCAAATATCATAGCACATTTCATTTTGAGACTTCTTGTCTCAGGTAATGCACTTGTGAAATATAAACGCCCTATTTTCTCTCATTTAAAAGATATCACCAATGCTACTTTTTTAAATCAGGTCAAACTTCAAGGTCAAGGTTTATAAAATAAAAAAAAAATAAGGCATATTTGCAAAACTCCTGTGAAATGTAATACACATGTGAAATATGAATGCTCTATCCTCTCTCATTCAAACGTTTAAACCAATGTTAAAATTTTGAAAAGGTCAAACTTCAAGGTCAAGGTCACAAAGTCAAAAATCATATAGTACATTTAGAAAGGTCTTGTCACAGAAAATTACATGTGAAATATAGAAGCGGCTTCAAGCCCTATCTCTTCTCATTTAAAAGTTATGACTTAGGTAAAAGTAATGTTATTTTTTTTAAGTAGGTCAAAGTTCTTGGTCCAGGTCACGGGGTCAAAAAACATAAGATATTTGGAAAGGTCTTCTCACAGGTAATGTACATGTGAAATATGAAAATCCTACCTTTTCTCATTCAAAAGTTATGACCAAGGTTAAAGTTTTTGTGAAAGCGGAGGACAATAATATACTGAATATTGTCTGGGTGATCTGACCTTGACTACAGGTGGAACCAGTATACCCGTCCTTACATCGACACGCTCCATTGATATTGTCACAGCTGAGTGATTTACTCTGGTCACATGCGCATTTCAAGGTACAGTTGGCTCCATACTGGAAATTAGTGCAAGCTGAATAAAAAGTATAAAAATAAATAAAATTAATTTAAATATAATGAAATAAAAAGGTCTACATTTTTTTTTACATAATATATCAAATATGTACATGTAATTGTTTTACTAATTTACTGGTCATTTGGCGTATTGTTTACTCGTATTTTCAAGAAACTTGTAGATGGTCGAGTTTGTTTAAATGTTGTCAAGATTCAATAAAAATTTATTTTCAGTAATGATATTCTTAAAAAGTGTCCCCAAATGGTAGTCAAATGGGCTTAAATCCACTTTTTTTTAAACTGTGCATTTGTTATGAAATTTCCTGTTACTGACGTTTGCATGTTAGTCCCTTCGTTGAATTCGATACAAATCCAGTGCAACAAACGGTCACGTTCCTGTAAAAATAAAATAGTGAGCATGTGAAAAGTGTTTCATGAAGATAACAGCCTTATTTTCTTAAACTTTTAATATTACGTTTAGAATGGATAGAACGTGTCGTGCCACCAACCATAGAGTACGTTAAAATTAACTTTTTTTTTTTTTTTTTTTTTTTGTAATTGCAGATATTCCCAATGGGAGATTGATCTAATCGTGAAAACATCTGTGCATTTGGGGGACCTCTTATTTCCTTCCCTTTTTTCCTTAGTGATTTATTTTGATTTTTCGGGTAAGACTAATTTGAGACAGGTTTAACTGTACTAGTTACAAAGATGTAATTACTTTGTAAGTTATTTTTGCTCTATACATGTATTTTAATTTTCACAGACAGAAAAAAAAGGTGGGAGTATTTGGCGTGTAATCTACAGAAATCAAATGATCGAATCATTCAAAGTTTAAATGTCCAAGTCAATGGTCGGCTGACCACAGCTGGGCAGAGTTTACTAAAGCAACGCAGATAAGATTACATTGAATGAATTGTCAAAAAATATGAGATTTAGGTCTGCTTATATTTACATTACGATAATATATGTAACAGCTATCAAATTGAAGGTATAGTAAAATACGAATGTTTTAAAATTCTAGTGGGTAGGATTTACTAGTAATTGCTTTTGATCTCGGTGCAACAGAATCAAATTTTAACTTTAATTTAAAATTCTTTAAAAAATTGAAAATAGAATCAAACTGACAAAAGACTAGACTGTTTGTTTGTTTTGGGTTTTTTCCTTAAATAAACGCACCAAACGAGGATGGAACCTACACATACCGATTCCTCAACGTCAAGGACAAGTAACGTATACCACCGTGCTATCGTCGCTGAACATACAGTAATATGGTTTTAAAACAATAATGAAGCAGAGCATTTCCACAATATTATTTTTTATGGTCTCGGGGTTGTCTCTCCATTATTTCTTTGAGTTAAAATGCACACAAATAATTTTCAAAGTCATGGAGCGACGGCCCAGAGATAGCAAATTTATGAAAAACGTGTGTAAAAATGTAATATTTTGTACCACATAATTCATCTTACCATATTTCAAGGCATATTTGAGAAATTTAAAACACAATAACGGGAAAATATTTCCCCTTCATTTATCACAAGAACCCGAATTTTAAATAGAATGCTAAATTAATCTGAGTCGCATGAATGCTTTTCAAGTGCGCCCAGATTCCTGTCGAATCAATCAAAAGCGCCCTCATTCTTTGGAAAGAAAAGTGCTGCTTTATCTTTTCTGGGAAAAAAGCACCTATTGTTTACTCTGTCAGTTCGTTCAACAATATACCAAATTCAGAAAATATCATACATTGCCTGGCTTTCGGACAAAAATGACGTCATTATCGAAAAAAAAGTGACAATTTTTGTGCAAGACTTTTCTCATGTAAAAGTATTGCAAGTCAAACGTTGCAGTATTCGATCTTTTCCATTTGCATTGTAAAATTTTGCAACGTTTGACATGCTATATGAAAGGTAAAATTAACGAACACTGATTAATCTCAAAAATCCGGTAAACAAAATGAATCGTGAACAGGACAAATAGACGGACCTGGAAACACCATGCAGGGGTGGAATCAGGTGCCTAGGAGGAGTAAGCATCCCCAGTTGACCGGTCACACCCGCCCTGGGCCTTATGTATTGATCAGGTATATCTAATACTCCTTTGTCAATTTTTAAATAACCTGGTAACGTAATAGAAACCATACATTGCAGTTTGTAAATGACTTCCGCCTCTAAAGGTTTTTGCTTTTTTTTCCAGAGCAGAATCATATATATACATGTATATGTAAAACATAAGAGAATAATAACCCCTTCACTCTATCTTTAAACACACACACACACACACACACACAACAGAGGGAAAGCGTATTTCCCTTGGCAGGATTTTGACAAAAGAATATTTTTTTTAAAATTTAGAACAAATTTTGATTTTTGGAATATGTTAAGCTTTTGAAAAATTTCCTTTACTGTTTTTAAGCTATATACACACTGTAACAATAAAATAAAATATCAAAATATTAAGACATCACCTTTATTGAGTTTCTTATATACATGTTGAACTTTGATATCTCGAACACTGATATCTCGAATACCATGGATATGTCGAAGTTGTTTGGAAGTCCCAACCACTTATTCTTTAAGCATTTTACCTATGATATCCAGGGTTGGCCGGGAAATACCAGTAGTGGGAATTACCAGTGGTAAATACCGGTATTTCCCGTCCCGGGAAATACTACAAATTTTCTCTAAACTGGGAAATATTGGGAAATACTGGGAAATACTACATTGTTAAACTTTTTATTTCTTTAATTCATTCAATTTTATACAAAATTCAGAAATAAAATAAATATAAAAATGGATAATGAATAATATTGAATATGTCTCAAACTGCAATTTAACATAATTATTCAGAATCCAGGTCCTCCACCCATAAGGATGCATTCTGAAGCTGTTCACATTTCCTTGGCTGTATATTAAAAAACAAAATAGAAGTTTTCCAATTCAAGTTTCTTTTCAGTTTTGTAAAATTATCAAGTTTATTAATTATAAACCCAAGAACAAAACACACTTGTTTTAATTTTTCTATAAACACTGTAGTTATTATAATCAATGATTATCATGTTGTTTTAACAAATTGCTCTGGACAGTTTTGTGCTCCTGTTTGAGATATAATTACCTTGAGTAGAACTGAAAAGCCTCTTCTTAGGTTTGATATTTACACCACACTCTACATTTAACAATGTTCTTAGAACCTTCTTTGGTTACATAAAAACCCAATAGGGATCTTTGGGTTCATTAAATGGAAGTTTATAGACTGATTATATCTGACTCAAACATGAATCAAATAAAACAAATGACACTTATGACTGGTATATGAATATACTGTGTTATGATTATATTGAAAGAATTACTTGGACACCAGAAATTTTCAAATCAGAGACAGTGATACCAGGTAGATATCTTAGCCAATAAGGTGTTCTACATGTCAATACCCCCCACAAATATAATTAAAATTATGAAATACATAGGTATTTCTTTTTTCCCAGTATTTCCCGGGAAATACCAGTAATTCCCGGTAATTACCAGTATTTCCCACCTTCCTGGGAAATATGAGTATTTCCCGGTTTTTTGCCAACCCTGATGATATCTCGAATCCTCGGATATCTCGAAGTTTTTTCTCGGTCCCATCGAGTTCGAGTTAACGAGGTTTGAATATATATATATATATATATATATATATATATATATATATATATATATATATATATATATATATATATATATATATATATATATATATAATTATACTTGTTAATAATGCTACTATAAACATTTTTAAGCTACATACCCATTCTGACATTCGGATTTCTGTGCCACAGAAAAGTATAAAAGTTCCACAACAATCAGAACACAAGCTTTTATCAACATTTTAATTGTCATTTTACAAGACGGAGGATGGTTTAACTTCCGGGATGAACGACAAATAACTTCTTGGTCATTTGCAAGTTTTAACTTCCTTTAGCACTAGGACATTCCCTCTTGAACCAGATAAGGGTTTGATTTGTTACATGGGTCATGATTTTAATTACTGTACATTACTTTTTATAAATATTCTATTATCACAGTCCTGAGAAAGATTTCCTTGTGTTGTATATGACATGCTTGGCTTGGGGGGCTCTCAGATACCGAATAATGATATCAGGCTTTATCTAACATTTATTTAAATATGCACTGTTATTTTCCTCAACTTAACGCTCAAGGCTAAGTTCTCACTTTAACCCACTTGAATAACTTTCGTGAATCGGGATGGGTACTAAATTTTGATGCACATACTGGTTTGTGAATGATAGATTCTGATTGGATAATAGTCTAGTCACATGATTGACATGACACCGGTGCTCCACATTTTACTTTATAAAGATGAATTTATTTTCAAGTCTTTTTTATAGCCGTCCTTCTTACGGAAAAAGTAGGATTCGGCATCCGAACCCCGATTTTGTATATATCCACACACCAACACCTACGCAGTGACTTATGCGAGTTTAGATCAGGTTCATACGAAAGTTTCACTTTTACGCCAGAAAGGCATTACCTTTGGTAATTTGAGGTCATTGGGTAATAATCTTATCAATACACTGGTGTTTTACATGATTTCCTTGACTAATTTTCACAAGAAACTTATTTAAAACATATACTTCAACCATATGCACGCTGAATTAAGGACTATATTACGCTACCGCAAAATCCGGATTAAGTTCCCATCTTTAGTGCTATTATCAATACATAGTTTGAAATTAAAAGATATACACTCGGAAACCGACCTGCACATGAAGTAACAATTTTGACTTAATTATTCAATATTTCCATTTCTATTTGTTTTCTCTGTGATAACTCTTTGAAAGTTATAGTTGAGTTGATTTCTTGATCATTCTACCGGAATGTAAATTTCGCCAAGCGAAAGGTCAGGAGCTAAGAAGGCCTAATATGCATGCAATTCTCGTGCGGCTGTCTTGGTGTTTGACGTCAGTGGGCGGGGACTACTGAAATTGACATAGATAAGATAAGATAAGATAAGATATGTTTTATTACTAATTCAGTGCCCAAATGAGCATAAAGAGAACAAACTTACAAGAGAAAGGCCTAAAATATAGTTGAAAGAAAAAGAGAGAAAGAAAAAAAAAATCATTTAGACATACATGCACCTATACAAACATATACATAAAATAGACATATGACTCTTCAATATATATATATATATATATATATATATATATATATATATATATATATATATATATATATATATATATATATATATATATATATATATATATATATATATACATGCACACATACATACTGTGGAAGGGGGCATCAACATTAAGATGACAATTAATGCACATGCATTTTCAAACTTAATGTTTATAAGATAGAATATAACAAAAATTTGACATATTGACATATGAGGCCTCGTGTAATTTAAATCGATTAGTCTACATTTTTAAAATATAAATTTACAATTTTATTTCACAATGAAATGGAAATATAATGAATCACTGTCTAGTTAGTAGAGTATGCCAGGGACATCAACGATAGTTGGAAACGTGGGATAATTTATGCATAACGGGCTTCGCCCGTTATGCAAATTATCCCACGTTTCCAACTATCGTTGATGCCCTGGCATACTCTACTAACTAGACAGTGATTCCTTAATTAATTATAAGTGATTAGCAGCAATAGCGCGATTATAGCATCCTTATTGTCATAATCCATGCATTTTTATGGTATCAACTATATGATCTGTATCAGGCCCGTAGCACCGTTTCCAAAATGGAAAGGGGGGGGGGGGGGCAACCAGCATCTAAAGGAAAATTCACTATAGCAAAATACTCAGAAAAAGTTGGGGACGCCCAACTATGCATAATGGGGTATCCCGAAAAAAATTACTTACTATTTCAGAAAATCTGCATAATCTTTAGGTAACAAGCAAATATACATACATGTATTTATCAACAATAGATATATTCAAAGAATAGCGCTCATAAACAATAGTTATTATATTAAATCAGCAAAAATCCTATTTTATTCGTGAAATTTTTTTGGCGAATTAAACTTTGTGGCAAAATAAAGTCATCTTCAATTAAAAAAAAATAAACAATTTTGAGCATATGAAGATTTATTTCCATTCGAAAATAACATTCGATGGGTGTTCCAGAGCTGTCACTACACTGTATCACAAAAATTCCGTATTTGTCCCTGATTTTAATTTCAAAATACAGATTACGAATTATTGGCACTGTTAATCTTAGGAAATGTCATTAATTCTATATCTTATAAAATATTCATATCTTATAAAGTTATTAAAGAAGAAGGGCGTACTTGGCGTGCGATCTGCAGGAATCATGTGTACGAAACATATATGGTTTAAATGTCCACGATTGGTCGGCTGACCAGAAGTGGACAGACTTTACCAAGTTACGCACACAGGAAAATGTTTTGATTTACATTGAAATAGCTTTCAAATTTGAAATATTTTAGTCCACTTATCTTAATAGTTACGATAACACAGTAACACTTCACATAAATAATAAACACCTAACAAGTTAATATGGTATGATATATGAAATGAAGTTTCAGTAGCTTTGAAAAATTGCTTCCGCTCTCCGTGCAACTGAACCAAAGTTTATCTCTTTTAAAACCTAAAGATTCAGTATATAAAATTCCCTTGATTGTTTGTATATATATATAAAAAATAAACATGCTAGAACACATTATTATACCTCTTCTGTTATTACTCTATATAAAATTAATACCATAAAACTGTCTATTTCCCCGAGAAGATACTATTTCCTTCATCGGAGGACTACTCCCTGAAAAATCGGAGCTGCTCCCTGGGACTACTCCCTCATGAATATTTATTAATAATTTTAACCAATTAAAATGAACAGTGGGCGGAGCGTTCAAGTGTGACGCATGAGATGTCAAAATCATACTGGAATTCTAGCAAAATGAAGACAACGATAATCCTTCAAAGTGTCAGTGAAATTATTTTATATTTTTTGATAATTTTATTTTCCTCGGTATCGATGCATTAGTTATCTTACAATATTTTTAATCACATGCATTTGTTATTATTCAAATGCCTCTATATTGTTTTAAAAAATGGCTTCGCCGCCTCGGGAAATAGTTTCCTTCCTCGGGGAACCATAAATTTGCTATTTCCCTCATACCCATTCCATAACTGTATACTATTGGGAAAATGTTTTCCTTTCCTGCTTCATAGGAACATGATACATCAAAAGAATGTTAAAATTTAATTTTACAGTTCAATAAAGTTTTCACTTTTCAAGTGCGCCCCGATTCCTGCCGAATGTCAATCAAAAGCGCCCTCGTTCTAAGCGTTAGAAAATTTAGTAAAGGCATTACAAACTCGAAATTACTGTTGAAAAGCTCAAATTACGAACAAAAACTGAAAAATTGCAGAATGGGATAACCACCTAAACATTTTCGTCCTTCGGAATTGTGATTTTCGTGGGTAATCTGTCTTTATTTCATGTGTTTAGTATATTCTTGAAAATTCTTTGACCTGTTGCGATCAGAAGTCCTGATTTGACATATCCTTGTTTATTCCGGTATCTCTCTAAACCTCTGGACCGCGGTTCCAGGAATCATTGGAATGCATCAGTTACTCACGAAGCGTTGTGAAAGAAGAACTAACTTCTATGATCAAACCTTGACAAATAACAGTCAAAATCATTCATAGAAATGTTTTTCTATATTTTTTAACACATGTATATTGATTCTATACACTTCTGACAATGAGAAATTAAAAGACTGTTCCTTAGAAATAAAATAAGACATAAAAAGGTCTTTTCCCTGATTATCGACTTCCTATTGTGCTCCCATCGGAGATACAAGAAAAACTGAATCTGCAGTCAATAAGTTTTCACATTAGTGGTTTTTTTCGGAGGGGGGGGGGGGGGGCATATCCTTGTTTATTCCGGTGTTCTTGCACAGTAGTTCTTGAGAGGAAGATTTGTAAGACAAGTGCCCTACCCTGCGTGATTTTCTCTAGTAAGTTTGATTAGAGTAGAATATCTCAATTGATCCCTTGGCTGGGTAAGCTAATAATTTTACATATGTAAATCTAATATTCTCTTTTCCCTTAACATTAACCTTAACATTTCGTCCCATCGACAATGTTTTCTTTTCGGCATTAGTATCAAAGAAAAGATAAACAGTTTCCTTTTGATTGTACCAATATTGTTATTTTAGAACTGTCGCTATTGCTGTATTAAAACTTAAATAAAGATACGGTTATAATTTACTTATGTACCGTGGACGTCTTGTAGCAGAAGGGGAGATAAATGTTAGACCATGAAACCTCAACGCACTGTGACGAAAATCCTTTAGCGATCATAAGCGAACAAAGAGGGTAAGATTTTCAATGACGTTTACTTGTACAGCCGTGATGTCAATATGAAGCACTTGAAGTGGTTTGACCCGACCAAAGCCCCAGTCACTCTGATGATTAATTACCGAAAATTCACTGTATCTGGGTAAGATTGCAATCAGTGTGGTCATTTTGAATATATTTACAAACATATTGTTCTCAGTTCATCTGAGCTACAAGCTTAATTATAACTTTTCTGTTCAACCGTTGTCCAGTGTCGACGTCTCTATCCATATTCTCTTCTTCTCTAGAATCACTGGGGAAATTGAAATTAACTTTCTACAGAGTCTCCTTCTAGAAGGGAGATTTTAAAATTATTAATTAACAGATCACGTCTACTTGCAAGGGAAGATAATCAAGAAAAAGGCAAAAATAGGGTGGATCATTCAATATTTTCTTCGGAAGAATCACGGGGCCAAAATAGAACGATGAACGTGTGATGAATCACTGGGCCATGATCAGTCATATTCAAAATTAATCACCCAATGCATTCAAATGTAGTGCAGATTCATATTTCAAATTTTGGCCTCTGGGGCTAAAATGGAACTGTAAAAGGGGATTAAGTTTTACTTTGGAATATATAGAGTAGCAGGGCCACAACAAATCATGATATTTAAACATTCCAAAATTGTGTGGCTTTATTTCCCTCAAATTATGGACTCAAGGAGAAGAGTGGGGCTAAAATTGGGGCTAAAATACATGATGGATAAATAAAGGGTGGAAATCTGTTAAGAAATCTTCTCTAGATCAGCCAGACAATGCTCGTCGTATTAATATTGAGGAAGCCCTTTGTTGTGTTGTTTCTATTATGTCATTACCCCTTATAGGAATTGGGTGGTGCCAAAACATGGGGTCAACATTTTTCATGGCAATATGGATAAACAAAAATAAGAAGAAGGGGACCAAGGAAATTCAGGTGTGCGTTGTGGATAATGGACCTCTGGTATTTTTGCATTATGTTGATATTGTGCAATCTTAGACCATTGATTGAGTCAACAGCGTCATATCTTTAGCATCAACCAATAAGATTCAAGGGTTGGAAAAGTTTTTTTTTAGATTGTGCAAAAAGGGGTTAATGACCTCAGAGTTGCCAAAAGGATCAGAATTGAAATAAATACTATCATTTCCCCTTTAGACATGCGACTTGCCACTCTTGCACAAGTTTCTTATCACTTATCAATATAAATTTGGTGATTTTATGCTAGCGGTGATAATATCGTATAAGTATTTGTTAAAAGCAAAAATCATACCCTGTCCTTAAATGGAAACCATGAACCTCAGGAAGTGGTTGACTAGACTCGCTTAAGAAATTAAAAATATCTTCTTTACCCTGCATCTGAGTGACAGTGCACAATAAATTATAGTCAAATCATCGTGTTAGTTATATCATTACTTACAAAACACCGCGTCGTTTTTTTTTTTTATAGATACATGTACTTCAGTTTTTGAGGGCAGTCGTCTTGATTCGCAAAATTTGATGACAAACCCACCGTCCTTAATAGTAATAACTAAAAAAAAATGATGAATTTACAAATTCATTGACGTTTAATTAATCGTTCGCCGATCAGGAGAAAAGTGCTAAACTTCTTTTTGAAGAAATGTCACTGTTTAGTAAACCTTTAAACTGAATGAGGAATAGCTGTCTGCATGTCTGTCTGTCTGTCTGTCAGTCTTTTCACGAAATACCTTAGAAAGGCTTTTATTGAAATTCTTTTGATGTTAGCGCAAGTGTTAGAGGATCTAAAGTGAATCTAGTAAATGATGTGAATGTTTTTATCTTTTTCTTTCTTTTTCCATCAGCAAGTCACACTGAAATCAGAATTTAAATACATTGTTTCAGTGACCCGAGTTTTTAAAAAATGTCAATTTAACTGTTTGATGATGAAAATAGCCATTTTAACAAAATTACATGAAATCACTCGAAAAGACTGACGCTAAGCCGGTAGTTAAATCCTGTCACTTAATAGTTTGACGTAGAGAACATCACTTTTAAGTTTCTAAAAAGAGCAATAATAACGTTCGGGTATTAATTGTCATACCTTAAAATAAAAGTGTATTATGGTGTATGGTTGCAGTGATATTTACTTTATGTTTTTTCAAATGCACGTATATTTATAACTGTCTATGAATATTCAAAAGTATATATCCACTAGAAAGTAGATGCGGAAATATTAATAGAACCCTGTAGATTTGTATAAAGACAAGGGAAATGATTAAGTTAAAAACTCCTTCCGGTGTTGGCAACAGGGCCAGGTGCTTGTTTTCTTCTCCGGAAAACACTCCGTCATTGTCTCCAGCACGATCCTAACAAACATGACAGAGTTGTATGTCCATGACTTAATGAACGGGCTTTACGATGATAATGAAACTTCAGGTGAGCTTCATACACTTTTACAGGTGTAATTGTAGATAATTATAGCACTAATCATCATTTATAAATTCATCTTAAGTCTGACATCTTAAAGGTTCCATCATCTCTCTAATTTCCATCTTTCAGATTGAGAGTGAAAAAGAGAAAATGATATAGAATATTTAATGTTCATAAAAAGTATTACATGTTTTAATTTTTGGCCGAGGCAAATTTTTAGATTCTATTTTTTGTTAAGGATTGATATTGAATCAATGTAATTTCCACCAAGTTTTCAGCAAAACAAAGATGTCGATTACCGTTTGAAGGTTTTCTTTCAAGTTCTGTTATGTGTCAATGAAATCTTTACCAAGCTTGCAGCCAATATTGAAAAACGTAAAATCAGTTTATGTTCTTTCGGTTTCTGAATATGTAATCTACACCGATTAAGAAGTTAGTATATAAAGTTCTATAGTATATACAGTATATATAGTATCATTGTAATGATATGGACACGTGACTGTACGATACAATAAAGAAAATGATATAATATTCAGGAGAACTAAAAGTCGAAATAATCAGTAAACTAAAAAGAGTTTACGATTTTATAAAATTGTAGTCATTTGAAGCATTTTATTTGATTTTAACTACTCCATACATTTACACATGAAATGTATATAATATTTCTCGACTGAAGTTTTTCGTTTATTAAAGAGGACATAAAATCAATGCTTATGCATACATGTAGTCTTTTTAATTTATTTATTTATTTATTCTATTGTAGAGGCAAGGAGTTTAAATAAGAGAAAGCAGCCAATTCAGGATTATTTCTTTACATCTGTTTTGGTAGCATGTCTGTGTTTCTATATGCCGACAGGGCTGTTAGCGGTCAACTATGCTAAAAAGGTAACTTACGTCCGTGTTTCTACATGTCGACAGGGCTTTTAGCGGTCAACTATGCTAAAAAGGTACATGAATCTCACTTATGATTGTATTTTACATACCGACAGGGCTGTACGTAATAACGGTAAATTATGCTAAAAAGGTAACATGTCGTGTGTTTCCACATGCTGACAGGGCTGTTAGCGGTTAAATACGCTACAGAGGTAACTCATGTCTGTGTTTCTACATACCGACTGGGCTGTTAGCGGTTAAATACGCTACAGAGGTAACTCGTGTCTGTTTCTATACATACCGACTGGGCTGTTAGCGGTTAAATACGCTACAGAGGTAACTCATGTCTGTGTTTCTATTTGCAGACAGGGCTGTTAGCGGTTAAATACGCTACAGAGGTAACTCATGTCTGTGTTTCTATACATACCGACTGGGCTATTATAGCGGTCAATGTATCTATACATACCGACTGGGCTATTATAGCGGTCAATGTATCTATACATACCGACTGGGCTATTATAGCGGTCAGGTAACTACTAGTACGGGATGGTCAGGACCTCGTTTTACGAAAAGAACTAATGATTTAGACCAAACGTCTATGTCGTTTTCCGTGATGGGAAGGCCCCGAGTTCGAATCTCGGCCGCGACTGACCTAAGTCGATAAAAAATAGGTAGCAACTGTTTCTTCGCCAGACGCTCGGCACTTTGAAGTGAAAGTTGCGGGTCCTTCGGATGAGACCTTAAAAACCAAGGCCCCTTGTCACGGCAGGAGATGGCACGATAAAGATCCCTCACTGCTCAATGGTTGTGAGTGCCGAGTAAAGGTCTAAATTTGAAGCCCTTCACCGGTATATGGTGACGTAAATATATGAGTGAAAAATTCTCGAATGGGACGTAAAACAACATACAATCAATTAATCAATCTATCTATGCCGTTTTCTATCTTTTTACCTACCTACAAGTTCAAGTTCAAGTTCAATTTATTCACTCAAACCAATTAATGGTACATGAGGTTCTATGTACAATATATACAAAAACAATATACAAGATACACGTGAAATGGCGGAAATACATTCAAATTATAAAGTAACCAAAAAAAAAAAAAAAATAATAATAATAATAATAATAATTATGGAGGACAGACTTGTGCATATACCCTATCTATGTAGCTGCATAGTTTGATTAATACCTTGGAGTCAGCAGTTGACAACAATTCTGAGAATTTGTAGAAATTTGGTCTATTACAATATTTACCAGGTAGATACTTTTTTCTGCATTCTGAGAAAAATTGACATTCTAAAATATAGTGATACTCATCAGCTATTTGTCCATTATTACAGATATTACAGAGTCTATCATTTTTGGGAATTCCAAACCATCTCCCAGTCTCAACTGGGAGATGATGATTTGCTGTTCTTAATTTAATTAAAATTGTTCTAAATTTTTTAGGTAGAAAGTCTAAATATTTTTCAAATCCAAATTCTGTTTTGAAGATACTATACATATGACCTTTAGACGAATCGCGCATATCACTTTGCCATTTCTGTATGTACTGATCTTTAAGACGTTGTTCAACTATAATTTTTAGCCATTTTATATTTAAAAAGGCCTGTTCATTCCATATATTTGAGAAGCCACAAGTATCAAGTATATTCTTAATACATAAAATCCAAGGGTTCTTATGACTTCCTGAACAAAACTGTTCAAATAAATTCTTATATGTAACATAAACAATCTTATTTTCAGGGCTTACCAGTAATTTTGCCCAATGTGATATCATTCTTATATACACCGTTATATACAAAGGGAATCGACCCGTTTCGCCATAAACCATATAACTAGGAGTACTACTTTTCAGATTAAAAATATATTTCAAAAACTTGAGATGGACGCGTTCAATTATTTCAATGTTCTCAAAACCCCATATCTCGCATCCATACAAAAGTACTGGTGTGACAACTTTATCGAACAAATCAAGCTGGCAATCTACTGGTAAATTAAATTGTCTAATTTTTCGTATAACACCATACATGGCTTTTTGAGCTTGCTCACATAAATGTTTTTTAGCCTTACAAAATGAACCGGATCGGGAAAATAGTATACCTGGGTATTTAAATTCATTCACAATTTCAATAACAGAATTATTGTAGTAGAATACATTTTTTACAGATGGACCTTTCGAAAAAATCATAATTTTTGTTTTATCTACATTGACATTCAGTTTCCATTGTAAACAATACGAATGAAACTCATTAAGAGCGTGTTGCAAACCCTCAGCAGACTCAGACATCATAACTGTATCGTCAGCATAGAACAAAATAAATAATTTAAAATACAGCCAAAATTGGTTTTCTACAGTATTTGAACTGCTTGCATTAAAGGATAGCCCATGCACATTTTTACTAATGAGAAATTCTTCTAAATCATTAATATACATAGAAAACAAGAGAGGCGATAAATTTTCTCCTTGGCGTACACCAATGTTACAGTTGTAAAACTCAGATGAAAAACCATTCATAGTCACAAGGGACTTAACTCCATTATACATATTTTTTATAAATGTAAAACATTTACCACTAATGCCATTATTTAACAATTTGTACCAAAGCCCATTTCTCCACACCGTGTCGAATGCCTGTTTAAAGTCAACAAAAGCACAGAAAAGTTTCTTTTTGAAAGACATAACCATATTTGTAAGAAAATGTAAAGTCAGTATATTATCTAAGGTCGAATATCCTTTCCTGAAGCCAGTTTGACTTTCACTTATAAGGTTTAAATTCTCTACATAGCATTCCAAACGTTTACATAAAATGGAGGTAAAAAGCTTACCAAGACAACTTAAAAGTGTTATTGGACGATAATTTTCTGGATTTGTTGGGTCGCCTTTATTTTTGAAAATCGGTTTGACAATACCTGTGAGCCATTCGTCTGGAATGACTCCACTATCAATGACTATACTAACTTTGTTGAAAATTGTGTAATTATGTAATTACATGTAATTAAGCCCCGTTCACATTCGCCCATTTACAAACAGTGTGCAAAGAGTCATAGCTGTCTTGCCTCGAGAATTTAAAAAGAAATCACCCTTTTCTATTTATAGATATATACCTTTCCAATATGTAACATCATTCGTGGATAAGTGTTATATTTTCATAGTTGCAAGTATGTCCTATACCAATCATTTTACATTATTCTAATTTGGAGACAAAAAAGGTTATAGAAAATCTGTAAAAATAGAAGAAGTACAATGAATTTGCAAATTCCAATGAAATAGTTTAGAACATTTTTTTCTTGAGATACTTTCGAAGTGTAACGTGTATAGTATCATTTTTTTTAAATTATGTTTACCATAAAACATAATTAAGAAAACGTAGAAAAGATACAAAAAGAAAAAAATTAAAAAGCATACATGTATACGGGGAATGTTGCGTTCGAACTCGGGATCACCACTTTATATTCCAGCGATCATACTCCAGACTTCCAGGAAGTCATTGAAATCGTTTATAGAAATTTAAGACAGATTGTTTAATCTTAACGTAATATGAGAAGAAAATTTAAATATACGTACATATATATTCATCATTTTGAACGCATTTTTTAACAAAATTACATTTACACTGAGTACAGCTTGCATGTGTGTATTAATTAAATTGTGTAATTACATATCTTAAATATATGAAAAGTCTGTCCCCTATAATTATTTTTGTTTACCTAACTTGAATGTATTCCTGGTATTTCACGTATATCTTCTCTATTGTCTCTGTATATATTGTACATAGAACCTCATATACCACGAAGTGGTGTGAGAGAAATAAATTGAACTTGGAACTTGTAAAATTTACACCTCTGAGTAAAAGGGCGCATGCATGTCAACAGGGCTCTTAAAATTATCTTAATTTTCAAATTCTTAAAAATAGAATTATACAATAACTTTTTTCGATTAATGTAAAAATAAAATTTTGGCTCAAAAATACGTATTGGTCTTGGTTGTTTACAAGTCTTTTCGTAAAAGAAACCTCTGAAGTGTGGAAGTAGATCTAAGATTCCATATACCGAGAGTCCATCATCAACATTAGTTCTGAATGTTTTTATTGGGGGGGGGGGAGCTTTTGTTTATGGTCCTTTTTGCTCTTTCCTGACAAAAAACATCTAATGCACTTAGACGTACCATAAAGGGGCGAATCTATATCACTTCCCCGTACAATAATCACTTAAAGTTAGGTAAAGATGAAGGATATGATAAATACATCAGTCAGTGTACACTTAAGGTGATTTCTGTGGGACTAAAAGGGTGTTCTAAATACTTCTGTATAATGAATATCAATTAAATACAGAAAATTGTTTTGTTTATTTGTTTTTGTTTGTTTGATTTTTTTTATCTCTGAAAATGATGAATAATGTGGGGTAACTTCTTTCATTTGTGAAGAGTATGCATACATTAGTGCATTTACGTAACTTCTCCTAAGTAATGTTTTCCTGTAAAAATTTCCTCTTTCGAAATACAGTGAGGTGAAATTTTTTAAGCTTCTCAGCGATTGTCAAATCAAATTGATTTGGCGCACAGGAAATGATATCCTATGAACTTAATGTATTACAGGCCAGGAGTTCTCTACGGGAGGGACACGAAGAGGAGGCGGAGAGATTCTCTCGGAAGTCCTTAGTACTGATCCTAACTACAATACTCACGTTACCAGTCTTGCTTATTACGGCGATGGTTACATGACTTTAGGATCCGCCATTACTTGACAATTTTATTGAATGACAATTAAATCATACTTTAATTGCCACTGAACATTTTCCGAAACCCACGGTAAAGAGGAAGGAATACAGTCTTTCATGTATGAATGATGAGTTTCCGACGATGATGTGACGAAGTTTGAATTATTTTAATCAGAAGAGCTGGTTTTATGTGTCAAAAATATTATCTCAATTCTAATAAAATATATTTTGTTTTACACAGAAGTTGCCAACTTTTTTCAAGCATATTTCATCTTAGAATAATGTGTATAAAATCATGTACTTATGAATATATACAGTACTAAATTTTGTTCCATCAGAATTGTGATGAATTTGAATTTTAAACAGATATATATGGTTTTATTATGGGGGGTTCTTTCTTTCTCTCTCCCCCTTTTGTTTGTTTTTTTAAGGGGGATTACTGATTTGGCATATGTCCTTCATATTCTTAAAGCAGTTCTGTTATGTTTAAGGATTCATTATTCTGTTCGTAATAGGAATTTTTAGGCACAAATTAAAAAATGTCAAACTTTCACATTTACAAAATTTATGTCCCTTTGCGGGATCAATAGGCGTTACCCACCGTTATTACAAACTTTAGGGGGTAGCATCTTACAATTTAAATCTGTATGTATATGTTCATTATGTTTTCTTTGATGCCCTTTACCATGGCAATTCAGGAACGGTAAAAAATTGGAGCGAGAAAAATGATCGTTAGCCGACAAAGAGAGATAACTCTTAGGAATGTGAAAGTCGTTTCCGAATAAAAATTAGTAATTTGTTAAAAGAGACACATTTTAATCCTTCAAATTTCAAAAAAAAAAAAAAAAAAATGATATGAAGATTTTATTAATATTTCAAATTATTTATACCATTTGTAAACATGTATACATATAATTATTATAAATTAACTGAACAATATATAATTAACATTAGGAGAGGAACTTGCAAATTGCAAGAACTTGTTTCTGATAATCTGTGTATCACAATGAAATATGTTCAAATAAAATTATTTACATTTGCAAATATTTTTCTTAGATGAACCTATTGAAAAGAAAATATGTTCAATTCTGTATGAACTTATTAGGGGGTCAGAGGTCATGGCGTGACCGAATCACACAGCGAGATGATATCTTGTCTACACATTTCTGTCACGGTGACACTGGTTTCGGAACTTCTAAGCCGTTCAAGCGATGAAAAAGATAAAATTATTGAAACATATATGTTTTTTCGTTCAACAAATGATCATTAGTTCTTTCTTCGGTATGAAGAATGTGTTTAATTAGCCTAAAATCACACTTACCTTTTCAACCCGAAATTCCTTTGAAGGTATGTAAACTGAAGACGATACCACCGCGCTTTTGACTTCATATATTTAGAACTCATACAGTAAAAGTAAGATTACTCTCAGTAGCGATCATGGTTTTTTTCATTATGAACAGATATTTCCTGAACTGGACTGCTGAAAATCAATGTAAGTATTCAAATCTTGGAGCGAGGCGAACTCTCACGACCAAACAGCTTCTAGGTCATTGCGCGTCACAACATAGCAATACGGCGGGCCGTTCGTGTAATAAATGCAGTTCTTTTCAGAATTTTCGTCTCAAATGTAAATAAAAGTAATAAACAACAATGTTAAAAAGTTCACTGGGAAATGAACTTGGTTGGTACGTGATCAAATCTTCTGAGAAGCCCTTCGGGCTTCACAGGATTTGATCACGTGACCAACCAAGTTCATTTCCCAAAGAACTTTTTAACATTGTTGTTTATTTCTTAAAAAAAATAATAATTACGTAGTTGATCATGTTTTCCTATTTCTCCTTATTACATTATTTTTACATGTGTGGCGGTCAAAAGGGTTTCGATTGCCGGTGGCCAGATAGCTCAGTTGATAGAGCACATAACAGAAGATTTAGGGTGACCCGGGTTCGAATCGCATTTTTCTCCTTTCCTGTTACACATGTACAATGCTACAAATGATATATCGACATACCCTACCCTAATTCGGTCGCTTTCGGGAAACTCCGCGCTGTTTGTAAACGAATGCGATTGTGATGTCATTTTTTACATGCTGAAAATCTACAATCAAATGCCGAGAAATTATTACATAAGAAATGAAAATCAAGTCCAAGAAAATAAATGACAAATGCACGTGATCTATTGTATCTATCATATTTTATGTGAAATCAGTAAGCACTTTTTTGCTTTATGCGCCTCGGTCAATATTGATATTTTTCTGGTGAATAATAAACCATATTCACCATCAAAAGAGTCCATAATTGTATAATATTAACATAATTTTTTCTGTTGTTGATACTTTTCCTAAAATACAATTTAATACTATTTTAAATCTTCAAAACTAATAATCTATGTTTACAAGTTTATGATGAAGGGAGAAAAAACTAAACTGTACAATAAATTCTAATAAATACGTTAACATACTGTAGAGAGCCCTGGAGACGGAGTTAGGGTTCATTGAACGTAATGTACACGGATGTGATACGCGTTTTATTTATAGTAGTTTTGTATAAGCCCAATGACTGATTTTTTTCAAAAAATGTTTTAAAAACTGTTTAACTTCATTACGTACTGTAGCAAACAAGAAACAAACCAAAAAATAATTCAGAGAGTAACCTGGCGTGTTTTCCGCTTATGGTGGCGGAGTTTGGGTAGTAGGGGATAGCTGAAACAGCTCTACACATAATTATTAGGCGAATCTTTATATGACGTCACAATAAAGTTACGTCATAGTAAAATGTAGACGAAGGGAAAAACTTACGCTGTGTATAAAGATTGTTTACTCGTTGCTATGCTCGCTACCACGTTCATCAAAAACAAAATTTCATCCAAAAGCACTGATTGCTCCGGCAGAGCTATGGCTTACGGATTCCAAATGGACGGCATAACTCCTTATATGGGCAGCGATTTTGAGGTGAATCCAACCCTCTATGAACCTTGGGCAGATAGCGAGCAAATGGAGGATTTTCTGATCGAGAAGCTTGTAGGCCGAGTAATATTAGCAAGTATTCAGGACAAAGGTTATGGAATCAGTATGTGTTTATAAAATGTATTGATTTTATATCATTTTTACATATACGTGTAATTCTGTTACGAATTAATAGATTTTATTCATTAGAATATTTGTATTTTTTAAACTTGCTCTATTTTTGATTTTGTTTAGCCCAGGCTCCCCTTTATTATATTATACCATATTATAATTTTGAAGCTAAAAATTTTGTAAAAAAGTTAAAAATAAATGAATCATCATTCTCTGATAATCAACAATTTGGTCATATTTTAATGTCGTACAAGTGTTTTCAATGATATATAACAACGCAAGTATTATTCTTACAATAATTTTTTTATAGTTATAGAAATATTTTCTTTAAAATCTGCCTTTATAAGCTATCCACAGTTGGACACAAAAAGAAGACCACAACGTCGCAACGCTAACCCAAATAAATATGTTACTAAAAACTAAAATAAATTATTCCGGGACGGGGGTGCTTTGAACAAATGAAACCACTGCTAGGTACTTGAATTTTTATGAACAAATTGCAAGTTAAGCCCGAGAGTGAAAAATCCCCTTCTATACGTGTATATAAACTAACACCTGGCATATATATATATATATATAGAGAGAGAGAGAGAGAGAGATTTTAGGGACTTTACAGGCCCTCAGATCCGCAAGATCCGCGCGCTCTAGCGCTTTAATTATTATCTACTTAGTAATTAAATTTTAGGTGCCTGTGATGCAACAACTTTACAAGCATTTTATGATGAATGTAGTAAATCTCTGGTGTTCTTTACTGAGATCTACTTAAAGAGTCCCTTTATTTATATGCAAAATATAAAGTGAGGGAGGTAAGCCGGTAGAATGACCACACTACTTTGGAGTTGCTAGCATATAAAATTACTTATCGTGGTTTTCTGCATGTGTAAAATTTTGTACCCTATAGCCATAGTCCTCAGGACCATGCTCTGTACGCTACATAGGAATGACTACCTCAAATGATTTGATTTATCATGGCCTTGGTAGTGTCCTTGCCATTATCCGAAAGAATTCTTTTATTAAGATTTTTTCAATATACTGCTATATCCATGAAAACTGTGATCCCTTACTGGGGCCCCGCCCTATTTCTATTGTCAAAGAGTTTAGCAATTTGTAAAAATATACTTGTGAATGCTTGCACATTTTTAAATAATTAAATATGGCCCTTCGAATTCATATATACATGTATGTAAAAACTTATTGTGACCCCAGCTTAGCCATAAGATATGTTTTATGGTTGTTTTAAAGATTTTGAATCTACACGCAATAAGGCTCTTTTTTTAAGTTTTATCTTCTCTATTAACTAGGTGAATATTGATAAGAATACTTAAAAATAAGGTATCATTTTTAAACTTTAACGCAAGAAAGGAGCTTTGACATGCTCGGGGTGAAGTCACTAGTGGAAGCTTAGGCGATGTAGGTTTTTATACTTTTTATGTTACCAAGAAAAAACGTCACATAAAATTAACATATAGTTCGTCTCTCTAACAGCTAGTGAAGAAGACGGCCGACTGATGACACATGAGGAGGCCTCTAACGATCTCAAAAGAATCCAGTCTCCTAGCAACAATAAACAACGGAACGCGCACAATCAAAAACAGGAAAAAAGATCAAAGAAAGGAAGAAAAGAAGAAAAGGAATGCGGCGTCACCATAAAAACTCCCCATCCAATTTATCCACGTCTAAATTTATCACTACCCAATTTCAGGTACATGCATGATGTGTAAACCATCCACAGTGAATCCATAGTTAAAATACTATCTCGTCCTAGCGGAGATTCAATTTATATATATCTTTGACCGATGTCAGATTATTTTGTAGCTATTTCAAAGTTAGATGATAATAAGACATATAATGAAATATTTTCTCTAGACGTCGATCTGAGACAAGTTTTACCCCTCCCCCCCCCCAAAAAAAAACTCGGAAGAATAAGGTGTAGAAAATGAAAATTTAAATTAGTTCCAAAATGTCGCAGATGTTTGAGTATTCTTAGGTTAAAAAAAAAGAAATGAGGGGTTAATCAACATCTGAAATTTAAATCCTTTGAAAGGAAAACTTGTTCGCTTTCTTAATTGTACAACGATGTACTGTTTCACGGCCTATTCGCCCAGGTTCTTGAACTTAATATCAGGGGTAATCTCGTGTTTAACTCAGCATCCGTGGGCGAACTTGCTGAAACATCGTCGTTAAATATGCAAATTCGTCGATTATAGACAACCAGTCAGAAAGTTGGAACTCCTCAAATTTGAAAATAAGTTCCTTAGTTTGCTATATTTATACTAATATCGCGACTCCCATTAAAACGTGCGGATTTTGTTTTAAAACAAACAAGATGTGTTTGTGAAACACTGATGCCCCCATATGGCAGCTTATGGCGAAGGTTAAAGTTTGTCAAATGCAAGTCAAACTCCAGGTCAAGAGATCAAAAATGTTGGTACCCAAAAAGGGACTTGTCTCGAGGATTATACCTTTGAAATACGAAAGCCCTAGTATCAACCGTTGAAAAGTTATGGCGAAGGTTTAAGTTTTTTAAAAGTAAGTAAAATGGTAAGGTCAAGGTCAAATGGTGCCCAAGGGAAGGTCTTGTCACAAGTCAAATGTTATGGCCAAGGTTAAATTTTTTATAAGAAGGTCAGACTCCAAGGTCAATGTCAATGTCAAAATAGTTGGTATCCAAAGGAAGGCCTTGTCACAAGGAATACACATGTGAAGATGAAAGCCCTAACACAAACTGTTCAAAAGTTATGGCCAAGGTTAAAGTTTTTCAAAAGGAAATCAAACTCCAAAGTCAAAGGGTCAAATTTGTTGGTATCTAAAGAAAGGTCTTGTCACAAGGAATACACATGTGAAGTAAGAAAACCCTAGCAGTAATTGTTCAAAAGCTATGGCCAAGGTTAAAGGTTTTTTTTCAAAATTAAAGTAGGTTAAACCCTTCAAAAGTTATGGACAAGGTTAAAGTTTTTTCAACAGTGGGTCAAACCCCAAGGTCAAGGTCAAAGGGTCAAAGTTTTTGGTATCCAAAGAAAGGTCTTGGTACAAGAAATACATATATGAAGTTTGAAAAACCAAGCAGCAACTGTTTAAAAGTTATAACCAAGGTTAAAGTCTCATAAAATTTTGCAAAAGTGAGTCAAACTCAAAGGTCAAGGTCAAAAGGTCAAGTATTATGGTACCCAAGGAAAGGTCTTGTCACAAGAAATACAATTGTGAAGTATGAAAGCCATAGCTCCAACCAATCAAAAGTTACGGGCAAGGTTAAAGTTTTTGCCGACAAACAGACAGACAGCTAGACAGACAGACGGACGGACAGGGCAACAACTATATGCCCCCGAATCTTCGATTACGGGGGCATAAAAAAGACAAGCCGTACAAGTAACTGGCATCAAATACCAGTCAGGAATAATATAGTAGTACCTCTCTCAAACTGCTTACTGCACCGGTGAGTGGCAATCGGTGTATTAACTACGGAAAAGCGTTCGTCATTTGCCGAACATACATACGTAATGTAAACTGTAATTCGTTGATTTGCCATCGCGACTCTGTTCAGCAGCCAATCAAATGACTAGCGCATATTAATTTCATACGACGATATTTCAGCAAATTTTCCCACGGATGATGAGTAAATATAGGATCTTCCATGGTTTGTGTGGTTGGATAAATTATTTTCTATCCAACAAGTTTTGTGTCATTATCCCCGAGCCTTGGCGAGGAGAAAAAAACACACAACGAGTTGGATAAAAAAATCCTATTCAACCAAAAACCATGGGAGATTCTTTTCATCACATGTTTTACACATAGCTAATATATTGTAACAGGAAAGGAGAAAATGTATGGCTGGACCGGGAATCGAACCCAAACCATTACAATATGTTTTACACTGTTTATATATGAAAATCCACAATCTTTGACTCGATCGACACAAAGCCATTGTGACGTCAGAACCGGCGTGGATCCAAACGAGCTATATATCCAATGTATAAAGGAGTAAACATATGATAAAAGACGTGGGTATCCGACGATGCTTGTTCTCTGGCTCAAATAGTCCTTTTAATAAGTCTGATACAAATGAAGCTAAGAGCCACAACAATTTTGAATCTATATAACACATGTAAGGGCCTGCAATTTCGACTTCGTAGTAGACATATTATTCCTGCATTGGTAGCACAGACTTATCGACAGTTTGGATTTTCGGCGGACGGCTTTTCCTGCGTCACATCAAAGTCAAACATAATGTGTATTTTGCATCAAAGAATGTGTATGTTTTTAAAAAAAATGACTTGCTCTATATAAGGGCAAATTTCTAACAAATTTTCTGAAGGTATTTTTCCCCTTTAATTTCTGCATTAGGTATATGGTGATTAGTGAGGTGGAGTCCCGTGCGCGCGCAGTTCACGATTACTACGCCCATCAGTGGTATGGAGTAATGGAGGACAGGGTCCGTAGGTACGCAGACCTCATCAGAAGTTTAGGTAAACCTTTTTTTACAGTGTAATATTTCATCTGAAATTTCCTTGGAACTGAAAATTGTTATCATTTTTTTTTTGACAAATTTTATCTGAAACTCACACTTGATAAGGATAAGATCGTTTGATTCTGAAGGGGGGAGGCTAACAAATAAATGCATGTTTACCTTAATGCCCTCAAAGGACAGCATATTTATTTCCAAGATGACGAGATTAGAAATAAAAGAAGTAACTGTCAAACTTGAAAACACAATTTTGTGGGGTGATAAAGATCACCAGTCTTGGTTAGAACTCTTTCTTCTTTCTTTCTTTCTTTATTTATTTCTTTATGTATTTATTTATTTACTAGTATTTTGTTTATTTATTTATTTTTTGCTGGTGGAGAACATATTAATTATTTTCAAAGAAACAGATTTAATTATTTATTTCCGAAATTACTCTCTCCCCCACTTCAAAATCAAACCACTCTGAATATGACTATGCATTAAATCCTATAATATATAATTGATTTAGATAAATGCTCCCTCTAGAGGATTGAAGCTGGAAATACATGGCGTCTTTTTTTCCTTTGCTTTATATATTTTATATTCATATATACAGTTGGAATTCCTCCTTAATATGTACATGATGCATAAAAATATTTCAGAGAGAGAAAAAAGACTGGAGGAAAAATTACAACAAGCCTTAGACGAAATTCATCAACAGCAGAAGGAAAACGAGATCCTCAAGACTGAGGTATGAAATCTCTCTCGCTCTTTCTCACACCCACCCTTCCACCCACCCACATACACAAGACATTCACTGGATCAGTCTCTAGCATAATATTCATCTCTTACTTTCCAGATTGAAAATATAAAGAAGTCAAGGAAACAGAGAAGAAAGGACGCGAAATTGCGAAGAATAAGAGATTTACACGGGGAAGGTGAACTAACCGATCTAATGATGGATGATCAGAAAGAAGAGAAACATCACGAAGGAGAAGTAACGTGTAAAGATAGAAATAAAGATAAAGCATACAATCAGCAAAAGGGGGTCGGGAATGAAAATGGGGGAGTGGGGGAGGGCTCAAAGAAGAAGAAGAAAAATCGTAAACGAAGAAAGAGTAGAGCGGAAACAAATGGTGGATCAGGGTCAGATTTATTAGACCCCCGTGTAGAAAGTACAGAAAAGGCTAACATATGTAATAAGAACCAGCAATATGATGTCAGGAAACCGGAAATCGATTCGTTGATGGAGACTGTCATCAAAAATAATAATAAAGAAAACAGAGGATTAGAAAGTGAAAAATCACGGTCCGTTGGACCTGAGAAAGAGTTGGCCACCAGAGACCAAAAATGCAGTTCAGAGCAACTAAAGACAATGGAGGCTGTTATTAGTAAGATGATAGAAAAACTGTCTAAAACGACAGTGACAGGAAGAGTGAACGACGAGGAGAAAGAGGGAACATTTTACTCAGGGGAACCTGTTCAAGCCACTTTTGAGAAGTCAGAAAGTAAACCGAAAGGTCTATGTACTTCAAAGAAATTGCAAACCGGAAATGGAGATGAAAATGCCACAGAGGCAGGAAATGTGGATGAAAATATGGCGACTGCGTTGTATGAGTGATAATGAATTTAACGGATTTTTTTCTATAGTGTATTGCTGCTGCTTTATAGAACAAAAGATTTTTTTAAATCAAGTAATATATTTCTCTAAGTGTATAATTTAATTAATTCATTTGATCATCCTTTTAATCACTTTTTTCATTCCTTGCTTAATTTCAACTAAGGAAATGTATAAAGTTTATAATGGTTCTAAGTTAATAAAATAATTTTCGATGATTCTGTAGGCATTTATTTTTATGTAGGCGTTCCCTTTAGATGTGACGTTACGTTATATCGCTGTGACGTCACAAGTTACATTTTATTGAAAAATGTAATTACCTTTTTTATATTGAAAAATGCAATAACCTTTAGTATATATAGAAATTGCCCAACAATATTTGAATTAAACTAACAAGTTTCAATTTTTTTATTTTATTTTATTTTTTTTTAAATTTACAAAAGTCGGTGTCTTTCAGCATTGAATTATTATTTTTTGAAAGATGTAAGTCTCATAACTGCAACAGTATGTGCAAACAAATTGAATAACGTACGTTTTAATTCAATGCTTATATATACATTTTTTAACCCCCTGCCTTGTCTGTAAATGTCATTAATATTTCAAAATCCCTGCAGTATCCTTCGGGTAAGTTACAATTAATGGAGAAACCATTACAACAGCTACTATCGTCAACCTGTTCAATCTGAGAATGAATTTTGATTTTTGAGTATGACTTTGTACGGCATTTACCGTTTGTGACGTCAAAATCATACTTTATATTGGTGTGTAAATCACACAGATTTGTCACGTAGGCATATTTCATGAAGTGCATTAATGTTAAAAAGTTCACTGGGAAATGAGTTTGGTTGGTCACGGGATCAAATCCTGTGAAGCTGCGAATTGAAACGAAACACTCGCATATCAAAAATATTTCTGCTGTAAGTATTTGAAGACGATGACGTGAATGATTTTGGCAAGGATGCTTCGCCAGAAGCCATTTGTCATTTATTGACAAAAAAGAAAAAAAAGAAGAAGCCGACAGCGTATTGACGACTATTTTAATATAATAGTACCAGCATATTCCCCAGATGAGTTCTCACATTTTCGAATGCGTAGAGAGACTTTCGAGGCGATCACAAATGAATACTAGCTGCAGAGCTACAGTTCTGCAGCTAAAATAAATGCTAGAATAGACAATTGAATAAATGCAGTACTCGGGCTTTTTACAACAGATCTTAAATTCCTTTTATATAGAAGATTTTGTGAATGTTCCCTTTAAAAAAATATAACAAACAAATAATTTACAAAGTTATCAAATTCTGATCTTAGATTTTTTGTGGAAAAGGCTGCAGCAGATCGCTAGACTTTGCATTGAAACATTTTATACAGGTGATTTTCTTATGTTAGTAATAATTTAAAATACATGTATACCTGTCTACAGACTTCCTCAACTTGCAGGAGAAAGTCCTGTCAGGGGCTAAAAAAACTTGGGTCGTGTCTTCGAAGGCGAAGACAATTTCAGGAGGGAGGAATGTAATGGTTTGGGTCATGGATATCGGCCTGGGTACATGTAGCTCAGTCGGTAGAGCACCTGACTAGTGATGTAGGGGACCCTGGCTCGATTACCGGTTCAGCCGTACACTTTCTCCTTTCCTCTTACAGATTTGGTGCCCTGACCAGGATGTGACAGTAGGTGAAAGACCTGCTGAGGGAAGAGCCTGGGTTGGTGTCGACGGGGGTCAAAGGCCTTTAAGGAGGGAGGAATGTGGCAGTCAGACAGGTTCGATCGCCGGTGGCCAGATAGTTCAGTTGGTAGAGCACTTGATTGGAGATTCAGGGGGTCCGGGTTCGAATCCCGGTCTGGCCCGTCTCATTTTTCTCCTTTCCTGTTACATTTGGTGCCGTGTCATGCCCTGGAATTGACAGGTGAAAGACCTGCCAGGGAAGAGCCTGGGTTGTTGTCTTCGGGCGGGGGGGGGGGGGGGGGTCGAAGACCTTTTTCGGGGACCGAAGACATTTAGGGAAGGGGGAATGTGGCGGTCAGACGAGTTGTATCGCCAGTGGCCAGATTGCTCAGATGGTAAAGCACCTGACTGGAGATTCAGGGGCCGGGTCTGGTCCGTTGCATTTTTCTCCTCTCCTAATACAGGTGAAAGAACTATAAGAGAAGAGTCTGTCTAAGGGACGAGGATATCTAAAGAGGGAAGAATGTGGTGAATGTGGTGGTCAGCGCTAGTGGACTTAGGGGGGGCTTTTTTATTTAACCCAAATCAATTTTTGTGTCTTGTTTTTTTTTCCCTTTTTGTTAGATGTTTGGAGCTTCCAGAGGTTTCGCCAACTGGCCCTGGGCTTTGTCTTGGTACCACTAGTACTGGGTTCCTTTAAGGCGGTCTCCAGACCCCCAGCCTGTTGCCTTCTCTCTTTTTAAAGAAATACTGAACCCACCACTGGTCAGGCAGGTTCGTTCGATGGCCAGATAGAGCACCTGTTTAGAATTTTGAAAGCATATTTGACTTCAGGCCCCAAGACCATAAACTGAGAACAGACTTAAGTCAAAATTTCAAACCAATATAACTTTTGAAAATAATTTCGATAATGAAATAAAATTTTCATCTTATGTTTTAATTGGAACATTATACAAACCTGCAAATTTTTAAGTATGTGTGTTAAATAAAACACAAGATATTCAAAATCAAAATTTTTACTTAAGTTTGTTCTCAGTTTATGGTCTCGAGGCCTGGTCTGGTCCCTCGAAGTTCCTGTCACTCTTCTAAGGGAGTTTTAATATTGTAACAGGAAATAAAACTATAAAAAATAAAAATCATAAAAGGGCCAACCTCATTCTGGACTCCAGTCTTAAAGCCTTATAAACCTCAAACACTGAAGTTTGAGGATAACGGACTCCTGAATGACATTGGGCCGATTATGCATTTTGTTTGTATATAGCACGGGATCTTTGGCTATGCAAGTGAGAGGACACGTCAAACATAACAACTCTTTAAATCCTTGAGCTTGGTCGGTGTGACCCAAGTCGAATTTCTATTTACACGAAATGACTCTAGGATATTACATATTCCAAATGCCTTCAAGATCTGAGGACCATTCCTCACCAGAGCGGCTCACAGGTGTTGGGGAGTGGAGATGTTACCCAACCTGTATAACATGCAAGCAAGACAGTTACATTTCAGCTTTCCACTCTTTATTAAATTAAACACTCCATTTTTAAATATTTATAATTGCAATAAATAATTTTACACACTATACTTAACATTCTAATAGATATTCCTACTTATAATATGAAATATTTTAACCTGTAAATAAAAAGAGCCACCTGAAAATATTATAATTTTACAAAAAAAAAAAAAAAAAAAAAAAAAAAACCGCGCAAGTCTACAAAACGATCTCACCTGTATAACATGCAACTAAGAAAGTCACAATTCAGCTTTCCACTGAAATCGCGTCTGTCCTGGCCGCCTGTTTTATGCCTGAAGTCGTACATCCCCATATTTGTTATTCCTCCAAAATTTACAATAACTACTTTTAATTTGAATTTTAATTACTATTATTCTCTCCTCCAACACTTTTTAATTTCCTAATGCACTTAAAAAAAATCATTTCCAATCTTTTGCATAATCTTTAAATTTTTTATTTGTTTCAGCTAATTTATACCAACAACTGCCCTCTGGTCACTTCAATACTACTGGTTGCTCCTTCATTCTAACCAAATATATCTTTTGATAAACAAGTAATTAAACAACCGCATTCCAATGAATTATTTTCTTGGAACTGTACAGTTTAAACATGTTAAAAGGTCAAACCCTAGTGGCCAGCATCTATGTTTATTTTTATCTTCAGAGCTAATCATTTTCTTGGAACCGTACAGGTTAAAAGGTCAAACCCTAGTGGTCAGCATCTATGTTTATTTTTATCTTCAGAGCTCGTATCTGTTAACTCTCTCCGCCAAATAGTGCCAATACACCAAAAATATGTAACTTTCTTATTTTTATGCATTTTGTTATGATAGCTCTACCAACTGAGCTATCTTGTCACCGCCGATCGAACACGCCTGACCGCCATAGTCATAATAGAAACTGCTGATGACTATAATTTGACCTCCAAAGGCACCCTCTCAGTGGCGGATCCAGGGTTCTTGAAAGGGGGCAACCAGTTGGGGGGGCGGATGTTGGTTCAGGAGATGAAGCCCCGGACGCTCTCGGGTTTTAGGAGGTTTATGGAACTTTTTTTTTACTTATTTTAATTTAGCTTTATTTTAGGTATAATTATTGCAATATCCCACACCAAAAGAATTGATTTATTAATCTTATGTATATTTTTGGTCACAAAAGGGGGCGAGACTCCTGGACCCCCTCTGAATCCGCCAGCCCCCCCCCCCCCTTTTTAAATCATTTCAAGAACGACTTAACAATTTCAGCTCTTCATTCAATTGCGCATGTGCATTGTCCCCTGTCAGCCACAATATAAACATTGGACCACGTTATTTACATTAACATGTTCACAGGATTGACATCGCCAGACACTCGCGGAATTTAAAAATTTTGTCAATTTAATAGAAGGAAGAATGGGTCTGCTATCTGAAGGTTCACCCCTTGACTGGACAGAGACGAAGGCGTATGCTGATCACGTGCGGAAACATGGCATCAGACAGTTTATAAATTTGTATCATAAACTCCAGGATAGGACCAAAGACGTTTTATACTGGGGAGATGAGGTGAGTTTAGGTACACGGGGAAGGGGGGGGGGGGTTAGTAGGGCTATTTAAAAGATAAATAGTGAAATTCCCCTTGTAAGACAGACATAATGCATGATATGTGTGAATTAGTTTGCTTATTGAGCAGGGCTAATATATAGAACATGATAATTGATAAAATGTACTTGACTAATGTTTTTTCTTACCCCAACCCTTAAAAACTGTAGATAAGCTTAATTGATATGAACATCTGAACATAAATTGTAACATTGTCTATGGATCTCAAAGCATGTAAAGATCACATGTTTTATCAATAGATACAGTGTATCTCTTATATTTGACATTTTAATTAAAAAAAAAAATATATACTAATTTATTTTAAACTGATTTAAAGTAATATGAAATATACTTTTTAGTTATCTGTATACTGAAAGTAAATTTAGATTTATCAATGAAATCATTTGTTTGGTCCTTAATTCATCTTCAACAGCTGAATGTAAACATTGTAAAGATTCTGTATAAATCTTATATACAGTGTCAGACTTGTTGGATTGCTTTGAAAGCTGATAAGTAGTAAACCTCATGTAAGATCTTGTTCTGTGTAAACAGTGCAGACAAAACATTATAATTTTAATAAAATTATTATCACCATAACAGGAGAATGTCAAGTGTACAGTAAAAAAATTATTCAATAGACCTTTTAATATTACAGAATAAAACCAAAGGGATAAGAAAGGCATATCCTATAATTCCTTGCCTTTATTAAATAACTTAATACAGACATTTGTAGGATGTATTATTTCTTATTTGTGTCTAAAGATTATAGTGACCTGCATGCTGTGTTAAATATAACCTGAAATTAAAGTCCATTATTGGAGAGTACTTATTATGTAATCCTTTTAAAGTATGCATCAAATGATATTCTATACTATATAATGTTTTAGAAAACAACAACTCTCTGACAATAGATGTAGTAATCAGGGTTTGACATTAACTTTTACAAGTACTAGACCAGTCGGGCTACTTCCCATAATTTTTACTAGCCCTGACCATAAAATCACTAGCCCTGACAAAACTTGAAAATTTACTTCTTGTAATCGAGAATTTCAATGAGGTAACGTTTGAAACCATATTTGATATGCGTGTCAATATTTTTGACAGACTGTTCGATAGTTGAGTTGGGTTCATCGGGACATTTGAGCATTATAAGCCTTAAAGAACATTCAACAAACTTTAATAAAATAAGTAATCATAAATATTAATATATTAATTTTAAAATATACTATACGTAACTATTTATACCATATTGATACTGAACTACAGTAGTTTCGACCTCGACTTGTGTATTACAGACGTGGCTGTTACACGACCAGACTACTCATTTACTAGACTGGGTCGGTCGGTCGGACATGCCTTCGTTGGTGTCAAACCCTGGTAATATAGGATATAAATCAGTGCTGCAGGGAGTATAAATGTATAATGATCACAATATTGCAAAGCAAGAGTGTGCAGGTATAACTATACATAGCAGTGATTGTAGATAATGGAATATTTGATTGGTACTAGATGATTTTATTTTACACCCTGTTGACCAGGAATTGGAGCAGACGATTTATTCCAGGTCAGGGATAGTGTTAACATCACATATCCATTAATACATTTTCATTTACCATGCATACACTTCATGTGAAAGGTATTGTGAAATTTTGGCTGAAAAGTGTCAAGTTTCTAAACTGCTAGGTAAATATTGGACGATTTGCGGGCAACTAGATGATGAAAAAAAAGCACAAAAATAGTTTGATAAAGTCGTAGAACTTGTATCTTTAATGGCATATGAATTGCATTTATTGCTAAAGAAGATCCTGTAAATAGCATGTATGACTTATCTTAATAACCTCAATGAGAAATGAGTGGGCTCCTAGTTAATAACCGTATCAAACTTAAATATTTATTTCTTCAATGATCTTTATAATTTCAGTGGGTTTTTTTACAGTTCAATTTTAAAAATTACCAGTAAATGCTAAGGTATTTTGACAAAACGATCTTGCTCAATGAATAAATTCTCAAAAACATGTTTACTGTTTAACTGTTTAAGTTTATTCATATTATTAATGAAATCTTTGATTTGAGAGCTTATTTACACAGCTTATAAAAATATTGTTTTTATCAAGCAGCAGGATATATCACTGATCCTTAAGAAATCTATTGATAAAAAAAGAATTTGTCAACTTTGCACAAGATAATGAAATTTCTATCTGTTAATTTCCATCTACATGTATAACCATTAGTTTTACAAAGTTGACCAAGGTCCAGTTTGATCTTGTTGTACTATAGTGAGAGATTTCTGAATCCTACTTCACTCACTTCCCCCCTACAAAAAGATAATGAAATTCATCATATTCTTAGAAGTAAATACACCGATTCTGCAAATTACGATATGGGTGATGTCATAAAATCCCATATCAATGACCGGCCTGAAAACTCAAATGATGTATCAAACCGGCATGCAAAAAACCATTTCAAACCAGAAGTTGCCTTTGTATAAAGTTCAAAAGTTAATTATCTTGATTTTATTAATATGTACCTGTAATGTATAATTATTTTACTAAAATTTATTGACTTGATTAAATTCTTTTTAAAAAAAAGTGACCTGAAATTTGCTCTATTGGTCAAGATTTTAAAGAAAAAAGTCTTATTAATGCACAAAACATTATGTGAACTCACTTATTAAATTTTGTAAATATATGATGAATAGAATACCACATAACTAAAATGAATAGAATACTACATAACTAAAATCCATGGCATATCATATGTCATATAAACCCTCGGGCTGATATTGGGCCACTCAGACTAATATGACATATGTGGATTTCAGTATGTAATTAAATATTCTCTATGAATTACATTATTAATTAATTGATGTTATGTATTTAATCTGTGTGAAGATTTAAATACATATTGTAGACAAACCTTGTTTTTTTTATCTGTTGTGTTTTAGGACATATTGAACATGTTGAATCACCAACAGCACTGTACCATTTTTGTGTTATGTTCTAGAACTTTAACTCTATCAGGATTTTTAAAGACCATTCTTTCAATTTAGTAATATGCATAGATAAATTTAACTTTCATTCAGTTTTTAAATACACCAAATTTTAATTTTTCAAGTAACCAATCCCTTTTTAACATGTTTAAGTGTCCAAAAGCACCTCTCCTTTTTTTTAACCAGAAAAGGATGTTTACTCTAGTGGATCCTATAACTTGTGTCTATTTTTATCAAAAGTTTATTTATCTCTTAAAACAATCAAGCATTACGTTATACATGTTTTGCAACTAGTGTATATTTTTTCATATATTGAACAGTTTATTATGTTGGAATGAAGAAGTGGAGCATATTAATTTGTACCTATATTAGTTGGCCAGTCAGTTAATTGACCAATGGTTTACAATCAATATTAAGTAATGAATATTCATTAATCTTGATACACAGACATATCTTTCATTTTCCAAAAAAAAAATCCCTTTTGTCAAAGGTCATAGGTCACATGCTTTTCAGCCAAAATCTAAAAGTTTCCAACCTATTAACCACTTGCTGGAGAGACACCTTAATTAGAGGTATACTGGACCAAAAGGTCAAAGGTCACTGATTTTCAGCAATGCCAAACTAACTATTTGGAAACCTTTTAAGGGATACACAAATTTGACATAGTAAAAGATGACCTATTTGGAGAGTAATAGGTCAAAGTCACTATGTTTATAGCTCATACCAAAATCTAATGGTTTCTAACTAATATCTTTAGTTCCATTGCCTGATAGTCATTTAAAGTCATACAGGTGTTCGCCATGGCAAGTAAATTTGTTAAATATAGGATAGGAAAATAGCTAAATGGGATATAACATATATGTTTTACAATCGTGTTTTGTTATAGCTTATGTAGGAAATGGTATTGCTAATGTGGACTTATCATGTAGCTTGAATAGAATGACCCTTTCTCAGTTCCTCACAGGTTCTTAATGGAGTATGAATACAGTAAATATGATTGATTAAAATTGTGTGTTTGTCTGTAGTGGAGCAATGCTGTAAAATTATTTGCTTGTCTGTAGATGGAGCAATGCTGTAAAATTGTGTTTGTCTGTAGGTGGAGAACATGCTGTAAAATTTTGTGTTTGTTTGTAGGTGGAGTATATGCTGTTAAATTGTGTGTTTGTCTGTTGGTGGAGTACATGCTGTAAAATTTTGTGTTTGTTTGTAGGTGGAGTATATGCTGTTAAATTGTGTGTTTGTCTGTTGGTGGAGTACATGCTGTAAAATTGTGTGTTTGTCTGTAGGTGGAATACATGCTGTAATATTGTTTGTTTGTCTGTAGGTGGAGTACATGCTGTAAAATTGTGTGTTTGTCTGTAGGTGGAATACATGCTGTAAAATTGTTTGTTTGTCTGTAGGTGGAGTATATGCTGTAAAATTGTGTGTTTGTCTGTAGGTGGAGTACATGCTGGTTAAAGTGAGCCGGGAGAAGAAGAAAGCTCAGCTGGCCCTGACTGCTGAACCAATCCTGAAGGAGTTACAAAAAACAGAACACGCTAACCCTAAGTATGAACATTTTTACACACCATCATTTCATTTCAAGATATTAAACTGACATCTGACAGTCCAGAAAATCATCTCTACTATTGATTTAGAATCACACCAAACACATTATCATATACTCCCAGGGTCAACTTAGAAATGTAAAAGCATGCCCAATAGATAGGTGAATCATCTCAACATGATACTGTAAACATAAACCAAACAAACTAAAAGTGTCGTCTCAACTAAGAACTGTCAGAACATGCAAAACAAATCAATGTAGCATATTTTCATGATACTATAATAGATACCAAACAAACCAAGAGTGCTATCTCAACTCAAAACTGAAAACACACAAAAACAAATTGGTGTATCATCTCAACATGGTAAACCTGCACCTATAAAAACCATTGTATATCTCAATACACTACTGTATACTCAGTATATCATCTCACTACACTACTGTATACTCAATGTATCATCTCACAACACTACAGTATACTCAGTGTATCATCTCACTACACTACTGTATACTCAACATATCATCTCACTACACTACTGTATACTCAATATGTCATCTCACTACACTATTGTTACTGAGTGTATCATCTACTAATGTATACTCAGTGTATCATCTCTTAACACTACTGTTTACTCAACATATCATCTCACTACACTACTGTTACTCAGTGTATCATCTCTTAACACTACTGTATACTCAGTGTATCATCTCACTACACTACTGTATACTCAGTATATCATCTCACTACACTACTGTATACTCAGTATATCATCTCACTACACTACTGTATACTCAGTACAGCATCTCACTACACTACTATATACTCAGTGTATCATCTCACTACACTACTGTGTACTCAATATATCATCTCACTGCACTACTGTATACTCAATGTATCATCTCACTACACTACTGTATACTCAGTACATCATCTCACTACACTACTGTATACTTAATGTATCATCTCACTACACTACTGTTTACTCAGTGTATCATCTTACTACACTACTGTATACTCAGTGTATCATCTCACTACACTACTGTATACTCAGTACAGCATCTCACTACACTACTATATACTCAGTGTATCATCTCACTACACTACTGTGTACTCAATATATCATCTCACTACACTACTGTATACTCAATGTATCATCTCACTACACTACTGTATACTCAGTACATCATCTCACTACACTACTGTATACTTAATGTATCATCTCACTACACTACTGTTTACTCAGTGTATCATCTTACTACACTACTGTATACTTAATGTATCATCTCACTACACTACTGTATACTCAATATATCATCTCACTATACTACTGTATACTTAATGTATCATCTCACTACACTACTGTATACTCAATATATCATCTCACAACACTACAGTATACTCAGTATATCATCTCACTACACTACTGTTTACTCAACATATCATCTCACTACACTACTGTATACTCAGTGTATCATCTCACTACACTACTGTATACTTAAAGTATCATCTCACTACACTACTGTGCACTCAGTGTTTCATGTCACTACACTACTGTATACTCAGTGTATCATCTCACTACACTACTGTATACTCAGTACATCATCTCACTACACTACTGTGTACTCAGTGTATCATCTCACTACACTACTGTATACTCAGTGTATCATCTCACTACACTACTGTGTACTCAGTGTATCATCTCACTACACTGCTGTATACTCAGTGTATCATCTCACTACACTACTGTGTACTCAGTGTATCATCTCACTACACTACTGTGTACTCAGTGTATCATCTCACTACACTACTGTATACTCAGTATATCATCTTAGTACACTACTGTATACTCACTGTATCATCTCACTACACTACTGTATACTCAGTGTATCATCTCACTACACTACTGTATACTTAAAGTATCATCTCACTACACTACTGTATCCTCAGTATATCATCTCACTACACTACTGTATACTTAATGTATCATCTCACTACATTACTGTATACTCAAGCTAAAAATGTCAACATATTGCTGTATTTAACACAGTGCTGTAAAATCATTATGGGCATATTAATATATCACCACAAAACAAATGGGACGTTTACAAATATCTCAATATGACATAAATTTACACTGCATTATCTCCTCAGAGACTTGAAGGAAATGCCCATTGAAATATCATTCTCTATAAATATTAATGTGTATTTTAAGAAAAAAAATAAAGTTAAAAAGAAATAAACTGAAATGCCCCAGTTCATGAAATCATTTCTGAAGCGGAGTAGAGCAATGAGGCATAAACCTCTCACGCAACACAATTCAAGCAGGCAATTAGAAAAATTCAACAGTAATAAATTTTTTTCACACTCTGATACTTTATGACCTTCAAATGACCTTGTTTCAGATTATGGATACAGCAAGCTGGTCCAGGCTGTCAGCCTCCCATTATAACTTTTAGTGTTGTTAAATTTACACAGTAAAGAAGGCTGAAAATGACAGTGCTGGACCCTGCTATTTTGTAGGTCCACAAATTGACCGTTATATTAATGAAACTGATTTGCTCTATTTGTATGCATATGCAAAATTTTGTTTTTAGTTAAACCCCCCCTTTTTTTTTTCTCTCTCTTGAGATTTGTTTACTCATGGTGATTCAGCAGAATTTTTGGTGATTATATTCCTTGAAGCCTCTGGCAAAGTATGAACACAGTGTGAAAAAGTAGACACACATTCCTCAAATAATCAATCTTATAATTTGTGTTTAAGTCAAGGGAAAATATTTTAGAAATGTATGCTAGATCATCATCTGTTTGTATTCAGTTTTAGGTCCTTTCTGCATTATACTGTTCTTAAAGCTGTGAACTGTCATACATTATTTACTAACCAGGCTTTTACAATACTTAAAAATTTCCCAAATGCTCAACATTTACCTGCCTTGTAGAATTATTTTGTGTGAGTAAAATATGCACCAGCTGTGATAAAAACCTGTATACATATACCTGTAAATAAGTATTCAAATATCAGGTCTCTTTTAATCTTTTAACAGAATGACACCAAATCTTAGGTCCCTGTAAAGAAACCTCATATACACATCAATTAATGTGATCTCTCATTCATTTCAAAGATGATTGTAAAGGGACTTTTTTAAAAATGTGACATTTTTAGTCAAGTAAGGAAATGAGAGCCATTTAAATGGCTGGTCTGAAAATAAAACAAGGTGAAGGTCACTGATGTCTGTAAATATTGTAAACAGATTTAAGACCTGATTAAGAAGAATATAAAAATTACTGCTTTAACAGACACATTGCATTATTTAGGAATTTGTGAAAAGAATTTTAAAGAGGTTGCCATTTTTCATGCTTTTATTTCAATTGAAAGTTCTTTATTTTAACTGGGGAGAACAAAGAGTTATACAGGGGGTATATTTATATCAATTTTGGCGTTGAGTTTAACTTTTGTTACTATCTCATTATCCCCACAAAATAGTTGGAGGGAATAATGTGCTTGTGATGGGGGGGGGGGGGTTGAGTGAGTGAGTACATGCATAACGAAAGTTCCTCAATTAAGTAATAATTTATGTCGGGATCAATGTACTGTTTTGTGAGGGGACACTCAGCTTTTTGGTGCTCTTGTTGAGATTTTTTCATCCTATTAAATTGTAAGGAAAAAGAATGGAGTATGTTTCTAAACACATTAAGATATTACTCAAAATATTGGTGTTTTAGTAGAATATACAGCAAAAATAAAGCTTGTGCTAAACCTGCTACAAAAAAATTTAGAAAAATCACAATCTTAAGTTGTACATTTATTTCATTATTTAATGTGTTAATAACATTTCCATTAAAAAATGAATTTACAGGAACCATCCAACAACATGGCGGCCAGAATATGCCAATTATATGGTAGAGGGAACCCCAGGAAAACCCTATGGGGGAATGATGGCCCACTTCAATGTGGTGGAATCTAACATGAGGCTAAGGTATGGATCTAAGGAGGCCTTGAATATATTTTATGGTTTTTGTTTTTGATGAAGTCAACATCATTTAGTTCTTGTGTAGGAAGCTTTAAGGGCAAAGTCTATATATGTACTGTTCTCTGACTGTGGCAATAATCCATTCAAATAATAACTGTCTAATATTATTATATTGTATGCCTAAAAATTTGTTTTGAGAAAAATCCTCATAAATTTTTAATGGTTTTTGCATGCAGTTTATTTTGTCAAGTTATTGAACAACATTTTGCATAGAACATAATGAGAAATTCTTAAGTTTTTACATAGACTTGGCATTAATTAAAAATGGTAAAATTCTTTATCTAAAGAGGAAAAGTTTTGTGTTTCATCAGGAGTAGATATTACATATTTTTGTGACCTGGAAATGAAAAACAAGTCTCTTTCCTCCATTTATTGTTAAAATCTTTTGTATACTAAAACACTGTTATTAAATGTTGAGGTGTCAGTAATAACACAGGAACAAAATAACTGTCTGTAGTTGGATTTTGAATGCATTTATAGCCTGCTGGTGCATTTGAAACTCAACTCATGCCCAATATCCACTTACATAAATCATACATGAAGACCAGAATAAGGGTATTCAAAATTATGTGTATAATTATGCTCTCTTTTTTTTCAAACAATAAAGTATGTAAACAGAGATAAAATATTTCATTTGAAGTAAAATATTCCACTTGAGGTCTTGATTCTTTCTTGTTTGTAGGAGAGAGGAGATTCAGAAATGGTGTGGTGAGGGTATTGTCCCCCTCTCTCTGACCTCATTTCCAAGGTAAGAATTTGGCAATCATATGCAATCATATGCATCAGTAAAGGGGAGATATTTTCCACCTGAGGTGTTAAGTTTTGCTGTTTAGGAGGAGACTTGTCAAGTCCTAGGTGGCAGATTTGGTCAACAAGGATGATATTTTTTTCCTCACACTCAAACATTATGAAGTGAAAGCTTTTATCATGTAGATATTTTTATTATACATTCACCACAAAACTAAAGCCATAATAAAAAGGAACTTACCATGATCAAGTTAAACACATAAAGTTTAAACTAAGAAATTAAAACTTAGGGAAGAAAATATGTATGTAAACTGTTTTTGTAAATTTTGTGTTATTTGTTTCTATTGAACAGAATTTCTGTTCTCCAAGTTTGGACCTTATGCAGTTGTATTTGAACTGGTAAATGAACTTCACATTTTGTACTGGTTTGTAGATCTGGCTGTCCTGGATTCACTGAACCGGAACACACGCCCACACCAAACAGTGGAGCTTCACACTCCCTTTTCTTTCCAGATGAGGCCATTTTTCCTGGACATCCACGATTTAAGTAAGATTAAATAGGAAATGTTAATGGCATATGTCCTATGGATTGGTACATGATACACAATCAACAAAGATGAATTTACTACAAAAATCCATATTAAAACAAATGCTTAAAGTACCAAGAAAATATGATGAATAATTTTAAAAGGAGTTTGAAATATATATTGTTAACATTTTTTGTTTCCAGAACCCTAACCAGGAACATAAGACAGAGAAGAAACAAAAAAGTTGCAATAAACATTCCAGGTGATCTTTCAGTTCAGTTATTGCTTAAGTGTTGTTGTTTAAATTTCTGTTAAAATGAGAACTGTAAGTCTGTCACTGGTCAGTGGAAGTGGACCAAAGTATGTGTATTGACTCTACATTTAATTTCTGAGTCAGTAAGTAAATATTTAAATACTAGGATTAATTTTAAAGCTACTGTAATCAACATGCTTAACAGTTTTTACTTCTGGGGGCAATTGGTATATTTCTAAAATATCACACAAGTTTATTTATTTAATACCCATTGATTAAATATGTTCACTTCTGACAATCACTTTTCAATAATACTGGAATTATTTTCCCCAAGACCCAGAGTGAATTTAATTATCAAACACAATCCGGAGATACGTAGAGGAGTATGCAGTTATAATTCTCAGTGAATGAATGGGCTAGCGTAAAGTACAGTCCGTGTTCAGTATACTTATTAAAAAATAGTGAGATATAGATATTTATAGATGAATATTTACACTTAGGTCTGGATTCCAAAATGTGGATCAACAATGGTTTTACATAATACATCATTTGCATATGGGCAAACCCCCCCCCCCCCCCTTTCAAAAAAAAAGATTCAATTTTTAATGCAAAATACTTCATATCATTAAGCTTAAAATGGAAAAGAAATTTAAAAATCTTCTTCATGTACAGAATACATGTAATTAATTTTAGTTTGACTTACCAGTGGTAAAGAAAGGGGTATTAACCAAGATATGCCATATACAATGTCTGCTTCACCTCATCTGCCCCTTATCCTGTATCTGACCCCATTAAGTTAAGCTTTTGAATGGAGGAGCATAAGTTTTTATCCACATTTATTCCTCAAAGTTATAACTACTACTGGAATATATTGATATATCTGACATATTTAAATTAGGTATATATTTGTTTTGATATGACAAAGCATTATGCTATTGCAATAATACAATTACTATATACAGATAAGTTATTTATTAATTTTAACACCTGGAAAAACCTATGCTTGTTACAGTTTACAAGGACAAGTACACCAAGTCCCCGTACCTAGATGATTTTGCTGCTCTGGGAGATGACGGGGAGAGCCAGGCGGGGGCCAAGCCTGACCACATATACATGGACTGTATGGGGTTCGGTATGGGATGTAGCTGTCTCCAGGTGACCTTCCAGGCGTGTAACATCAATGAGGCCAGGAAACTCTACGATGACCTGGCTCCTCTCTGTCCTATCATGGTAAGAATTGTCTAATTATCAAGGTCCTCTCTGTCCTGTCATGGTATGAGTTGTCTAGTTATCAAGGTCTTGTCTATCCTATCGTAGTAAGAGTTGTCTAGTTATCAAGGTCTTGTCTATCCTATCATGGGAAGAGTTGACTAATTATCAAGGTCCTCTATGTCCTATCTTGGTAGGCGTTGTCTAATTTTCAAGGTCCTCTCTGTCCTTTAATGGTATTAGTTGTCTACTTATTTGGAAATTGACCTTATACATAGGATAAATTACAGTACGGTATTATACCTCGATATAATAATTCTACTGAATGCATTATCTGATTGGTTCTAGATTGTCATGTGACAGGACATTAAAACTTCATATTTCTCTGTTGTCATATTTTTCATAATTTTCAACCCCATCTGGGGCTTTGTGCATTAATCTTGCAAGGGTTAACATTTCTTGAATGAAAACACAAGACATCACAATTTACAATAGGGGAAAGATTACATCTATCAAGCAGTAATCTCCAATAAAGTGGAAGAACTTTATTTCTTGAATACATGCTTAGAGTAGGCAACTTTTCAAAATGACTAGAATGTAAAGAGACGGAATAGTTGTTACCCATACTTATTTATGATGATTTTGCTTCCAAGAAAGAAATGATGTAGATATTGTCCATTGACAGCTGGCCCTGAGTGCAGCAGCTCCTATCTACCGTGGTCACTTAGCAGATATTGATGCCAGATGGACGGTCATCTCACAGTCAGTGGACGATCGGACAGACGAAGAAAGGGGAGAAAAGGTGTGTATCATGTCAACATAACAGGGATTATAAAAGTTCTATTTATGTTTTCTATGCATCATTAAAGTTTTCAATAAGTAAAACCATTCAGCAGCTCTAAAATGTCATAATTTTTTGGCACCAGAAAATGGCAGTAAAAATGATTAATTTTACTTACAGTATTACTTTGTATGTAATATGTAAGACTATTTATAAAATTTGTTTTTTCAGCCTTTAAAAAATGACAAGTTTGTGATCAACAAATCTCGTTACGACTCCATAGACAGTTACTTATCCCCTTGTTACCGATGTAGTAATGATATTGACCTGGTGTACGATCATGATATTTACAAAGAGCTCCGAGCAGCGGGTAGGGCTGATTCATACTCTTTATGCAAGTCAATCTTTTATTTATTGTCAGTTTTAACTTTTTTTTGGGGGGGGGGGGGGGCAATAAGAGTCATTGTGACCTGACTTATGAATATGGTCACTTAGTTCTGCTATGGTATTAAAGATTCATTTAAAAAAAAGAAAGACACATTGTAAATCATAACATCCTTATAGGCAAAACTTTCTGCTGCCCAGTGGGTATTGGTTTGTTTCATTTGCAATGAACATCTATTTAATTCTATGTACATGTACTAGATTTAAAAAAAATATTCTAAGAGTGTCTGTATATTAAACATAATTACAGCAACCCTGTTTACATAAATAAACTGTAATAAATTTTTAATCTGTGCATGTATTAAACACTTTACTGTTTTTATAGTTTTGATTTATTTGCATCAATCAGCTGATTCTGTTTACGATTTACCTGTGAACACCGGGTCATGTTTTACAGAGGTAGATGAACCCCTCTCCAAACACATAGCTCACCTGTTCATCAGAGACCCCGTCTCACTATTCAGTGAAAAAATTAATCAAGACGATGAGAGGGATACAGACCATTTTGAGGTATTACAATATGTTAGTAATACTATAATGTTAAGTTATATATTACAGTCTTACAGGGCTATAATTTCACAGTTTTACATTATTATTACAGTATAGCAGAACTATAATGTAACAGTATTACAGGGTTATAGTTTTACAATTTTACAGGAATATATTATTATTACAGGGTTATAGTTTTACAATTTTACAGGAATATATTATTATTACAGGGTTATAGTTTTACAATTTTACAGGAATATATTATTATTACAGGGTTATAGTTTTACAATTTTACAGGAATATATTATTATTACAGGGTTATAGTTTTACAATTTTACAGGAATATATTATTATTACAGGGTTATAGTTTTACAATTTTACAGGAATATATTATTATTACAGGGTTATAGTTTTACAATTTTACAGGAATATATTATTATTACAGGGTTATAGTTTTACAATTTTACAGGAATATATTATTTTGAATACAGTATAGTAGGATTGTAAAAGTACAGTATTTACTGTGCTATAATATTACAGTGTTACAGGGCTATAATTTCAGTTTTACAGATATATATTATTATTACAGATGTTTCAGTATAAGAGGACTGTAATATTACAACTAGCATTGTAATAGAACTAGAACTTACCAAGTTCCAATGTCCCATTCCAAACATCAATATAAAGTAGAGACTTAGCACTTTCATTTTCTATTAAAAAAAAAAAGTTTCCTATGAGAGTCCATGCATTGAAAATCAGGCTTTGTGAAATTGCAATGTTCTTGAATTTTGAAGAAAATGGGTGTATTGTGAGTACCTTCAGCAAAGAATTTAAATATGAGCCCTCCCCTCAATCCAAAAAAACAAAAAACAAAAAAAAAAACATAGATTGTAATCTTCTGAAACATGTCTTTCAATATATAATAAATTGAACATTTTAGATCAGAGGTTTAGTTCTATGCAAAATATTGAAAAACAGCTTAAATTTTCAGGATTTGAGGATAATGATGCAATTCATGATATCATAATTCATGGACTAGCGAGAAAATTATATCACTTTTAAAAGATTATGTAGTCACAAAGGGTCCAGGTGAAATTTTAGTATTTTCAACTAAAACTGAGTAGTTTTGATTTTTCAAAAATCAACAGGACCAATAAAGGCCTCAAATGAATCTTGTTCTTTGTCTTATGTTTCCAGGTCAAGGCTTTATTATCAGATATTAAAAGTGCATTTTATCTTGAAACTCTCTTTAGTTTTTGAGATTTGTTGAAAAATGTTTTGAAGATTGTACATGTATCTCCAATGTGCCCCCTCCACCACTCGAAAAAAATCTTGACTCTTGTATTAGGTTAAGGTCAACAGGACAGGGCTGATGTTTGGAAAAAATTCTTACAAAATTACTTTTTCTGTCCACTTGACAGAACCTGTGGTTTGAGGCTGTTAAACCACTTTGTCCAGTTGATAGATATTGTGAGAGAGTTGTTTTTTGTTATTTTAGAATATCCAGTCAACCAATTGGCAGACCATGCGTTTTAAACCTCCCCCTCCCAACAGTAACATTGGCTGGAGAGTAGAATTCAGGCCAATGGAGGTAAGGCGACACAAACACTATGTGTCTTAACACAATTACCCAAAATTCAGGATTTCATGTATGTCTAAAATGAGGCAAAAACAAGTAAAGCATTTTAGTTGGTATCTGTTGGTAAAACACATTGAGGTACAAAACCTACAGAAGTGTAAAGTCAGGGATTTTAAAACTTGTGTTACTGAAAGTTGAGAATCTGAGCAATGTAAAATATCAATTATTATTCAAAGTTAGGACATCTGGATTGTGGAAATGTGAATGTTGTAAATGGGAAAAAAAAGATACATAAAACAAAATGTAATATTGCCTTAAATGTAATATAGTTTAACTTGCCTAATCCATATGGTGTGTACTCTGAAACATTAATCTATTATGGAAACATGAAGTCCTGTTTAGTAAATTCAGTTGTTAAAATGGATCTGGAATGATGTGTAATCCAACAAATTATGAATTTTGTGTATTTTAGGTTCAGCTGTCTGATTTTGAGAATGCTGCTTACACTGTGTTTATCGTCTTACTGACCCGGGTCATCTTAACCTATGGACTGAGCTTTGTTATCCCGATATCTAAGGTTGGTACTGAAATCTGACCCAGTATAACGTCTTACTGACAAGGGTCATTTTAACCTAAGGACTGAGCTTTGTAATCCTGATATCTAAGGTTGGTACTGAAATCTGACCCAGTATAATGTCTTACTGATGCGGGTGATTTTAACCTATGGACTGAGCTTTGTTATCACGATATCTAAGGTTGGTACTGAAATCTGACTCAGTATAATGTCTTACTGACGCGGGTCATTTTAACCTACGGACTGAGCTTTGTAATCCCGATATCTAAGGTAGGTACTGAAATCTGACTCGGTATAATGTCTTAATGACCCGGGTCATTCCAGTTATATTTATTTGCAATTACAATGACAGTAAAACACCCTTGGAGTGAAAACTGACAGCTGATAACATTCTAATGGTTGACATAGATGTACTTTTTTTAATTAACTTGATAAGACATGATTTAACAATGATTGTCAACAAGGATTCAATATTGTTTGTTTTACTGTATAATTGGAGGATTCAATGTAGTTTGTTTTACTGTATTTTTGCTAACTACTTATAAACTGAGGTAAGAATACTGACAATATGCATATGCAATTTTTTTTCAATAGTGCTTCTTGAACATCAATTTCTTTTGACCACCAACATTTAACCATTCTGTGATTTAAGATATTGGTGAAGATTTTCAAAAAGCAGAGATTGTAGAAGCAGGATTAAAACATAATTGTGATTTCGTACATTTTATAGGTAGATGAAAACATGAAGACTGCTCACAATCGAGATGCTGTGCTCAATGATCAGTTTTACTTCCGCAAGGAAATCTTTACTGGTTTGTCCATCTATATTTCAACATCATAGACCTGACTTTTAGTAAAATTTGAATTTTGTGATAGAATTAATATGTTTTTTCCTCCATAGACTGTACCCCAGAGGAATTCACCAAGTGTATGCCAGAGTACTGTGCTGATTCAAAGTGTACCAAGAAAACTGATGAACAGTGTAAATTGATGTCAATAAATGAAATCATAAATGGCAGTGTAAGTGTCTCATTTATCATATCTCATAAATGGCAGTGTAAGTGTCTTGTCTACCATATCTCATAAACGGTAGTGTAAGTGTCTTTTCTACCATATCTCATAAATGGCAGTGTATGTGTCTCATCTGCCATATCTCATAAATGGCAGTGTAAGTAACTAAGTGTCTTGTCTACCATATCTCATAAACGGCAGTGTAAGTGTCAATCTACCATATCTCATAAACAGCAGTTTAAGTGTGTTTTCTACGATATCTCATAAACGGTAATGTAAGTGTCTTGTCTACCATATCTTGTTTTTGTTTAGGTCTTCTAATTTTGATAAATGTGAAAAGTGAATGTAGAAAATTGATTTCGGTTTGTACCTACATTTATGTTTCCTTGTGAATGATCCCCTACATTGAGTTTTAACCCTCTTTTAGGCTGACTTCCCTGGAATGATTCCTCTGATTCAAGGCTACTTAAACAGCATGGAGGATCAAGATTTAGATGTGGACACAAGATGCACAATACTTAACTATCTCAACCTGATATCACACCGAGCCTCAGGTAAATATCTCAACCTGATATCACACCTAGCCTCAGGTAAATATCTCAACCTGATATCACACCCAGCCTAAGGGAAATATCTCAACCTAATATCACACCAAGCCTTAGGGAAATATCTCAACCTGATATCACACCGAGCCTCAGATAAATATCTCAACCTGATATCACACCTAGCCTTAGGTAAATATCTCAACTTGATATCACACCAAGCCTCAGGTAAATATCTCAACCTGATATCACACCCAGCCTCAGGGAAATATCTCAACCTGATATCACACCAAGCCTTAGGTAAATATCTCAACCTGATATCACAACAAGCATCAGATAAATATCTCAACCTGATATCACAACTAGCCTTAGGTAAATATCTCAACTTGATATCACACGTAGCCTCAGATAAATATCTCAGTCTTATATCACACCTAGCCTTAGGTAAATATCTCAACCTGATATCACACCTAGCCTTAGGTAAATATCTCAACCTGATATCACAACCAGCCTCAGGTAAATATCTCAACCTGATATCACACGTAGCCTCAGATAAATATCTCAGTCTTATATCACACCTAGCCTTAGGTAAATATCTCAACCTGATATCACACCTAGCCTTAGGTAAATATCTCAACCTGATATCACAACCAGCCTCAGGTAAATATCTCAACCTGATATCACACGTAGCCTCAGATAAATATCTCAGTCTTATATCACACCTAGCCTTAGGTAAATATCTCAACCTGATATCACACCTAGCCTTAGGTAAATATCTCAACCTGATATCACAACCAGCCTCAGGTAAATATCTCAACCTGATATCACACGTAGCCTCAGATAAATATCTCAGTCTTATATCACACCTAGCCTTAGGTAAATATCTCAACCTGATATCACACCTAGCCTTAGGTAAATATCTCAACCTGATATCACAACCAGCCTTAGGTAAATATCTCAACCTGATATCACACCTAGCCTTAGGTAAATATCTCAACCTGATATCACACCTAGCCTTAGGTAAATAATTCAACTTGATATCACACCTAGCCTCAGGTAAATATCTCAACCTCATATCACCCCCAGCATCAGGTAAATATCTCAACCTGATATAACACCCAGCCTCAGGTAAATATCTCAACCTGATATAACACCCAGCCTCAGGTAAATATCTCAACCTGATATCACACCCAGCCTCAGGTAAATATCTGATATCACACCAAACCTCGGGTAAATATCTCAACCTGATATCACACCAAACCTCAGATAAATATCTCAACCTGATATCACACCAAGCCTCAGGAAAATGAATACAGGGAATCTGTATATTTCAACCTGATATCTCTCTTAGCTTCAGATGAGTTAATTCAGAAAATCTTGTTATCTCAACCTAATATCACACTTAGCCTCAGGAAAATACATGTTAATCCAGAGAATTTGTATATTTTAACCTGATATCATGCCAAGCATCAGGTAAATAAATCCAGATAATTTGTTTATTTCAATCTTATATCAAATGGAGCTTTAATTGTATAATACTAAAAATCAGTTTATTTAAACCTTGATATCATACTGAACTCATGTAAATAATACAATGTATCAACAAATCTGAATATTTCAACCTGATATCATACTGAATTCATGTAAATAATACAATGTATCAACAAATCTGAATATCTCAACCTGATATCATACTGAATTCATGAAAATAATATAATGTATCAACAAATCTGAATATCTCAATTTGATATCATACTGAATTCATGTAAATAATACAATGTATCAACAAATCTGAAAATCTCAATCTGATATCATACTGAATTCAGGTCTGTACTTCTCAACCTGATATCACATCAAGATTCAGGTAAATGGTAATAGAAAAAGTACTTATTTCAACGTTCTCAGGAATATCCTAACACTTGAAATAAATAGCCACAAAGTTAGTTTACATGTAATTAATTATTTCATATTGTAGGTAAGTCAGAGACAACTGCCAATTGGATGAGGAATTTTGTCCTGCACCACCCAGCATACAAACAAGACTCTGTGGTGTCAGATGAGATTAATTATGACTTGATGCAGGCGTGCATAGAGCGAAGTAAATGCTGTATCTCTGCCACAAAGACTAATCTGACATTACCAGAGGCTCTAGTCAAATCTGAGAAGTACCTCAATAAGAGGAATCCTTATACTTATACCAACACCATAAAGGAGGATCTCCCCAATGGAGACATGGACAACTCGTCATAGACTGAAATTTTAATAGCTCATTTTTATATGTATTTTTAGGGAATTTATAATGAAGAAATCAGATTTAATCGGGTCATGATTTAATCCACTGACTTTGAGATAGAAAATTATCCTATAATGTTTTTATAATTGGTGTATTTACTGGTAATTTATGCTGCAGGCATGCTGGGTACATATTTTTACTGATTTTAGGAAAAAATCTATCCCTCAATCATGTCTTATGTCAATTAAAATTTTGAAAACCATTGACTGCTTTTTATTTCAAAAATACATTCTACCAAAGTTATCTCAAATATTTATTTTAAAACAACTTAAACACCAGAAAGCAAAAGTAAGTGTGTATCCCTGACCATAAATGTATATATTCCAGTTAAATACAGTATCTCAAAACCTCATAAATGTAAACATTTTCTGACTTTCAATGTTCAAAATAATGAGTTTCGACTGATTTTTAAAACAAAATACATCGTTCCACTGCCCAAAAAGTACAATAAACTTGCTTTTACAAATATTATTTTACTGACTTTATCCCTTAGCAATAAATAGAAATGTGTGGATATTTAGAAATTATTGAAAGAAAATTAATTATACCTCACGCAACAAGTTGCATGAGGTATAATGTTTTTGACCCGTCTGTCAGTCAGTCAGTCCGTCAGTCCTGTTTTTTGTCAGCGCAATTCCTCGTAAACCGCTGCACAGAATTTGGTCAAACTTTGCAGATATTTAGGACACAATGTGTAGATGTGCATATTACCAGGAAATTTCGATTCCTTTATTTTTTCTGGGAATTTTGCACTTTTCAACTTAGATTTTTGGCCATATCTTGAATATAGAGATGAACAGTTTGTTAGTGCGACTCCTCTTAAACCGCTGCACAGAATTTGGTCAAACTTTGCAGATATTTAGGACACAATGTGTAGATGCACAGAATTTGGTCAAACTTTGCAGATATTTAGTACACAGTGTGTAGATGTGCATATTACCAGGGAATTCCGATTCCTTTATTTTTCTGGGAATTTCGGCACTTTTCAACTTAGATGTTTGGCCATATCTTGAATATAGAGATGAACAGTTTGTTAGTGCAACTCCTCTTAAACCGCTGCAAAGAATTCAAATGGTTAAACTTTGCAGATATTTAGTACACGGTGTGTAGATGTGCATATTACCAGGAAATTCCTATTCCATTATTTTTACCTTAAGAGTTTTGCGTATTATTGAAGAAACTTTCCAGCTAGGTAATAAGGAAATCCACTGGAATCAGCTTTTGTAATGAAATTTAATGTGGAATATTTTATGACCTTAAAAGACCCCTATTGATTTTGAGATCAAAATAGTAATGATTTAACACACACACACACGATCTTGGATAGTTCTCCCCCCCCCCCCTTTCAAATTGGTGCTTTGCCTTAAATAATTTCATAAGTACAGTATATAAACATTTTCATATGACTACATCATAATTTTGTTTCCATCAATTATTTACATGTGTAAATTGTCATGTGTTGGACATGGCCTTACACTCATTAACAAATCGAAATCACAGAAGAATTTAAATAACAGTTTTTCAGCATAACTCCTGCACCGAATTTCCTGAAACTTTGTAGGTGTTTCAGACATAATGTATACATTTGTATATTACCAAGAAATTTTGATTCCATTATTTATCTAGAAACTTCAGCCCAATTAAATTTGTAACATACAAAGATTTGAATGTCCTTACATGCAAGAAGTTTTGATGTGATGAATTTTCGCAAGTAATGTCCCTTTTTGAATTATACTGTGTATTTAAAATGCACTGTGCCATTCATTATGTGTTGCATTGTCGAGCTTGGGGGGAGCGTGGGGTATGTGAGCTTCCTCACTTTTTTTTTCATTTATAATGATTAAAAATTACATTTTCAGGAAAGACTTCCCTCTAATCAGAAGTTATTCAATGAAATTATTAGTTGGAAATGATAGACACGTAACTTCCTAAGAATATTTATTTCCTTATATTAAGTTACAATTCTCAGTAGATGAGTTCCTTATAAGCAGGTTTTAATGTAGTAGACACAGTAGAGGAGTTTTATGAGTTACTGAATCGTGTCCTTTGTTTAAAGTTATAGTTGAATTTGACTCCGTCCCAGCTGGTTCCATCTTTCTGACGACAAATAAATGTCATAGGAAATATGAAGTTTAGAGCCCAAAAATTACCAAAAACCGACACAAAATTAGCATTGACGGAGTTTGTATTCAAGACTGAAAGGCCTTTCATCATTTCAAACAGAGTCACACCTTTGTAAATGGAAACAATTTGGCTCGGGAAGAAGATGATACCCAGTATTCCAATGGCAGTCTCTGTGTAAATATGGATAATCATTATAGCAATGTGGGACTGCATCGTCCCAAATAGACCTCTGTATATAGTGACCGGAAGTAAGAAGTCTGTCCACACGGCGTCAGGCCAGTAGAACAGACGGAGATAGGAAGTCGTCAATATCACACCTCCCATACCTACAATGGTTGCGTAAAACGTTAGTACCACAAAATATCGCTGATTATAATGTCCTATACATTTCCCTAAAACAAAGCAGTGATGGTCCCTCTTCAGAATGCACACATTACAGATCTTACAGTGATGAGCTCGTGGCGGAATCATCATATCACATTTATCACAATACCGCCACGGAAGTCCGCCGTCATCTGGCAGGTGCCCGTTCTGGAGTAGAATCTGATCAGGAGAACTCTTACCGTGTTCACTACTTCTATGATCCTCTATAGTGGCCCTTGTTTTTACATAAGTTGAACTACAAATGGAGCAACAGAACAGGTTCAGAAGTGCCTCTGTTATACAGAAGAGATAAAGGACCTCCACAAAGTGCTGTGTCTTGTCCGTGAACTCATGAAGAAGGTAAGGGAAGAGATGATGGCGGGCTACATACCACTGTGTTGGTGCCTGGAATGTCCACAGACCCCAGAACACATACATCATATAGCGAGATCTTTGTCCGTCCCGCTTCTTTAGTTCGTATTGCTGACGTAATTTGTCCATCAACGTAACAGGTTCTTCGTACTGACCGTGTATATCCAGCCGCACACTTCTAGATACAGCCATAGTACAGGCTGTGAAAAAAGGATATATTTAGTATCAGCAAAAGCTTATACAGCTAAGTTTTCAATTCTTTACATTGAAATATTTATTGGTACACTATACACTAATAATCAAAGGCAGACCAATTCCAAGAATTATTTTCACTTTGGCTTTGAAAAAGGTTGAAATTGATAAAAATTAAAAGCTGACTTTGCAAGTTCTCTTTGTTTATTATAAAAGGTTGTGGCAAGCGACGTCCAGCATTATATTTCTAATGTAATTTCTGCTGAAATTGTGCGATATTGGGTTGTCAATGTATAAACCTAAAGAGCATTTGAAAATGAAATTTATTACGGTTTGTAAATGACACTGTTTTATCCTCAATTGATTCAGAAAAAATTATGAAAGGAAATTGAAGTCATAATGTGTTACCATAGAAAGTCTTTAGTCAAAATATATATGTACTAGTTTCACAAAACAGAAAAATTGCTTTAAAAAAATTGATGCAATAAAACAATGTTTTACGTAATGCCAATCTCATCATCTTAACACGTCACCTGTTAAGCTAATATCAAATCCTGAGGGTACTTTGTTATTTGTAAAACTCTGGCAAAAGTTTGTAATTTGTATACCTTTGAATACATCCAGAAAATGCCCTTCAAAATTCTGATTTTATTTCCAAAGTAGTATGTATTTTCTTCAAACATATTTAACTGCATTTGCGATTTCTTCGTTTGCATACGATAAGTATCCTGTGATCTACCTTTGGAAAATGGACTGACAATACTTAGCGACTTCTAAAAATTTGACGTATTGTATATATAGTGCCACCGTGGTATATTCAAGTTTTCAATATGACTGACATTCAAAAGAAGTCCTTATATTTGCCGTCTATGTAGATACTACGTAAAATTATAACATACCTTTGTATATTGTTTTCAAACTACTCTCACTACATAAAAATCCAAATCTCGTCCCTGAATTTATATTTTAGCCCCTTCTCTAGTATGAAAAAAATCAAAACACGTCTCCTACACGTTCATTAAATCATTCTTCAAAATGTTACACTTTAAATCACTGGATAATCTCTAGGTCTGATGTTATAGACTAATGCGGCCAGTACAATGCAAGTATTCAATATGGCAAAGTTCTTAGTGACCCATTGAGGAGTAAATTCCCAATGGGACAATGCTAAATTTATCCGATTTTCACACATTATGCATTTTACATTATTTTATTCTTTCGAGCCTCTAAGGCAAATATGTACAATAGCTGCTGACTCCAAACACATCCGATGATTTTGTTGTCCTGTCATAAATTTCTTCAACTTCATTTGTTAACTAATATGTTTGTTACAAAAAAAAGAAGATTTTTTAAATCATAACTTAAAAGTGTGAGAACAATCAAAGACTGTGTTACATGTATTTCTAAAATAAAGACCCCAGGTTAAACCGATTAAAACGAAAAATAAAGATTTAGTACGAAAGACTAGCCACTGCTAACATCACATTTACTCATGAAAAACAACTGACCTTCAATGTTAAAAACTTCCAAAATTATCAAAGATAAAAGAATTTTTTTTTATAAAAAAAAGTTTGCTAAATAAAAACAATAGACGGGAGAAACAAGATTATAATCGTCGGAAGGAAAATAAAAATCATATCAATGACTGTCAATCTTATATTTGATCAGAAAATAGTATACATAAAGCATTATCATTCTAAAATTTTATGACAAAAGGATACCGGTGAAAAAGGTGACTTGTCCAAGATTTAGATTTACTACGCCAAACTTTACATTTACTTCTCCAAGTTTTAGATTTACTATTCCAAGCTTTTCATTCACTTCTCCAAGCTTTACATTTACTACTCCAAGCTTTAGATTTACTTCTCCAAGCTTTACATTTACTTCTCCAAGCTTTACATTTAGTAATCCAAGGTTTACATTTACTACTCTAAACTTTACATTTACTTCTCCAAGCTTTACATTTACTACTCCAAGCTTTACATTTACTTCTCCAAGCTTTACATTTACTTCTCCAAACTTTCTTTTACTACTCCAAGCTTTACTTCTCCAAGCTTTACATTTACTACTCCAAACTTTACATTTACTTCTCCAAGCTTTACATTTACAACTCTAAACTTTACATTTACTACTCCAAACTTTACATTTACTACTCCAAACTTTACATTTACTTCTCCAAGTTTTACATTTACTTCTCCAAGCTTTACATTTACTACTCCAAACTTTACATTTACTTCTCCAAGCTTTACATTTACTACGCCAAGTTTTACATTTACTTCTCCAAACTTTTCTTTTACTACTGCAAGCTTTACATTTACTACTCCAAGCTTTACATTTACTACTCCAAAGTTTACATTTACTTCTCCAAGCTTTACAATTACTACTCCAAACTTTACATTTACTTCTCCAAGCTTTACATTAACTACTCCAAGCTTTACATTTTCTACGCCAAACCTTACGTTTACTTCTCCAAACTTTGATTTTGGCCCCCATCCTTCGAGTTCCAGGAGGACAGGGACCATGAAATTAAAAACTTTGCCTCCTCCCCCCTCTCAGTCTGCCCATAGATGTTCTACACAGGAACTGGTTGAACGGTTAATGAGAAGAAGCTGAAAATACACGAAGACGGACGAAACAGATAGCAATAGGTCACATGAGTCACTCAGGTGACCTGAAAATAAAAGTCCGGTTTTTGGTATGTATATTTTTTTTTTGGATGTACATATTTGTTCTAGTTAAATAAATAATGACATTTGATTGTTGGGAATGTGTCTGTATGAGGCAGAAGAGAACTCTCCGTTCTTAATCTCTACAGAATAATCCAGAGTACAGTTCTTGAACACTTTGAACAGCCATAGGGTCCACTATGCGTCTTTATAAAAGCCTTTATGAATTTATGATCTAACTTCACTCCTTTCCAGGATGTCATGGGTTCGCTATGCGTCTTTATAATCACCGTTATGAACTAGCTTCATCTCTTTCCAGAATGCGTTAGTTCACTTTGCGTCTTTAGAATTACCATTTTGATCTAATTCCACCCCATTCCAGAATGTCGTGGGCTCAAGACGCGTCTTTATATTTATTACCCTTATGTCTTACTTTACCCCTTTCCTGAATGATGTGGATCCACTATGAGTCTTTATAATTACCGTTATGGTCCAACTTTACCCCTTTCCAGTATGTACCATCTTCTTTCACGGGAAACAAAATTGTCATAGGAAATATAAAGTTTAGGAACCAAAAGTTTCCAAATACTGTCACAAAGTTTGCATTCGTGGAGTTCGTATTTCTTATTGGAACCTGTTTTGCCAGCTCATACAAAGTAATGCCTTTAGAGACTATGGTTATTTGTGAAGAGAAATAGAAAAATCCCATGATTCCAATGAATGAAGCAGTGTACATATGGACGATCATTATGGTGATGTGGGGCTGAATCGTTCCAAACACTCCTCTGTATATAGTGACCGGAAATACGAAATCCGTCCACACAGAATCTGACCAGTAGAACAGGCGGAGGTAGGCAAAGGTAGATATAATACCTGCCCATCCAACAATAGTCGCATAAAACGTCAATACCACGAAATAACGCTGGTTATAATGTCCTATACATGTCCCTACAACAAAACAGTGATGGTCTCTTTTCAGAATACAAGCCCGACAATTCTTACAATGATGTGCCCTGGGTGGAATCATCATATCGCAAATGTCACAGTACGTCCAAGGAAGACCACCATCATCCGGCAGGTGCCCGTTCGGGGTACCATTCAGTGGCAGGAACTGATCGGGAGGATTTTCCCAACGTTCTCTGATCCCCTGAACGTCCGGTTTGTCTCGGGTTTTCACGTATTTAGTACTGTACAGTGTAGTACACACAAGATTGCCGAGTGTCTGTATGGCACAAATGGTATAAATCACCTTAACGTAATACTGCGTCCAGTCCGTGAAGTCGTGCATGAGGTACGGTATGACGTAATAATAAGCCATGTACAACTGGGTGGGGGTTTGGAATACCCACAGTGCCCAGCAATAGTACATACCATATTTGCCCTGGTGTCCTTTCTTTTTCTTCTCTTCAATATGTTTCCGAAATTTGTCCATTAATGTTTTTGGTTCTTCTTCCTCGGCGGGCGTCTGGACGTCCACTGCTACACTCCTGGATACCGCCATATTGCGAAAACTGTAATACGAAACACTCGTGTGAAATAATACATTGAGTTTTACATATGGGCAATTCTGACATATATATACCAAAATAAGTAAAACGTTTCTTATTTTTATAGTGACGTGTTATGCACAATCACAACATTACAATACGCATATAATAAAATCTAAACACCAGGCCTAGCGGGTCTTATAATATCACTTTTAATAATATAACAATTGTATTATGCATGACGTTTATTTATACAAAATGGTTCCGTTTATACTTGTTTGTGCTTCTTTGAACTTTTCAAGGTATTAATAAGACCCCCATTTACAATTTTCATTTCAAACGGTGTACATGAAACTCTTTCGATTCTATCGAATCCAGGTAAAAAGAAAAAAATGTCAAAGATTTGATAAAGAGTTATATTTCAATAAAATTTAAAGTAAGTTTCAACTGGACACACTAAATTGAAGCTGTTCTCAAGAACACGGTGTGATATATTGACATACAATGTAAGCAATTGATTCTGTACACATACGTACAGGTCATGACGTTCCTTACTATGGCACGCCGATTGCTTCAAAATTATTTTCTGCACAACGATCACGATTTTATACACGAGCTTGATGAAATATATACACGAGTAAAATAAAAATGCACGTATCGGTAAAAATTGCACATAGTGTGAAAGATTTTAACACAAACATAACGAAAAATACACGAATCCGAAATTTTTTAGACGATTTAGGGGTATAAAATGCAAAAACGTAAAATCAAAAACTGCACGAGCAGAGGAAACTAAAAATTACACAAACAATTTTACTGCGCATATCATTATTATGCATATAGAATATTCATTGCGTTCTTGGTTTTCTGTACTCTTTATCTCTTCTTGAATGCTGGGTGTAATCGAGAGAAAATGGCGTTGACGATGATATGCATGTTTGTTTGCTTCTTTATTTCTTTGCTAAAACTCGATCCGATTTCTAGCTAATGCCAATCAAACGAATGAAATGTTTTCTTGTGAACTGTGTGAAAAAATTTAAAAGTTGTTCGGAGATATTATACTTTTCTTATATTGACCGAGATCCTAGCCAAAATATGGAGGTTTTATATGATGTCGGACATAAATTGTGACAAGAAAGGAATTGCATGTTTGTGTTATAATGCGGGGAAAAAAAGTACCATTGCATATGATGCACTCGACTCCGAACTAAAAGTAATACGCTCTATGGTCTTTTAAAATTCTCTAACTTATAGATACAACTTTAACGGAAAGTACTTGCCAATGTATAAAATAAAATTAACACATGCGTAATAAAACAATTAATAAGTGGATTCTTCATGAAAATGATGGCAGAATTATTGCTGATTATAATCATTAAATTGTAGAATTCATTTTGGTACTTCTCATTTGTACTAATTATGAATTCATTTGGGCAGATTTTTTTTCATAGATTAAAAAGTGGGAATTACCTGACCTTAGATATATACAGTATGTTTTTAAAGTCAAACATAAAAAAATATTTTTTTTCTAATTATACATGTATCTTTACTTATAAAATATGAGAATATGAATTTTGGTTGGACATCTGTAGCCTGCACTGTTATGAATTCCTTCCATGATATCACATATTTTCAGTCATAAACTACTCAATAAAAAACAAGACATTCGTAATGGCGATTACTTAATAAATGTTTTCACTTTTAATAAATAGGACCAGATAAAGGGAAAATATATATACTCTGTGTGCTTTAGTACATGCGGTTTTGTGTTTTGTTACTTAAAATTTGTCCAAATGAAATAACAAAACTCTACTCAAATGATCCTGGCACCGGTAAAACATATCATCAGTGGCGGATCTGGTTCGTGGATTGATAGAGTAGCAACATCTGAATCTATGTATTTATTAAAGTTTCAAATCGTTGGACCATAATGACACATCAGAAATTTTAAAACATGTGAATTACTAAATACATCTACGTACAATGTTACAAATAAGAAAATGGGAATGGATATTATAATAAATAGAAAGAACAAAGAATGTGTTGTATCACTCTTAAGTAATGCAAATAAATTATGTTCTTTATGGAGCTCGAGGTTTGACAAATATTTTCCAAGACAACAATTTCTCTTTACATTTCGAATTCGTATGCATAAAATTTTAATTATTTTCCGAACACTAAGTTTTTGTAATAGGCTAACACTTTTTTACCCAAATCTATAGTCATTATAAAAATAACATGACTGTATAATTATAAAATGAAAATAATCTTCAATAACATTCAAGGAACATATTTGATACAAGATTCACTTTTTAAAAGACTATTCATGTGCATATCTAACGTTTTTGAAAAATCAGATTATGAGTTAAAAAGCCTAATCTATGCAATTTGTATTTTGTACGAATACATGTACAAATAATTAAAAAGTTTGCTTTATAGCAATATTGTACATGTGTATCAATGGCATCAACCTGGTCTTGTTTTACTTCGAGCATGACTACGAATAAATATAGGAAAACATATGATGACCTCAAGAAATCTTTGTTTTATTACCGTGTGTTTATTATTGTCAAAATCTGCACATTGAAAATAAATGTGCATGTGTGGCCAAGTCCCAGCTAATGAAGTTCATCTTGTATGTCTTCTTGAATTTGGTACAGTTCAGTTGAATTGCAATCCTGATTTCGATAGACTATTTTATGTACCCTTAAATTCTTAGAAAATATTTCAGGCACGTAGCATCAGGAGGGGTCTGCCCTCCCCCCATTTTTTTTCCAAACATAACCTACTTCTGTTGTAAATTTCCACTGAAAAGCTGGTTGCCCCCTCCCTTTGTTGTAGGATAGTTTAAATCAAAATAATTTGGTATTATAATGTGTTTCGAAAATATTGTGTTTTTTCAGGTAGGTTGTCAAAAAAAAAAAAAAAATCTGACTCCCCCCCTCCCCCGCTTTCAAAAACGATACTACTTGCCTGTATTTTATAATTTTAAATTTTCTTAACTCCTTTATATGCATTTTAACTATTCAAAATAGACTACCGCCGATACATCAAAAACAACATAAATTAAACTTTAATTTACATAAGTAAAACGACTGTATATTTTTTCTACATTTTCTTGGAGTTTTTATGAAATCACCACACGTTGCACAAAAGTTAAGACTACATGTACTTTGTTACATACATATATCAAAAAGTGAGATATGCGTTTCAATATTAAAATTTAAGTTGCACAATTAATATTTGCTCGATTTTCTTTACTGTTGACTTCCAAAAAGTTTTCGGTCAAATTCCACAACCCAGATGATCGCAACATTGCTTCAAAAAAAAAATTATGAATTGCTAGTAATATAATCTTTAATCAAAAGGTATTATTGGTGTGTCAAATACAATGTAGCTATAAATCGATTAGCGTACATGTGTCTTTCGTTCCAGAACCAGCAGGGAAGGATCTCTGTATGAAAAGGTCACGCATGCACATCCTTGATTATTACCAAAAGTACACACAGTAGGTGGTGGAGGAGAAGAGTTTGATTTGTTGTTGTTAACTCTCCTGTATTATATCACATGTTTTTATTTATTTTTATTTAGGCCTATATGTCATTGTTTTAAACTTTCAAAAAAAATTGCTATATAGAGGAATGACATACTTTCAAAAATCCAACAATTAAACACACAACTGGTAATATGCATCCCCCTTTTTTACGTTATCTATACAAGTATTCTGTGAAGAATGTTTTTTTTTATTCGGGGTTGTTCATATACTACAAGTTTAAGACTGTGTGCCTGTCAATTTATCTACATGTATAATATACGTTGTACATATATTCTTGAGAGTCTAGCGGAATTTTAAAAGAATCTTTTTTAAAAAGATTACCAACACGTTACTCCTCCTTTTGTAAAAATTTTATAGTATGTTTCAAGCATCCAAACCACATTGAACTGTTCTCTAATGAATATTAATGAAATGTGCGCAATGAGGATGCGTAGCATATTATGTCGATGTTGTATTCTCACTCGTGCAGTTTTCGTTTAATTTTACGTTTGTGTAATTTCCTCACTATATCGTGTAAATATTTTGTTGATTGTGCAGTTTTTCTATAGTTTGTGTAAATTTCAATAGCTTCGTGTATATTTTCCTCACTTTGTGTAAGTTTTTACTTACTCGTGTAATTTTTGTTTTAGGTCGTGCAGAAAATAACTTTGAAGCAATCGGCGTGCCATACCTTACGGGCATCGATCTGACACTTTTTTTTAAAATTCTACCCACCAAATCATTTAACTCACTTTTTAAAATTAATTCGATATTATTATATTGCATACATTTAGTAAATGGAATAGATAAATGTATAAATTTGTATCCTGATTTTCACTTACCTTGATTATGTCTTGTATGGACCGTATATTTAAAGAGTTGATCTCTTTCATTGATTTCAATGGTATTTCCAGAGTTCTCGGACAGGTCAAGTCTTGTTATTGAAAACAAACAGTGGTTGTCCAGCCGTAGCAATTAAGTAATACCTTCAATATTAATAAGCGCTACAGGTAATAGCTTGCTGTTTATTGATTTTAGCGCTAGGAAACCGTATAATTGGACGCCCTCTGGTCAGTCAGAGGATCCCGCTGTGTCTTGCTGTTAAAACTGACGGTAAAATAGCTTTTTTAAAATTTAACTTCGTAAATATTTGTTTAAATTCTTTATCTACCTTTTTTAAAGTACGGTTGTTGGTATCTTGAGTTTTGTATTTATTTATTTAATGCTCCGCTGTGTGCAGTGAGCGACTCTCAGAATTGATTGATTCTTTATCGGAAGGTTCTATCCATTATGACCTCAAAGTATGTAAGTACATGTTCAGTGCATTGTGTTTCTCCGTAACTTATCTATACATTATTGATTTAAAAAGGGGGAGTTAATCATAAGTTATAGTAATTGAAATATGATATTCAAAATAAAAGAAAAGCTGTCACTGACATGTTAATTTTTATTATCACACAATAAAGAAGTGTAACATTGTATAATTATTATGCATTTAAAAGAGAGTATTGTTAGTTAAAAAAAATACATACAGTGTTTCATGAAAAGATGCCTCAGCCCTAAAACAGACCCCAATACCTTTCTATTTTTTTTCTCCATTTAATATTTTTATAATATATTCAGAATTTTATGATTAAATTTTCCAAAAATTGATAAAAGAATCGGAAACTGTCGATTTAAAGTAATATGAAATCGCTTTTTGATGATAAAAAATGAAGACTCATGTATATATACAGAAATGTTTCTATTTTCTTCTTTTCAGAATTTCCGTATGATGCGCATCGTAACTTAGAGAAAGTTAATTTAAGAAAAAGTCGAAAAGGCACGGGGGTTATACTGGGTGTAGGGAGGGGGTATACTGTCTCCAGACAGTACTTGGAAGAACAGGGGGTCAATAGACCATAACTCGCACCTGAGTTGTTTTGTCAGTACAAAAACAAACAAACCCCCCCCCCCCCAAAAAAAACGAGGTTCTTGCATGCTCATATCACAAATTGGGACAAATAAATCAGAATTTTTTCTATGTCTTGTGAATTTTCTGATTCCAACCACAGGGAAATTTCATAAACAAAATCTACCTAGTAATTTGGGTTTTGTCCAAATAGGAAAATTTATCAAATGAAACATGCAAGATTTAAGATTCTAAGTGATCAAGTGAAGAATTATATTTAACAGGGGGCACACTATTTTTAACTTGGTAAATTTTCTTAAAGACTGATCAAAATTATATCAAATCTTTTTTCAATCCAAAACTCTTCATACTGTACGTGTCCTTATGTTACCATTCATGTTTGGTACATAAATATGTGCATAAATTAATAAATACCACAAAAATATGATTCTGTATAAAACTATCATAAATACAATGTATACTACACAGAAATACCAAGAGTACTACTTTATTATCAGTCAAAAAGTCATCAAGGTTTGTTTATGTTGAATTTTGATCAGAAGTTTGTTTAAGTTATGTTTATTTTTGAAAAAGCAATCATAAGTTCATGTACAGTATGAAAAATTATAATAAAGCATAAGTAACTAACATATAAATAATTCAGACATTTTTCATTGAAATACTTTGCAATTGTTTAGATTGTTCATTTTTTTGGTAATTAGCATTATGATTCAGTTTTATGCCAGGCCAATGGGTTCCGTCATCCTTCTGCCTGAAAAGAATCTGCATGGGGAAAATAAAATTAAGCACCCAAAAGTTTCCAAACACAGAGACAAAATTTGAATTAACAGAGTTAAGGCTCTTGACTGGAACTTCGTTTGTTAATTCATACAGAGTTTTTCCTTGACCAATGATTAACAGCTGTGACAAAAAATAGAATAATCCTACAGAACCAAACAGGAACTCGGTGTAGCAATGGTAGATCATGATGCCAATGTGTAGAGGAATGTTGTCAAACATAGTTCTGTAGACAGTGATGGGCAAGACAAAGTCAGTCCATGGGGCACTTTCCCAGTAGATATCACTAAGGTAGCGAAAGGTAAAGAATCCACCACCAAGTCCATTTACAAAGGTGTAGAATGCCATTACAACAAAGTATCTCTGATTTTTGAAGCCGATACAGGTACCCACCATAAAGCAGTGGTGGTCGCGCTTCAGAATGCAAGCCTTGCAGAAGTTACAGTGATGAGCTCGGGGTGGGATATCTATCTTACAGATATCACAGTATGTCCAGGGCAGACCCCCATGATTGTCTCTCAGATGACCATTAGATACTCCATTATTGTAGACCTGAAGAGGAACAAATTTTTCGGGTGGGTTGTTCCAGCGATCATGGATTTCTCTTGGCTGTGGGTTGTCCTTTGATATTCTGTATTTTGTGTCATACAGTTGAACACAAAGGAAGTTTGCCAAAAATTCTAAAGAGGTTACAACAATGAAAACTTTCAGGTAGTATTGGAGCCAGGGATCATAGTTTATAAATAAATAGGGAATTATATAATACATAAATATATACAACTGTGAAGGGACCTGAAAGGCCAGGACAGCTGTAACTAAAGCTCTTCCCACTTTTGTATCATGGCCTGATTTTCTCTTTTCCTCAACATGTTTTCTCCATTTTTGCATCAGGCTTAGTTCCCTTTCTTCCTCAGGTTCTCCCAAGTCCACTTTAACTGATCGGGACACAGCCATACTGTAAAACCAAAATAAGGATTATATACATGAGTCCACTTTAAGAGTTTGCCATGGGACATAGAAATACTGTTAACCAAAATAAGGATTATATGCATAACAAGTACATTGATATATGATACAAAAGTAGGGAAATCCATCAAATTTAATAGATGTATTCATCTTATTTAAAATATCAATCTTGGATTTCATTTGTATATTAAAGAACTTCCCTTCCTAGCAATTTGTTGATATAATGATTTCTCATCACACAAATTTGATCAATACCACTATAGGAGAATTCAAGGATCAATTTTATCCTTTATTCTAATGTTTGTGCTATGAGGTTAAAAAACAGGGTCGGTATAATTTCACAATGGAGTGTACAGTCATGTTTTCCTTCAGAACCCTATTTTATCTCGGAGACAGCCTTCTCTTGCACACTGTTGCATAACCCTTCTTGCTTATGCACACTTGCGTAATTCCAATGAGATTTAATGCAAGGGGGAGCTTCATTGAGATATAGGGAGTAGATTGAATATTTAGCCATTATTTAGAGTATTAATTTTGATTAACTACATTATAAGACACGAACCACTCGCCACGTGGACTTTTCAGTGTTATATACACATTTCTACTTTCTTTTTTCAATTGAACGATTTTCGCTATCACAATATAAAAGTACCAGTGATAAAAAAAAGAGGTCAGTTTTATATAATTAAATACCTTTGCCTGTATGCAAACAATCTTTTGTATTATTGTGGAATGGCAAATAGTGAAATATCATTGATTGTAATTTTTAGTTCCCCCGGTATCCAACAATAACAATGCAGGTACTTGTTAAATCGTACGCTGTATTTTTCGTACAATCCCCGTACGGGGGGAAGGGGGGGGGGTATGGGATTGCTACATGTCAACTCGTACATTACATTGTGAAGGAGAAAATCCTATGGCTGAATCGGGAATCGAAATCGGGACCCCTGTATTACTAGTCAGGTGCTCTAACCACTGAGCTATCCAGGCCGCTATCAACGGCTGAAGGGGCGTATAGCCAAAATCATAAAAGAACATCAAAAAGATTTTGTTAAATAAGTTCAAATTGATATATCATATTTTATAATATTGCTTTAATGTATAGTTGACTATAATTTTGAGTTGTTTAGAAAAGTTTCAAAAATCGTGAAATAGAGTTATCAGACAATTTATGTTTTACATACAGTTGTACTTCGGTATCCCGAACACTGATATCTCGAATTGGATATGTATAGTTAAACTTTCTTAATTTCAATCAAAATCATTTTGTCATAAAAACTAATTTTGTCAGGCGTAAAATTTTATCATTTTTTGGTGAATTCGGATCTTTATATAACCGCAAACTTTAGAGCTGAATTTTAGAGTTTCAAACTGGATTCCAGGTGCAATTTTGAAAGAAGCCTAGAAAACCAGTGCTCATATTAATTGATAACTTAATTTTGGAATAATTAATCTTTCACCAAGATCTGCATTCAAGGTAGCTGCAAATCAGTAACTCACTAGTTTGGGGGAAAAAAGACCAAAGAGCTAGAAACAAGAGGCTCATGGGCCACATAGCTCACCCGAGCACTTTGGCTAAGAAATTGAAAAGTTTTAATATGTAACTGGTACTTACCTACCGCTCAAAAAAGGTGGTGATTTGAACAAACGTGAATCTACACACACCGAGGATGCTTCCATATTTCTTTGACTATTCACTGTTAGAAGATTTTTAAAGATTATCTTCATATATATTTCTATGAAAATTTTTGATCCTCTAGATATCGTGGCCCTGCCCTACCTCCAGGGGACATGATTTGAATATCTACCCTACCAGAGGATGCTTCCATATAAATATGACCGACCACGGCTTTACTTTTCTTGAGCAAAAGCGCTTTAAAGATTTTTCCCACATATATTCCTAAATAAAACTTTGATTGCTCATTGTGGTCCCTTCCTACCCCCATTTAACTATATAATGCTTTATTACTAGTAGATTTCAAACAGTATCCTACCATCATCATAGACAAAGTTATCAGAAAAGTTATACCTAGCTATCAAATCAAAGAGGACGTAACCATTTCATATTATGTTTAATTCCTTCAATTGATAAAATTAAGGGCCGTGTGAACAATTATCTTTAATTTTTCAATTTGCACACATTATACCAGTAAAAATTAGTTTCAATATTGGTTTCATTGTCGGAAAAGAGTTTTTAAAAAAGATTTAACATATCTTGATTAGAGTGCGTCAAAATTTACAAAAATAAGCAAAATATAGAATTGCAATTAATAAACTGGGTTTATCAATCAAAACTACAGTTTACGGTGATTAAACTTTAGATAAATAACTACATGTAATCTATTTTAAAAATCTCAAGAGTATTCACAGCTTAATCTAAATGTTGTAGGAGTATAAAGGATATTTCAGGTGAAAACTCATCGTCGGAAACCCACGGTCGGTCTCGCTTCTTTTAAGAGAAGCGAGGCCGACCGTTGGTTTCCGACGTACGATGACGAGTAAGAGAAGCGAGACCGACCGTGGGTTTCCGACGATCGTAAAATCTGTAATTTACAAGTGTTTCTGATAAATTTGGTTTTAGAACATGTTAACAATAGTTAACGTAGTTATACCTTGAAATTGTATACTAGTATGTTTATGTTTAGCGACACGTGGAGGTAACAGAAATTTTCAAATCTATAGTTGGGCGCGCGGTTGTAGGTAAATGGAAATGTTGCTATCTAACGTAAAATTCTGCTTTCAAATTGTGGACAATAATAAAAAACAAACAAAAATCCATCTTTTATTAAAATGCATACAATTTCACAAATTGTTTTGTTCATCTTGAGGTATCTGATATTCAAGGACCACAGTACGAGTTATCTTACCTGTTACTTTTGAAAATCAGCACTACATTTTCAGAAAATGCTCACAAATATGTCAATGAATTCACAGTAATCTTCTACCCAATTTTCTTCAAAGTCCATCATAAGAGTTGATAATATTATATATCGGAAATGACAAAATCTCAGGTAGATATTGATGACATTTAATTAAAAGTATTATTTATGTATTTTCTAGTTAAAAAATGATCAATAAATATGTTTCAGAATAAAATATTAAAATATCCAGAGATCCGAAAAAAAAAATTTAAGCGATATTTAAGTTCCTCTATCAATTTCAGTTTTTATATACACATATAATACGTTGTGTAAATAGCATGTTATAACACTGCAAGATGTCAGAGATCGCTCGATTTAATTTCAAGCTAAAAAGGCGAGTTGAAATAAAGTTTGATTTCTCTAAAAATACAATTTTTTTGTCTTTTTATTGGAAGCACATATCAACTATTTACAAGACCGTTTCCAAGATTTTAAACTCCTTTTTATTATATACGTGTATTAAGAAGCATGAAATGAGAGTTGTTGCGCGAAAAGATTTATAATTTCACATTGAGACATTCATATAAATGAGAATTAAAGAGTTAGCGTTCTTAGTTGAGGGACGGGCATCTTAACAGTAGACACTTTTCAGAGTCAAAGTAAAAAGGACATGTATATATACATTATTTAAATATTGAGAATATTTTTCCATGTAATGCATTGCATTACAGACTTATAACATATCGCGTTACTTATGTACAATATCATATCACTCAGTTAGACCATATATAACTTTAACTTCATGTCTAAACTTAGAATCCCGGAAACTATATATAAACGGGTTAATGGCACTGTTTATGAAGTACGACCAGATGAACGTGTAGTAGAACTGACCCTCAAGGAGGGTCAAAGAACAGTCAAAGGAGGGATTGACGAAGTAGATGATGGAAAGAACGTGATGTGGGATGGCGCTGAGAATGTAGGCCAAGGTCACGGTGAACAGCGTCCCTGTGGTGCGAATTAGGGTGGCCTGGGAGATGTGGGACGGACGGTTGTCGTTCTTGGCCTTTAATTGCGGAGACTCCTCAGCGAATCTATCTGACCCCCTCCGGACACTGTCCTGAAAGTAGGTGTGTTTATAAATCTTACGCCCTATAGCGACATATATGCCGATCAGAGCAGACGACACAGCCAGAAAAAACAGAATATGACAGATATGGAAAACAGCCAGGTATTTCAGAGTCTCGCCACTTGCTAGACATCTATAACCCTGCAATCAACATAAATAATCATATAATCTCAGTTGTTAAAATTAACTCAAAGACATTATGACAAGGAAAAAGGGGTAATTTTATTTGAATTTTTAAATTTAACTAAATAATAAATCCTACCATTAACCCTGGTATGCCTGTTGGCACTTTGGTAATTCCATATAAAATAAGACTTGGCCACGAGAGCATTAAACTGACGACAAGACAACTAGCACACATCAGGCGTGCTTGACGAGACGTTATCTGGGTCCCTAATGGTGCCGTCACTTTACGGCATCTGTCTATAGCAATAACAACCAGAGCACATGTCGAACAAATAGTTACAAAGTAAAGAATAAATCTGTAGATTTTACAGAATGCCTCAGACTGAAACGTCACAGGGTAGCAGAGATAGATAATCACCATTGGGGCACTCACAGACAGGTTAAATATGTCAAGAATGGCCAGCCATAACACATATATTCGGTAGTTTGAATTTTTAAATTTTCGGCAATAAACGTAGATAACGTGAACATTTCCAATCAATCCGATCACAATTAGAATTCCCAGGAATATGATTCCACCAATCAGACGATTGACTAGAATTTTATTGGCGAACTCCAGTGTGATTTCTCTATCACGGGGCAGAAAGTCCTTGACCCATTTGTGACAGGTGAGGTTCGGGTCGTACGCAGACATTATTCCTTAATGTTATTCAGTTGAAACAAACAGCTGAAAATAAATTCAATAATTAAATTAGAATCCTTATCTTATTAAGTATCGACTCACATTAACAATGATTATTGTCAGTTTGCCTTGTGCTAACACATATCGCTATACATGTAATATTATGATTGATTGTGATATGGTTATAACTTACATAACTGTCTTGTGAAAGAATAAATACAGTAATATATATACTGCTGTTTTGGGGGGTCAATACGATGCCATCCGAGAAGTACAATATTCATCGAGCCCGAAGGGAGAGGTGAATATTGTAGTTCGAGGATGGCTAAATCGTCGTATTAATTGAAAGAAAACAGCAATAGTTATTTTATAAAATATAATTCAATGATTAAATGAAACAAACTCGTGAAACAAACCTTGTGATCTCTTGATTGTTTATATTTTTGGATGTCCAAGTCGAATGCAATGAGAGAAACAAGATTGCTGGTTGTATTAATTTTAGGGATGTCAAAATAGTCAATAATTAATATTCGAATATTCGATAACAGTATTCGAATATATTCGAATATTCGATAAAAATTGATGTCATTTAACAATAAATAAGTTCTGATATACGCATTGCCCTGCCCATAGTACACACTTTGCTTCAGTGTTTGAAAGTTAAATCTAGACTTGTTTAGGGAGACACTGTACAATATATATATATTTAATATTTGATGTTAATATGTTGACTGTTAAAACAGTCAAAGCACAAGAAAATGGAAGTTTGATTGAAGCTCCAGTACACTTGATGAACCGATCGTCTAAGCAAGCAACAAGAAAGATAACTCTTAGAGACGTAACACCTGTTTGAAACGGCGTATTGATCATAATTAGGCCTAGGCCATTCTCTTAACTAGTTTTCCAATCTAATGACTATAATTATATTAGAATGCAAACGACAATTACGAGATAAACAAATAAACTATAGATCTATTATGAAATTGAACCCTTTAATCACAACAATACGGACTTTCTATATATACACACTTGAGTAATTAAATTGTCAAGTAAATTTATTCTTGTTTAGAAAGATTATTTTGTCAACAAGCTCACTGGAGAGTCTATTTCTAAGTTTTGTAATTATAAGTCCTGCCGAAGAAAAAATTCTCTCAGACGGAACTGACGTCGCGGGTACACCAAGAAATTTCTTGGCGAGTTTAGAAAGAACGGGATATTTTTCTTCATTTTTGCGCCACCATAACAGGGGATCTTCATTTGGTTGGATACGATCGCTTAAGTAATTTTCTAGCTCATTCACCCTCGTTGATTTTTCCTTTTCGGGCGAGAACTGAGTTAGATAGTCGGGCTTTCGAGCCCGCTTTGCCGGTGGTTGGGGATCATCGTTAGAAGAAGGAATCGAATCTCTAAGAGGAATATCATCCATATGACTGATCTTATAAAACACCGAACTCAAAATGAAAAGATTCACTCTACTAAGAACGTAGTGAATAATACTCATGAAACAATTTAAACCGGCGGATCTAAATTAATTGCAAGTAAATAAGATAGATAACCCCTGTACCTTTACCTTGAAATTCTCCAGAGTTACCTCTCTTTTTGATTCATATTGTGATATAGCCGAATATTCGAATCTTAATTTCATATTCGAATATCAACTCATCGAATGAATATTCGAATATTCGTTGACATCCCTAATTAATTTGGAACTTCGTGATCTATTTTTGGTGCGAAGTAGTAAAAAAAATGTTTATATGTTCACCTGAAAGTTGGATGCTGGTGATATAAGTTTCAACGACCAATTGTTCCTATTTAGAAGTTCTCAATCTATTTTAGTACCATGTAGAAAAACATAAATGTTGTGTTCGCATGGAAGGTATCGTGCAGATGAACATAATTAGAATTTTTTCTACAATGTTGAATCTCAGCCAATCAGAGAGGAAGAATTATACAATCACGTGATAAAAGTGTTTGTTACTTGTAATTGGTTGGCTAAAATTAATGGCAAGTTAGAAAGAATGCTCTTACTGCTCTCTCTATGTGACCACATTCCCAGTTTATCAGAATATCGATCTCAACCAAAAATATATAGATCATCTGGACTATACTAGAGATAAGAAGATTCATCACTGTAATTTTGGGACAAACAAAGATACATAGCGGGTTCCAGTAAATGTTACCAAGCCTCTTTCTTTACTCCTCACTAAAATATTGACAGCAGTGAAGGAGAAACTTCAGGAGTACTGTGCAACAATATATTCGAGAAGTGGTGTAAATCAGATGTGGATACTTAAAAATTCCAAGAAACTTTTGGAAAATTTGAAATCACAAAATTTTACTAAAATCAATAACATAAAAACTTACGACTTTTCAACTCTGTATACAAACATTCCCCACGATAAATTAAAGTTCAGGCTTTTTTATATCATTGACAGCTGCTTTTTCAATAAAAATGGAACTCGTAAATTTACTTACCTTGTCATTGGTCATTTGCAAAATTATTTTGTTAAAAATTGCTGATTGTACACACAAGTACTCTGAAGTTGATATTAAAAAGATGCCAGAGTTTCTGATTGACAATATCTATGTGGTTTTTGGAGACCGGGTCTTCCAACAATCTGTTGGAATTTCCATGGGTACCAATTGCGCCCCGTTCTTAGCAGACCTATTTTTGTATTCATCTGAAGCAGAATTTATTCAAAATCCTATACATGAGGAAAAGAAATCTCTTGCTGTGGCCTTCAACTCGACATTTACATACATGTATATCGACGACGTATTATCAATTAACAATAGTTATTTCCACTCATATGTCGACACAGTATATCCCAGTGAGCTTGGAATAAAAGATACCACAGAGTCTGACACTTCCGTTTTATATTTGGATATTTTACTATAAAAAGACGTGAATGGTAATCTAACAACAAAGCTTTATGATAAACGTGATGACTTTAACTTTTAAATCGTCAACTTTTCTTACTTATGCAGCAATATATCCTTATCACCTGCATATGGGGTGTATATCTCTCGGTTGATTCGATACGCAAGAGCATGCTCTTCGTATGAACAATTTCTAAAACGAGGTAAGTTATTGACTAACAAGTTGATGAAACAAGAATATCGACAGTCTCGTTTAAAGTCATCATTTCGCAAGTTCTATGGTCGATACAATGACCTTGTCAGCAAATACATTCTATCATTAAGTCAAATGCTGACTGACATTTTTCAAACTAATTGTTAGAGAATTATTTACACACTAAACTGTCAACGGATTTTTCCTTTATTTCCTGATCATGACAAGGAGCACACGGCAAGTATGGCCGGTGGGCAGGGGATGCTCACTCCTCCATGGCACCTGATCCCACTCTGATGTTTTTGGAGGTCTGTGTTTGCCCTGCTCACGATTTGTAATTTTTTAATGGACTTTGAGCTTGAATACTGTTCGTTATCTCCATATTTCACTATATGTAAATCTGTGTTTTTGACATTTCTTGAATGATACTTTATTGAGACCAAGGCTAGATAACAATCTAAGATGGTTATATTATAAATAAGCTGGGGACAGATCTCGTCTTTTTTACTTTTATGTTTTTCATTAATACTTCTGTTTTGTTTTCAGTGTAAATGACATCAGGATTATTAATGAAATGCTTACGATTTCCGGTCATTTTCCAGCATGCTATAGATAATGTACACGTATATGCCGGTTTACACGCTAGTTGTCTATCCTTATAAAGGCATTTTGCAATTCCTCAAGTTTATACTTTTTTTCGCCATATCGAGCTCATTATTGTTAAATCAATGTCCGCTTTCTATTTGTGGTTGTGTTAGAAAGTGCACATATGAAAATGGGGAGTTATTTTTCATTTTTTCGATATGATATAATACATGTAATTCTGGACATATTCATCTGCAGAAATCATCAGCTCCATCACGTGATGATGATCATGATGCAAGGAATCATGGTCGTTTGGTGCCAATTTGATGCTTTGCATCAACTTATTATCTTGTGATACTGTACTTAACACAAGTTACCCAGTTCAAAATACAGGTACATTTATAAAATTGTCATTGACAAACGGAAGTGGCGGTTCATCATTCACAGGAAGCGATTGAAAACACGGTGATGTCTCCTCGAAACTCAGTAATTTCCGGTGTATGATGTATATTTTTGATATGTTAAACTTAATTTACAGACCTTTTCATTGCGTGCACGTGATTCTGGTTATATACATGTATCATTTCATGTGCAACAAATTGAGAAATCAATGACATGTAGAAAATACTAGTATATTGTGGACTGTTTGAGGCGATGCTGTTTGGCAATCCTGGTTCAGCAAATATCGTTAATTACGAATTAAGGTCAGACGACGCGTTCCTCGAAAATATATAATTTTTCCAAAGAACTTGTCATTGAAATATTGCTACTTAAACAAGTTTCCTCACAAAAATCGAGGTACCTTACCAGGCATTTGGGCAAGATACCGGGGGGGTGATATTTCTTATATAATCGCTACGCGTAATCTTTTGAAGTGCCAATGTCACAATTTTTGGTGTATATATTTTTAAAAACATATTGAAAACAATTTAAAAATCACATGAGAATGACAATTATGAATATTTTTTTTTATATAAAATACCATGAGATACAGAACATAACTATATTTAAAGAACCTGTCGTCTGATCTTAAGACAGTGAAATAAAAACAACTGAAAAATGAGTGAAAGGGTTTTCGACATCGAAAGGATCATCGGTCATTTGCTGATCTGCAGTTTAAAAATTTATAATTTTTCACAATTGGATATACATATAAGTATCTGTATCTAAAGCCGCATTGACAACAATAGAATTAGTAGAATTTAAAAAAAACTTCATAATTTATCTATAAATCAGAGATTCAATTATAGAAAAGTTCTATTAAAAACTCAGGCGAATTACAAGAAATGGAGAAGTTGGAGCTGATATTTCAATGCTCCGTGTCTCTATTTCCTGTTGTTATAACAACCGCTTCCGATATTGAACTTGATTTTTATATATATATATTTAATATCATTTATTATATTTATATAATAAAATTGAATTCCTTCTATTAATTTTGGTCGAAATGTGACACCGGGAAATAAAATGTTTAACAGTATCCGTATAATGGCCTCGGGCGTGTGTTTCTTTGAATGAACGCCTTCATATTCCAGGACGAATGACAAACACAGTGCCTAATGCCTACCTCTTTACCTATTTACAAATTCTTTATTTAATTGGAAATGGAATTGAATCAAAATGCCTTTCAATAAATCATCAATTTTTTCGCTTGATCGAATGCTTCTTGTTTGTCATGCAATCAACATATCAGACAATTTCCATTGTCCTATACAATATGTATACGTTAGTGTCGGATGAATCATTTATATTGTTTACATAGAACCGAGTCACGTACAGTTTACATATCCTTAATGTAGCATCCCTTGTGTGGCCAAGAAACCAAAGAAAACATGGGTATTTCTGTGTTTTATATTAAGCACTTATTCTTTTGTTTTCTTAGCTTTACGGTGATGTAGATAAATAGGTATGTTGGCTAAGCATCACCGTCGCCAAGTCGAGTGATTTTATTAGAGTTATACAGCCTTATTTTTACCGCAGTGGAACATGGGGGGGGGGGGGCATTTGTCCTTGTGATACTTTAGAAACTCCATTACAATACAGTGTGAAAATAAATACATCTCAAAATCTTCGTGGATAAATGTTTTATTCTTATATAAACAACTTATATTAGTCATTTGAGGGAAAAAATATTTATGCATTTCCGCAAACCTTCGAAAGGTTAATCAAAGTTCACACGCTGTAGTAATTTATTTTTTATAAACATTGAGAATGAAGCAGTGAATTAAGTCCACCTACATATGAAGTGGAGCGTTTCAGAATTGAAAGAAGAAATCGCAAGCCATGGGACTTTCTAACAATATTTGCGTGAAATCAAAATCGACGGTACATTTGAAAAGACAAGATACATGTATTCAAATGTTGTTATTTTAAACCTTGAAAACATCTTACTTAACTGCCAGAAAATTAAATGATTTTTTTTTTGGTAGAAAATCCTTTTCCATCAATTTTTTGTAGCTGTGCGAATGAACAATTTTAATTAAATTTCAAAATCTAATTTTCTGCCTTCTTGCAGTATTTTTCTTTTCATAGAGCTATCTGTGCTTGCTAAATATAGTTTTAATTTATCATCATTCAGAGAAAAGTTTATACTTACGATTATATAATGATTTTTGACCTCCATAAGTGTATCTCCAGCTATTTCTCCTGGACACATAACTTTCATTTATATTTTTATATATGTCCCAAAATCAGCGCTGGGAAAACATCCAACAGCTAACAAACTATGAAAACAGTGGACGAGGTCGACCCGTGGTCGATATAAAAGCTATCCTAATATTTATATACATACCTGTTCGGTCATTATGGGTCTATTGTATTCTCCAAAAGTCTAGGGTTCCCAAATGGACAATCTTACCACACATATCTATAGGCTTAAAGTCTATAAAAATTTACAATTCGCCAGGAAGCGGACAAAATTTTCGATTTATAATGTTTTTGTCTCGGATCGCCGCCCCCATTGTGACTAGAAATGATCTCATCATAACTGGATCGTAAACACTCACTTCTCGTTTTATGATGAATTAATGTTATTTACACGTGTGCTTAACGTATCAATTCCTAAACGATGTCGCTAATAACCAAAAAATAAGGACAAAACTTCTAGTCCGCTACTTCGTGTTCCGTGATAGAGGGATATACGTCGAATTGACTTTGTGGCTAGATTTTGTTTTCCTGAACCACAATACATAAATAACGTTTCAAAGTTTAGAAATTAAATAGAAAATAAAAATATATTTACCAAAGTCAGTTGAAGTCTATTATTTTTGCTCCTGTAAGGATCAAGTTGTTTATGTATTTTATTTCCTTTTGTGTCAAAAACTGTGACCAGGTCAAGAAGAGGTAGATTATATTGATTAGACTATATTTAATTGGACGACATGCTCGTTTATTTGCATTGATTAACATCAAATTGAACATCGAAAAGGGCGCATCCGTGAATTTTTCCAAAAAAAGGGAAGGCGGAGGTGGGAGTGTGTTTCATCCCCACTCAAAAAAATTTTACACTGCTAGATTTTTTTGGACAAGCAAAAATTGGGGATAGCACAAGTCGCTTTCCTTCATGTATACATTTATATATATATATACAAATATATATACATATATATATACAAATATATATACATATATATATACAAATATATATACATATATATATACAAATATATATATATATATATATATATATATATATATATATATATATATATATATATATATATATATATATATATATATATATATATATATATATATATATATATATATAAATATATATACATATATATATACAATATATATATATATATATATATATATATATATATATATATATATATATATATATATATATATATATATATATATATATATACAACTCTCCTTCCTATACACGACAGTGGTCCGTGTTTCCTAGGGACAAGAGCAAAGATAATTCAGTTTACTTTCCAATATAGATTAAATAATTCTGAAAATCCGGGGGAGGGAGGCAGACCCCACTGTCCCCCTTCTGGATCCGCTACTGATCGACTTTTCTTTTTTATTGAATTAATTTAAAATAGTGGGGAAATATTCGCAAAGAATTCTGTCACAGATGAAAATTTTGTCATACAGTATTTTAAAATTCAACAAACAATTAAATAAATTTGAAAATCTCTTGAAATGTGCACAATAGTATATATATGGTATAAAAAATCTGAGTTAACAAAACATGTTATGGATTTAAGGAAATACTAGAAGTTGGTAATTTTTTTTTTTTTTTTTTTGAGGTATTGAATTTTTCTTCCTTCCTTTCTTTTTTTAAAGAGGAAAAAATGCATAAAGTTTGCTCAGTTTTAACTTAGCAACAATTAGAGCACAGACTTGCTCAGATATTCATTCTACATATTATATCATAAGATGGAGTCTGAGCAGACCTGGGCTAGATATTTTCAAGTCAAATTGTCGACATAAACTACACCATTTTTTTTTTAAATCATTGAAATGATGAATTTACGTCTTCTTCTTTTTTTTTTTGACGTCTCATTTCACTTATGACGCAATGTTTGATGAAAAAAAATTTAAAATAATTCGAAGTCTGCACATATCCTCCTTTCTTAGAATATTGTTTGAGACTCCTCCATCAAAGTTCCATTTGCAGATATTAGCCATTACAGAATCCTTACCGTATTCAGTCAGTCTCGTAAGCAGGATAAAAGAACCACATGTTCAAAACTATCTGGATAACCAAGAAGACCCAAAACAAAACAAAGTCTATGGCAGACGAGACACTTTGCCAAGTTAATTTTCCGTCCCCTGCGTTGAAAGTATTGATGGAGACAGGAAGCCGAGCTCCTCCAGCAAGGTCACCCCTCGTCTTACTGCGCCTCATCACACGGCTTGTTTTCCTGTATTTAACAGGTTCTTGTTTTTCCTGGACAGAGGTTGTGGGATTCCCTGGATCTGTAACCTTTTCTCCCTCCTTCACTGAACTCTCGACTTTACTCCTGATACATGCTCTAGACCGACATGTCAGAATGTTAACAAATTTGACAATGTATTTGTACAGTTTTGGGATGTCTTTCTCGTCGTCTCGATGATAAAGTCGTAACTGTAGCGTAGTACAAAATATGATAAGCGATCCTATAAAGAACTGAAAGATGACGTAAAAGAACAGATCAGATACATTATCGGAGTCTTCCGGAATGTTGTCGGAGACGAAGCTGATAAACACACTATAGGACAGTAACAGAGCCACGGCGTAAGATAGCTTCTCTCCGGCGTCCGCGGGAATCACGAACACCAAGACCTCTAGAAACCCCAGGAATACCACTGGGAGGATTATGTTGATAACGAAGAAGAGGGGTTTTCTCTTCATACTGACGGTGCACATTAAGTTGGTCCTAGAATACACGATCTTATGGCGGACTCGGAGATTAGTCCATTTGGGATTTCCACTATCATGTTCTATGCTCCGACAAGCAGAAGAGTCGGAGTACTTGAGATTAGAGCGGATTGCCGATATCGATAGAAGGAAAGAGAACGACTGTTTGTCAAATGGAAAGTCGGTCGTATCTATGGAACAGAAAAGTGAAAGACTTAGTGAAGTGTGACGAAACACGCTTCCATCACTGCGAAGAATCATTTCCAACTCTTTGTTATCGCCCTCCATCATCTGGTCCATCTTGCTGGGGTCCTTTTGAGGGATCCTGATCAAGGTCTCAGGGCGCCACACCCAATCCCCAACTATCGGCAGGTGCTTGATGTTACCATAGTCCGAGGCGTTCCAATGAAGAGTTTCGTCTTTCCACTCACTGGTGATTTCCACACGGATTTTGACCTTGTTCTCAATCTCTATGAATTCTACATCACTGCCTGAGAGTGATAGAGAGAGATTGATTTCTAGATTCTGACTCTGGTCTAACAGTGGCACGATATACCGGTCATATTCACTCCGGTTCTTTAATATCTTAAGGAGGTTCTCCGCATCTTGTAGAGTTGCACTATTGACAAATGATGAAAACCACCAAATCACTGGTAGACGAGCGAACGACATGCCTCCAGCTAATTCTGCCATATATATTCAGAAAAACACAACAGATTATCTGACGAAAATACAGTGTATATGGTGTGTTTTGTCCATGCAGAAGAAATCGTATCCTCTCCCTTTAATTGAACTCTGAAGCATCGGCTCCTCCAGTTCCATTAAATCAAATGTAATATCACATCTACTTAAATTATTAACATGGCCACCAAATATGCTTAAAAGTATCTCATAAATAGACGTGAAAGATGTGTGTAATAACCATTCTGGGACTAGTGAAATCGATAGATTACCCCTTTCTTGATACATTATACAGTGCTAATCTTGTATATAGTTTTCAGATGGATTCATTGAAATGAAAATTTCACTGATAGCTTGACCTTAAGGGCAGTGATGTGCTTAAACTCAAGTCATACCAAAACTGTCTAACTGTTGTTCAATTAATTTTTTAATCAAATTTCGTAATTTTGGCAAAATACATTTAAATTCGTAACTTTGTGGTCTGGCTCAACCGCGAAAAACAACGGAAATATGTTCTACGATCAAGAGGTGAGAATTGTGTCATCTCTTTGATTGTCAAAAAACTTAAAGTCCTAACCTAAAGTCCTAACTTTGATTGTCAAAAAACCTAAAGTCCTAACCTAAAGTCCTAACATTGATTGTCAAAAAACTTTAAATCCTAACTATCGATAAAAATGTCATAGATATCATATGACGCAGGTGGTCTAACAATGTAAGTTAAAGGTACACCTTTTTGTCTTTATGTTACATATTATGCTGCTAAGCAGATTAAATTCTACAAAACACATGCATCGTGTACTTACCTGCGCCGACGAAGTTGGATGGGACTGCGTTTTCATCCCCGACTGTCTAGCAGTCTAAATTAATTGTGAACTCTTTATTTTAAATTTTATTTCGGAAAAAAGGGAGGGGTGGACCTTGTGAAGAGAGACAATAAATTCACAAAGATAGATAACTCTTTATACACAGAGATTTATGTTGCTTTCGAAGTAGTAGCCCCTTCCGCTGTTATATAACCGATATTTCAATATAATAGTATATATGATCCTATTAGACAACATTGAATTGATTTGAAATTTCGAACTCCTCCACCATTACCTTGGGAAAATTTATCCGGTGTAGTTTTAGGCTGAATTCAATCAAAGTGCAATTAACGCTTATCCTTATATTACCCCTGTCAGCAGCTTTGAGGAAAGGATCCAAAATTTTAACATATTTGAAATTAAAACTAGGAACTTCATTCTTGGAGAACAATAAGAATCCTATCAACGTTTTTTTTCCCGAGGGGTCACATGGATGGGGGATGGGGAAATGATTTCATTATCTTATATGCTGAATAATAACAAAGAATACTAAATAAAAATTAATATGCAATTGAAATAACGAGTAAATAATGAACAAAGGAAAAAAAATAGAATCAAGGGTACCGCAATAGAGCATATCGATCCTGATATGAATTGTTATTTGCATAACTTTTGTTACGTACCCACTCACCCCCCCCCTCCCCCCTTCCCCCACCACACACACACACGCACTAGCGTTACTATATCCTTTCCAACTTCGTTAGGATCTTCCAGTCTAAGAGTTTGCAAAAAATTGTTTTTTGCTTTTATATATCTCTTACAAACAAAGAAAAATGATAAACATCCTCAACCTGACCACAAATACAATTTGGAGAATCAATAATATTTTGTCTGTAAAGATCATAATTTAGTAAACAGTTGTATAATTTGGTGTGTATAATATTGATAGTACGTTTACCAAACGAAAAATATTTTGGGGGTTTAGTAATTATTTCGGTGAAATTTTTCTTGAATGTATGGAGAGAGTTGCTTCTCTGACTTCTAATTTCAGTGAGTTCCATTTTTAAATAG